AGGGCAAAACACGGACCCGTGGGCGACACATGTGAGACGGCGGCATATGTGCGGCTGGCCACCAGCTGTCGCAGTGCAGGAGCTGCGAGCTACAAGCAAATACGACACAATTAAATGCGGAATTCCGTGGGTCCATAAGTCCAATCGGGGGCAAAGTACAATCGCATCAGATAAGCAGCATAATCTGTGCACCGTTTTTTCAAAATGTCTGCCAGATGATCTGGCACTCTCTGTGGAGTTGCAAGATAATTTGGCCCACTTGATACATACCTTGTTGAGAAAAGCCATGGCGCAGATAAAATATTATTTAGTTATTGCAAAATTTCTATATACAATTTGGCGTTTATTTGTGTTCGCTTTTAATTGAATTGCGCTGCTCACTCGCTGACGTCTCGTGGCGAATTGAATCAAACGGGTATTCTGTTGTTCGTAAAACAACGCAGCGCAGCCGGCAGCGAATGTGAACATTAGACCCTCTTGCTTGCGGCGAAACAAAATAACAGCAACAACAATGACAATGACGAATTCGCTTGCTCGAAGCTTGCGTTGGTGGAGTGGAGTCAACAAACTTTTGTTTAGCTGCAGCTGTAACTAAATATTAATAAAAGCATGTCGAATATCATTCGCCTTGGCACACTAGCCGAGACACACCCCCTTTGAGATCCCAAGGCCAACACAGCGCACAGCAACAAAAGCTTTGCATGGTAAAAAGCTCTGCAATATGCGCGCTTAATTTGAACATCTTATAATTTTAAAAGCATGCGTTCAGGCGCTGTTAAAATTAGAACAGTGTTTATGTTAAAAATAACAACATTTATATATATATTCAATGCGCAGAAGGGCGCTTTTTTACTGTTTATGTTTAGCTGTGACATGCTCGGAAAAAAACAAACAAAAGCAACTAGAAAAACAAAAATAAATCAACTGCTTATTGTGCTTCGTTGCCAGCAGCTCTTATCAGGCACAGCAGCAGCATCACATTAAACTTCGGTCCGGTTAAAGCTTCCGCTAAGCCACCAAAACCCACCCACAAAAAGCGCACACGATTCACAACCGAAGCCGACCACGGCGAAACGAAGCTGCGCGGTGTGGGGACGAGAACGAAGACGTGGTGAAAGTCCCGCCACATCTAAGGCAAAACTGGGATAGCTGCTGCCTTGGCTTGGCCAGTCATTTGACATTGCTCCTGCGTAAAGGTTGTCCACGCGCAAAGCAAAACTAATCCGTCGTCGAGCAATTCGCCTCCATCCCGTTTTAGTGTGCGTCCGTCTGTGTGTGTGTGTGTGTGTGTGTGAGTTGTTTTTAACACACACTCCCATTTATGGGTATACATATATGTACCTAAAAAAGTTAAAGTGAAAAGTTTCTCAAGCGGTTAACCGAGCCCGAGCCCGTAATCAAACAAGTGCAAATCGTTAAGTGCTTTTCGCCAGGCGAAAATGGCTCAATTTGTGACTCACATACAGCCAACGCTGATGGAGGCATCGCAAGGTCATATGCCGCACCATCATGGCCATCAGGTAGGCGTGCAGCATTCGTCGCATTTGCCACACAGTGGCCATAACATGCCATCGCCACCCACGGGCCACAATCATCACCAGCACCAGCACCATCATGGAGGACATGGAAACGCGTCCTCGCATCAGCAAACCCAATCGCAATCGCAATCCCATCAATCGCATCATCATCATCCAGAGCAGCAGCAGCAGCAGCAGCAGCATCATCACAAGAAATCACATCATCCGACGGGTCATGCCAATGCCAAGGCGCCAATCCATCAGAGTCCACCAAAGCAGGTGTCTCCGCCGCCTGCCGAGCATGTGGGCCACTACGAATACTTTCAGCATCAGCATGAGCTGGCCTTTCAACATGTTGGTGCCACGCCCGGCACCAGCAGCAACAGCAAGCAGCACCATCACGATAAGCATGAACACTGCCCCACAGGACACCAGAGTGCGGTGAGTTTCAGGCTTACATCATCTCTGTCCATGGTCGTCGCATCATATGATCGCGTTCAGATTGCGAACCCTTAAGCTAGTCTTATACTAGATTGTTCTGGTCTACTCCATGCACCTACTTGTGTTTATGTATGCACATATATATATATATATGTGTGTATCTGTGTGGCAGGCAGCCCAGCGGATGACGCAATCGCAATCCTTGAGCTGGAATAACTGAATGCCAAATGAGTCATCGACCATCTTTCGCTGTCCTTGTTGGCCATTAAACGCTCCATGACGACTCTCGGGCGTCACGTCGTCTCCCAGGCATCATTTACTGTTTATTAAAAAGCTTCAAAATTAGACAGACCGCCCTCCGCGCCCTTCAGTACCAGCCCCGCCATTACCCTTCGCCGCGCCTCCACAACACATTTAACCGCAAAAGCCATGCCCCATTTACACGTTTGCCCCACCCCCCCCTCACTTAATAGCAGCCCCCACCCTCCTCATCATCCTGTACTCTCGAGAGCTTTTTTTTTTGCTGTTCTTCTCTAAATTCTGTGTGTTTCGAATTGTTTAAAAATAAAACCAACTGGCGAATTTCTCTTTGTGCTCTCTTCGCATCGGTTTGTAGCCTCTGGCAGAGGGCTTCGGGCGGCAATCGAAAATAATTTAGAAAACGACTCAAATCGCTCGCTGTCTGTTGTTCTTGGTGCGGTCTCTGCGTGTGTGTAAATATTCCATAGAAATTTACTGAAAAATTATTAGCGTATGTGTTTTTTAATTAACAAAATCCCAGCGAAATGGAGACATTGAAGAAACGCTTCCCGTCGCTGCAGAGTTTGGGCGTAAGTCGCTGCCAACTTGGAACCGTTTTTATGTAATATATTTACCCTGTACCCAACATCTATGCAGTTGACCCAAAAATATCACATTGTCAAAAAAAAACAAAATAAGAGTAGAAAAAAAAAACACAGCTCTTTGTGCGAAAAATATTTCAATATCTTTTTAGTTTTGGTGCGTATGACGTGTACGTTGACGTCGCGTCGCGTCGCGTCGCGTCTGTCTGGCACGCGGTGCAGTGAACTAACTACATATAAGCTTAGGTGGTTGGGGGATGGGTGCGGAGGGGTACGCCACCCCAGGGAGCTTTTCACTAAATTGGCGTCTCACTTATTTGTGGTGCGTTTTTAAAGGTCGTCAAAGTTGTGCACAATTAGCTTGGGCCATGTCGTCTCGGGGCATTACCGTTACCTCTGCCTCTGCCTCTGCTGCTGTCTCTGCCTGCGCCTCTGCTTCTGCTGCTGTTGTTGTTGTGGCTCTTGTAATTTCATATGCCAACAGGCGATAGCCTCAGCGACGCCGACAGCATTTTTGAAGAACCTGAAAAAAATATTTCAAAGTTCGTCGAAGCTCAAACACTCTCAAATATTTTTAAAATATAATAAATTTATTTAAAGCCATTTTAATTTCAAATCTTACGAAATTAAGAAATGGTTTTCTTATATAAAAAAAAGGGAAGGAATATTTTTAAACAGATCTTGTAATTAGATAGAAAATCAACCAATAGAGAAAATTCAATTTTATCGCTTAAACATCTTTATTAAGAGCTGGACATTAAATATAAATAGGCACATTAACGGGAAAACTTAGATCATAAACTGATTTGAAAGAAATTTACAAATTTATTACAATGTGTTGTGTATAACCCTACTTTATTGGAGTATAGAGTATACGCATATATATATTTTGGAGTACCAGCTGACATGCAAACATGCAATTTAGTTTATTTAGTTTCAACCCCCCCTCAAAGTCCGAGGACTTTACCGAAAACCCTTTGCTGGCCAAAACAAATAAGTCAATGTTTGGCCAAGCGATAAAGGCTGAACTGCAGCTTAAAGACACCCTAAGGCGGGGGAAGGCCATTAATTAAATTCCAAAATGTGCGTCACACCTTGCTGCCACATGCCACATGCCACATTAGTTACCTCCCCTCCCCCCACCGCATAAAGCAGAGCAAGCACTTTACAATTTGCCCTGGTCACGATGCAATTCGAAATGCAATTTTATGCAATCGCTAGGGGTTAGTTGTAACCACTGCTCCAGTGCCACATGAGGGTGGCTTCCCTTCTGTCTAACTAATTTGTAACCCGAGCAACAACAACAACAACAACAGGGAAATTTGATGGCAATAGCAGAAATTGTGTCGTTCCTTTGCTTGGTTTGGCTTGGCTTACTTGGCTACGTAAAACGTGACTGGGATTGCATACGCATCTGATTGGGCTCGTAAGGGTGTCGGATTTTTTGGGGTTGTTAGTTGGTTTCTTATTGGATTTGTCCAGTTCGAATCTGGAAGTAAACAAAATCCAGTCAGATGTCGCGACTGCGCCAGCCAGCGTTACCCTGGAAGGTGACCAGCCCGCAACCAACTGTGGATTGTCTGTAGTTTCAACAGAGTATCCTGGTGGGCAAAGGACCTGCTTGTGTGTTTAGCTTAGTAATGACTCTATATGCTCGGCTAATTAGTTGGAATTCACTCAAATTACTTGCGCAGTTGGGTGCGCCAGGAAATAATTGAAAAGCTAATTAGCTGCCGAGGGAATAGTTTTCATTTGAGACATGCCACTATTATATAAATCCTTGAGGACTTTACACTTCATCTCCCAACGCAATTATCCTTGAGAATGTCAGTTATTCAAATTTCATTTTTCAATTATGTTTTCCAAGGCAATTATTTTTAAACAACGATCTCAACTTCTTTAATCTTCTAAAAGCTGGCGAATCTTTTGGGATTATAATGAATTCTTTGTTTGTTGCTGCACCCGCTGCACGTGTCCGCGCTGCATCGCTTCCAATAGCAAATGTCAACAAAGCGAGACGCACGTGCCAAAAGGGCGGCTTTCGCTTCCGCTTCCAGTAAACCACCCTCGGAGGGTGGCGCAGACGCAGACCGTGCGTGTGCGTTTCCAATTGGAATGTGCACGTGCGCAGGTCCTTCGAAAATCCTGGCGTTGCCGACAATTTCAACCACGACTGGTAGGACTCGTCGTGCCCAGCCAGCACGCATCCAGTCTGGAGTTGAACATTGAAGAAAACGGCAGCAAAAAAGCAAACGCTCCTCAGCGTGTATTTAGAAGCGACTGTGTTGAACAGAAAGGAATCCAATCAGACACACCAACACACCAACACAGTCACAGTTACAGTCACACATAAACGTACACTGACACACACAGGCACACAGACACCATACACACCCTCGCACACACATGCACTCGTCTACATAAGGCTTACATAAAATCTAAGGAAAAATCGATGCGATTGCATTTAAAATTCAATCAAAGAAAGTCTCAGCTAGTGAAATAACTTCGCGTTAAACTCGAATTGAAAAGAAAAATTCATTAGTTAGCCGAGTGAAAAAAAAAACTATGACTAATCAGTGACGACATACGCGAACTGCGCTTACACAATATCTCTATAATAGATATACGACATACCACATAAGATTGAAAATCGTTTGATATTTTCGAATTGCAAATCGGTGTACGCAAAATGGTCACTGAAAATGGAGCTCAGGTAATGATGAACCAGTTTATTTCATTTCATTTGCAGCGTGCATTTACTTTTCGCCCAGACTGTCTGGGTCGGCCATGTTGGCGTCCATTTTGCACATTATCGATTTTTCAGTGTCTGGACTGAAAATTTGCTGAAAAAACGCAATTAAATTTAATTTCCAAAACGATTTAGGCAACGTTTCTATTAAAATAAGTTTGTATGCTCTGTCTGAAAAGTTTTATTGATTTTGCTAAATCCGAAACTAGCATTGAAATCAAATCAAATTGCGTACTATTATAATCGTATTGTGTGGAAAACAATATGCTATAAATAAATAATTAAGCATTGTTAAGAGCTTGGGCACAATAGCGCATAAGCACAGCCCCCCCCCCCCCCCCTCCCTCACCATCAAACCGAACTGGGCGTGGTGCTAAGCTGTGCGTGTGTCCGTGTTCCGGCCCGTACTCGAGCCCATGCCCGTGGTGCAAGGTAATGTAGATTTAGGTTAAATTTAATGATGACATGCGACATTTGCGCCACACCGAAAGATGTAGAGAAAATCCATAATATGAGTCATTTTTCTTGTCACCTTTCCTGCTCCCAAGTGCAATAATGGAAATCAAAATCCATTTGTTGCTCCCTTTTTTGTAATTTGCACTCAAGTTTCGAGTGGGACCAAACATGTTGCCACTTGGGCGACATTTTGCTGCACAAGTTCAAAGGAAATCCACTTCAAGGCTTCAACCAACTTACTTTACATCAAGCATTCAATTTATACAACTCGAGCCTCGTTATACAATGCCTGACAAGCACCTTTGAACTTTGGGCCCCAATGTCTGTCTGTGTGTGTGTGTGTGTGTGTGTCTGTCTTTGTGCTGGCCCCTCATCAAGCTGGGCAAACACGGAAGCAGCCAGCGCCGAAAGACATCCTTAAGAGTTGGCTTCCATATTTGTACACATATTTGAACAGGCATACGAAATGAGTTTTGCGTTGGCCCAGCCATGAAAAGGAGTCGCTCACTTCCGTATTGATAGACCGTGTAGAGCCGGCTGTGTGGCCGGGTGGGGGCTGGGCAGGCGAGCCCTCCTTCTCTGCACTGCAGCGATGGCTTGGGATCCGACAGGAAATGGCGGCTCGGAACTGTGGGTGCCGCCTGCGGTCACCTTAACGGCGTCGGTTTTGAGTTCCAGTGCGAAAACTGTCCAAGTCGAAGCCGCCTTCCAATTGCATTTTCCAATGCCACGGCATGACGTCATATTCGATACCGAATTCCAGGCTGCGCAACACCCCTACCCCTCGCTGCCTGCTGTTGCCGCTCAGTCGAGCAAAAGGAAAACATAAACAAATTGTGGGTGGCTATGAAAAGGGGGCAGCTGTTGGCGCAAAGCCGAATTACACCTGCGCATTGTTAAAGCCGACGTTGAACCCTCGCCTTGACCGTTGCTTAGCTGAACTTGGCCTCCCCTGCCAATCCTCCCCCCTTGCGACAATAGCAGGTGCACAGCTCACAGCGAGCGAGCTTCGATTGCGCAACGACTGTAACGGGTATTTACCTGTGTTTTATGCAGCATGGCGATCAATAACAGCCCTAACAAAGCTCATTTTATGAAAACGCAGCTGACACGCAACTCGCAGTTGGCCCAGGGCACCAGGAAGCCCCCCAAGCCACAATCAAGTTCAAGTGAAAAACGTTTAATCAATACTTAAATAATTGCCATTAGTCTAGATATAGAATATTCTTTATTAATATAGATACTAACTGTAGACTGTCGACTAGTTCCAAACGAGCGTACGGGTTTTTATGCAATCCCCTTTTGCCGGACTCCCAGCTTATTATTTAGCTAGTCCTTTTTCCTTGACTCCCTGTCTTCATAGAATTTCCATACTTTTGTTTGTAGTCATATTAATTTTAATTATAATTTAATTATATTAATATTAATTTATAATTTACAGGGCGATGGCAACACTTCCTTCCTGCGTGCCGCACGCGCCGGCAATTTGGAGCGCGTGCTGGAACATCTGAAGAACAACATTGACATTAACACCAGTAATGCAGTAAGTTAAATCTTGAGGAAGTGTTAAGCCCATGTTTTAAATTTCCGTGTGGATTCGTTGCAGAACGGCTTGAATGCGTTGCATTTGGCTTCCAAGGATGGACACATACACGTGGTCTCGGAGCTGCTGCGACGCGGCGCGCTTGTGGACAGCGCTACTAAGAAGGGCAACACGGCTCTGCACATTGCCTCGCTGGCGGGACAGGAGGAGGTGGTGAAGCTATTGCTGGAGCACAACGCCTCCGTCAATGTGCAGTCGCAGAATGGCTTCACGCCCCTCTACATGGCCGCCCAGGAGAATCACGATGCTGTTGTGCGCCTACTGCTGTCCAATGGCGCCAACCAGAGTCTGGCCACGGAGGATGGGTTCACGCCACTGGCAGTGGCCATGCAGCAGGGACACGATAAGGTTGTAGCCGTGCTCCTCGAGAGCGATACTCGTGGCAAGGTGCGTCTACCAGCGCTCCACATAGCTGCCAAAAAGGATGACGTCAAAGCAGCTACGCTTCTACTGGACGTAAGTAAATGCTGTTAAGATTACAACTGTTCAGATCACAATTGGATACTTATGTTTGCATTGGATCTACAGAATGACCACAATCCGGATGTGACTTCCAAGTCGGGCTTTACGCCGCTGCACATTGCCTCGCACTATGGCAACCAGAACATTGCCAATCTGTTGATCCAAAAGGGTGCCGATGTGAACTACTCGGCCAAGCACAACATCAGTCCTCTCCACGTGGCTGCCAAGTGGGGCAAAACCAACATGGTCTCGCTGCTGCTCGAGAAGGGTGGCAACATTGAGGCCAAGACCCGCGATGGCCTCACACCGCTCCACTGCGCTGCCCGGTCCGGCCACGAGCAGGTTGTGGACATGCTGCTGGAGCGCGGAGCACCCATTAGCGCCAAAACCAAGAACGGTCTCGCACCATTGCATATGGCCGCCCAGGGCGAGCATGTGGATGCCGCTCGTATTCTGCTCTACCATCGCGCACCCGTTGACGAGGTGACCGTTGATTATTTGACTGCTCTGCATGTGGCCGCCCACTGCGGACATGTGCGTGTGGCAAAGCTTCTACTGGACCGCAATGCCGATGCCAATGCACGTGCCCTCAACGGGTTCACGCCCCTGCACATTGCTTGCAAGAAGAACCGCTTGAAGGTTGTCGAACTGTTGCTGCGCCACGGCGCCAGCATAAGTGCCACCACGGAGAGTGGCCTGACCCCGCTGCATGTGGCCGCATTCATGGGTTGCATGAATATTGTCATTTACTTGCTGCAGCACGACGCCAGTCCGGATGTGCCCACTGTGCGCGGGGAGACTCCATTGCATTTGGCCGCACGCGCTAACCAGGTGAGTCATTCAAATATTTACTTAAAATAACTGTTACAAATTATTGACGTGAACTTATATCGATAACTCAATCAATCGATAGCTTAATGATATAGTGTGTATCCGAAAAATATCGATAAAATAATAATCTACTTAGCTTCAGTATATTTTATTTAATTAAAAATACTAAAACGTCTATTTGAAAATGTTTGTTTATTAATTTCAGACGGACATCATCCGCATACTTTTGCGCAATGGCGCCCAGGTCGATGCACGAGCTCGGGAGCAGCAAACCCCGCTGCATATCGCCTCGCGACTCGGCAATGTTGACATTGTGATGCTGTTGCTGCAACATGGCGCTCAGGTGGACGCCACCACGAAGGATATGTATACGGCACTGCATATTGCTGCCAAGGAGGGTCAGGATGAGGTAAAAGATTTGATTGCCAAAAAGATAACGGATCACATCGACACCGTCTACCTGATGCAATTGTTTTGGATACGTCATCAGGAGTTTTTCATTTGAAATTGGCTTTTAAGTTTTATTTTGTATTGTACTTGCTTTTGTTTCTGTTACGTTCATCGAGTATTACGAGTATTGTTGTGTCTTTTGTTATTGTCTCTTATGTTGGCCATAAAAATAAATGTGTCCACTTCTTTAGTATTATCTTGGTACTTATTATTTCGATTTTATATTTTGTACTTTTTATGATTTTAAGATCATCTACCGTATTTAGTTTAAGCTCACCATCTAAACAGGTAGCTGCACAAATGCACCGTTTCGATTAGTAGTCTTTCCGAAATGCATCGCATCAATCGATAAGCGATACTTATCGATACAACAAATCGCACTTTGAAACACTAGAAATGGCGCACTTAGAAGTCCGCTCGCTGTTAATTTATATGTTTTTACTTGTGTAGGTGGCCGCTGTGCTGATTGAGAATGGAGCCGCTTTGGATGCGGCCACCAAGAAGGGATTCACGCCACTGCATCTGACGGCTAAGTATGGGCACATTAAGGTCGCCCAGCTGCTGCTCCAGAAGGAGGCGGATGTGGATGCGCAGGGCAAGAATGGTGTCACGCCTCTGCATGTGGCCTGCCACTACAACAACCAGCAAGTGGCACTGTTGCTGCTAGAGAAGGGCGCCAGTCCACACGCAACCGCCAAAAATGGACACACACCGCTTCACATAGCGGCGCGCAAGAACCAGATGGACATTGCCACCACTCTGCTGGAGTATGGCGCTCAGGCCAATGCCGAGAGCAAGGCTGGATTTACGCCACTGCATCTAAGCAGCCAGGAGGGACATGCCGAGATTTCCAATCTATTGATCGAGCACAAGGCTGCCGTTAATCATCCAGCCAAAAATGGTCTTACCCCTATGCATCTGTGCGCTCAGGAGGACAACGTAAACGTGGCAGAGATTTTGCAACGCAACGGCGCCAATATCGACATGGCTACTAAGGCTGGCTACACACCGCTGCACGTGGCCTCGCACTTCGGTCAGGCTAATATGGTGCGTTTCCTGCTGCAGAACGGTGCCAACATTGACATGGCCACCAAGGCTGGCTATACACCGCTGCATCAGACCGCTCAGCAAGGCCATTGCCACATTGTCAACTTGCTGTTGGAGCACAAGGCGAATGCCAATGCCCAGACCGTCAACGGTCAGACGCCACTGCATATTGCACGCAAGCTGGGCTACATCAGTGTGCTCGATTCTCTAAAGTCGATTACAAAGGAGGATGAGGCAGCCTCTGTGCCCGGTGCTCAGACCGAAGAAAAGTATCGCGTAGTCGCGCCAGAGGCCATGCACGAATCCTTCATGTCTGACTCGGAGGAAGAAGGTGGTATGTACATATTTGCTTTCATATTATGTTATATTTGATTTTTCGAACACATCCATCCTCCACTTGGTTGCCAGCACTCAGACTAACAGCAACACCCTAAGTTATGACTAGTTTTAAGTAAAAATAAAAAACCCGAAAAATACCCGCTTTTATGTGTGCCGTCAGGTGACACAGATTGGGAATTGGATGCTTGCTACGAGTTTGGCATTGGCGGCGATTGTGCTAACCCCAACCGCCACAGGCCAAACCCCCATGCCTTTCAGCCGTATTACCAGGGCGACTATCTGTATGTGTCCAGTAAGTGTCAATGAACGTTGCAAGGCCAATTGTAAAATTCGTATTTCTACATATTTTGAAGAGTCGACTGCTATCAAGTGCACCCAATTGGCATATGATTGGCATCCAAATGGAATCCAAATTAACCAGCACTTTATATGGTTGCTCGCATAATTGTATAAATTATATCTTGACGTTGTTGTTAACACAAGACACGTGTTTGGCGTGTTTTTACCTGGGCTGCAAACCCCAAATTTAGTCGCCGAAGGCTCGAGCCAACTATCTGCCTCAAAGTTCGTTCTGTTTTTCCACATCTTCTGGCGTTGTCAATGATTTTCAGAATTCATATGAAATAAATAAATTTTTAATTTATAATTGCCCGTTCTACTGAAAATATTGCATGTCGTACATATTTTCATATAGAAGTTGCGGGCTACATTTGATATACGCGCAAAATTGGCATCCACCATATATAATTAGATAAATCCCATGGTTGGGCCAAAGTATTTTATGTCCAGTCGGGGCTGAGCCTTCCTCAAAGGCGTTTTATTTTAAGTTAAATCTTTTTTGCAGTCGGTTTGCAGCCTTGGTTTTTTCATACCTTCAATTTGTTTTATTTATTTTGTTTACTTTACAGAATGAAATCGTAATGTATTGTAAATCGAGTTTGATTGTTAGATAAATATCGTTTACGGTTTCATTTCCAATGTCCAATTTGTTTGTATTTTAACCATGGCCATGTAAATATACCTACAACGGTTAGGTTTCTGGGTGTTTAGAAGAAAGATATGGAGAAGACCAGCTTGACTTAACAATAATCTTTCCATTAAGATCAATGTGGCATGAAAAACTATATGATAATGATGATAAGATGTATCACATATTATCTATAAACTAAGTTATATATTAATGCTCCTATTTATTATTCATGCTAGCTTTACATATCATCCAACTATATTCATATTGTTAATATACGTACATATATAAAAAAAAAAGATATGCATGTAGATTGTACAAAATTTGTCAACTAAAAAAAACTCATTTGCATTCTTCTATTTTCAATGCACCGCGCTCTCATCAACTGCAAAAAAAAAAAACAACAACAACAACCGAAACTAAATCACCAAACAACACAATACAACAACAACAACAACAACTACGCTATATGGCCAATTGACTGTCTTGTGCTTAATTGAAATGCGCTGGAATGTAACCGAAATGCTACGCAAATAATCGAACACCAAAATCTAGGCGAAGACAATATGCTATCCGATCAACCTTATCGCTATTTGACCGTTGATGAAATGAAATCCCTAGGCGACGACTCGCTACCAATTGATGTGACCCGCGATGAGCGTATGGACTCCAACCGGATGACCCAAAGTGCCGAGTATGCCGGCGGTGTACCGCCTACAATTGGCGAGGAGATGATCAGTCCGCACAAGGCTCAGGTATATGGCTCTTCGCCCAAGGCAACTGTTGATGGCGTCTACATTGCCAATGGCATTGGCAATGAAGAGCCACCGCATGTGGGGTAAGTGACGAATTGGAGTGCTTAAATTGTATATGTCTAAATTGATGTTTGTTAGTCGCAAGCTGAGCTGGAAGAGCTTCCTGGTCTCATTCCTGGTAGATGCACGCGGCGGTGCCATGCGTGGCTGTCGCCACAGCGGCGTGCGTATGATAATTCCGTCGCGCTCCACCTGCCAGCCGACGCGGGTGACCTGCCGCTACGTAAAGCCGCAGCGCACCATGCATCCGCCGCAGTTGATGGAGGGTGAGGCCTTGGCCAGCCGCGTGCTGGAACTCGGACCCTGCTCGACCAAGTTCATTGGGCCCGTGGTAATGGAGGTGCCACATTTCGCTTCGCTACGTGGCAAAGAGCGCGAGATCATCATACTTCGTTCCGATAACGGTGAAACCTGGCGCGAGCACACCATAGACAACTCTGAGGAGATCATACACGATGTCATGCAGCAGTGCTTCGAGCCAGAGGGTGAGTGTACTTATTTTTATCTGTCCGTTTCGCCGTGCAAATAAGGTGTTTGTGTTCCCACAGAAATCGCTCAGCTGGAAGAGCAGGCCGGCAATCATGTCTGCCGCTTTGTCACTTACGATTTTCCTCAGTACTTTGCTGTTGTATCGCGCATACGCCAGGAGGTGCACGCCATCGGACCCGAGGGTGGCATGGTCTCGAGCACTGTGGTACCGCAGGTTCAGGCCGTCTTCCCTCAGGGCGCTCTAACCAAGAAAATCAAAGTTGGCTTACAGGTAAACCTCTTTAAACCACGCAAAGGCGTTGCGCCCGAGAAACTACGCAAGATAAGCGTCAATCATGTGCCCAAAAAGAAGCGCTTCTCGCTCATTTGGTAAACACCACTTTATGGGTGCAAGATCTACAAAAAAGTAATCAATCTACATAGTATATACTAATAATCGTGCATTTAACATACATATACAGCTTCCCTAACGTATAGCAATAACGAAAAGTTTTCCATTTACTAAAAATACGCATTTAAATACCAATTAATTAAATACATAGAAGATGTAATGCCGCTCCATAAAATCTGTAATACGCGTAGTAGTTGGTGAAGCCAAACCAAATAGATGATATACATTTAAATATATTTATATATCTATATATCTAGCAAGGCCAGAATGTAATTTCTAAGGCGTACTCGCAATGAAACCTATTATCAAATCAAAATATTAACATATATTTCAATAGATTTAGATTTGTTTAGAAATATTCCTACTTTGAATGCCTCTCGTTAAACTCTTTTTGTTGGGGGGCCCAAATGTTATTTATGAAATATGTGCACTTTGTTTGAATATGCTATATCACGACAGAACTAGTTGAGAATTTTTTTTTGGCACTGAGAAGATATTGAAATTATCCACGCTAACTTTATCACAAGAAAGAACTACTTTATAGTGACTTGCAATAATACTTATATGAACTAATTAATATATTATGACGATTGATCATGGATCAAGCGACGTATGGCAGATCGCGTATTTACTTAAAGCTTAATACTTAAACAATAATACGATTTTCCAGTTGATCGAGACAAATTAAGTATATACACAACAATTTAATACTATATATATGGTATATATATATTTATGCCTATTATTATTAATCTATCATACTTGGAAAAATTACATATGCATAAGATTATAAAAGTTTTCTGAAATGAAGTACTACCCAATAAATTTAGTTCAACAAAAACTTTATACCAATGAAAATCTTTTCATTAATTTTCATTTTATTAATTCATTTTTCATTAAATTGCTTTTTTGAGAATAATAAAACAATGAAAACATTCTAAAATATACAAAATAAATGTATATATGTATTGTTAAAGTGCTTAGACCGTTACAATTGGGTTCGGTTCTGAAGTGCCTAACGAAGTTGTAACATTTTAGCCATGCTGTAAGCAAAAAACGATTTTATGATGGCCCCACTCATGAGTTCAAATTTTAGCACATATTATTTGCATTTTGTATAATTCAATAATATAGATATACATATATGAAATCTATATTTTCTTATTTATTTCAAACTTTTCGTTTTCTAGAGTATTAAGTTGTAGTCAAAGTTTTTTTGATGACTAAATTTATTGGGACATAAATGGGCTTGAACATTGTTATTGTTTGTAGTTAACATATGCTGTATTTAACTAAAACATGCGATTGCTCAATATAACCATAAAAATAATAGTATGAATGATACATCCAAACTAAATAAGCATTGTAAAATAATATACAAAAAGGAGAAAAAATGTTCACCATTTAGCCCAAAACTCATTTCATTTGTCTGTCGTTTTTAATTGTTTTATTTGTATTTTATCATTTGAATTATATGCATAATTAAATGTACAGACAATATAAGCAAACACATGGCGCATAATTCGTATATATATATATATATATACTTTTCATTAAACATTTAATTTTATTTAGTTAATTTGTCTCATGCCTCATATTGTAAGAGTGGCCGGAAATCGATTTTTTTTGTCTACAGTGTCGAAAATTCGTTACATTTCTAGGCCCAACCGGTTGATCCTGATCTAACTGCTAAACTGCTGGGTCGCGGCGTTGCCGTATCGCCAATTGTAACGGTCGAGCCGCGCCGGCGCAAGTTCCACAAGGCGATCACACTGAGCATGCCCGCCCCGAAGGCGCACAGCCAGGGTATGATCAATCAATATTCGGGCAATACGCCAACTCTGCGCCTGCTGTGTTCAATAACAGGTATGTTATAATTGTTACCGTCGCACCTATATGTTTTTGTGTTGTTGTAAAATGTGCTCATAGCAATTACATAAATAATGAGTATTTACTTAACATTACGTTTTGTTAGTTGTTGTTTTATGAGTAACTTCCCGAAGCCTCTCTCTGTACCCTCAGCTTTCATTTCTATTCATTCCTATTTAATTGTTTTTTTCTTATGTTGTTATTAGTTTCTATTCGCCATTGTTTCGGTCCTAATAGACTCTTGTCTGTATTTAGTATGATTTCGTTAAGTATTACTTTCTTTAACTTGTCTATTAAACTAACTATAATGTACTACATACAATTATCATGTACTATATATATACTACATGCCATATATCTATATACATAATGTTGTACAGTGAAAATTGCCAAATTATATAAAGAACGTATTGAAATTATATCAAGTTCGTGAATTGCCAATATCCAGGTCGCATTTGATAGAAACAATGTGCTTGTGTCTGTGTAGTTGATGCGTATAAGTTGTTCGGGTTAAACTATTTAGTCAAATTTACATGAAATTAAATATACATTAGCCTCGTTTTTATTCAATTACCTACTACATTAAGCGAGTTGTTACAGTAACCGTAACAGTAACAGTAACAGTAACCATTTCAGTAGCCGTAACCGTAACAGTAACAGCCACCGTAACAGCAACAGCAACAGCATAGTAAATTTCATTCACCCTCGCATACAGACATAGATACGCTCATACTCCAAACTACACCCACACAAATACAGATACAAATACGAATCCTCTCTCACACATATTCGTACTCAATTAAATGTTATGCTCAGTGTCATCATTGTGCCAACAGTGTTTGCTCCAGATTATATATACTATATTTGTCATTGTTTCTTATTTATATGTACATAAATACTGTTTAATTTCTATGATTTCCGTTAAATTACTTTAATATGATTATGATTTGTTTAACAAAGCAAAACTTAAAACAAAAACAAAAACTACAAACAAACAAATAGTTTAATTCAAGTCATAATTGAAATTGTATTTAATTGTTCTATAATTTTGTACTAATGCGTCAATGCATATGTGCACGCATTCCATTCTGTTTTCTCAATCCATTGAAGGTGTGTTTCGGAAAAGGTCTCTAAAAGGTAACTAAAAAATGAAAAATGTCCAAAATAAAATAAAATAAATTCAGAAATTCACAAACATGTATGAAGTTTTAAATTGAAACTGTTTACAAAATAAACAAAATATTTGTTCATATTTAGTTGTTTCGTTCTATGCCAAAATAATTAATAATAACAACATAGTTACTTAAATTGAAAATCAATCGATTATCAAAATACAAATGAAAAATTAAGCAAATTTCAATCAAAAAACAAAATAATAATAATGTTATTACAAAACAAAATATTTGAAAATTCTGCATATTTTATTTAAAAAAAAAAAAACTAAAAACTAAAAACTATTGCAAATATTTATAAAATTATTTTTTTATCTATGCTTTAAAATTATGTTTTCGTTTTTTTAATTTTTTGCATTAGTTTATTTTACCTCATTTTTAATTCTCTTTTAAATTTAAACTTACTGCCTTAATTCGTGTTGCGCTGCGTCTTTGGGGTTTTTGTAATATAAAATATAAAAACAACAGAAAAAGAAGCTCAGGACCACTTTCAATTGGGCCTCATTTTTGACCCTTCCATACAGCATAGTTCTCTATGCTCAGGCCATGTTAATGTTGTGCTTCTCTAGCTCAAAGCAGCTTCGTTTTTTGAAGTAAGCTTACTTTCCAATTCACTTTTAAGAATCTTAAGCTTGTCATACAAACATCTTTGCTGCGTTCTCTCTCTCTCTCTCTCTCTCTCTAATCTACTTACAATAATTACAAACTAATTAAAGAATTTGTGACTGCACGCGGTTTTACTACTCATATATAAATTGCACATTTTCATTAAAACGTTAATAGGTCTCAAATAAGAAGATTTATAAGAAAATGCTAAACGCTAAAGTTGCTCTTTGGGCCAAACGAACCGAATTGAAATCCAGCCAGACTAAATCAATTTTATTCGATCTTATTTTCAATTTCTAATCTGTCATATTCTTATCTGTATGTTTATTTTAATCGAGTTCTTCATTTGGAATGTCATGCACTTAAGGTAATTCGTAGATTCGTTAGTTATATTAGAGTGTTCAGATTTTAGTTTTGTGTCGTATTTTTTTTTGTTATTTTTTCTTATAAGTTCCACATAAAGCAGAATATATTCATATATTATGTATAAATTGTTTTCCAAAAACCAAAATCAATTTCGAATTTCAACTGTTTGTGGCCCCAAAGAGAACTTTTCTGAAACCGAAATAAAAAAAAAAACCAAACGAAATATTCACACAAAAAAAAAATAGAAAAATAACTTTAAAAGAAAATCAATTGAATGCTATGGCAAGCCCTATTATATACGAACAAACAATATATTTTGTTTAATGTATATAGAAAAAAGTTGACAGTCTTTTAGTTAAACATGTTTTATTATAATTATATGATTTATTTTCGTTCTATTTTGATTTTGATTATGTATTGTGTTTTTTTTTTGTACTTTCATTTTCTACACATTTACCAGAAACACGTGACACGCTCACTTAATTATCATTAAAAACCTACTAATTTTATTATTCCAAAATATTTAGCATGTTGTTTCAAAATGGCTTCAAAGTCCGCGTAACAAGTACATTTGTATTTGTATCCCTGTAAATGCTACAGCCCTATAAAGCTATCTAATAAATACATAATATGCTTGAGTCCCAAGTGCGACATTTACATATCCACACAGACACACACACACACACACACACACACACACACACACACACACACACATATGTACATCTACCCATAATATATACAAGGCTTAGACCTAGCCCAGTCACTGCATCACATTAATCTGTATGCCACAGAGACACAGACCACAAGAAACAATTTACTAATTTTTCTATAACTTTTGCGCTAAATACATAATGAAACTTTTTAGAAATAATGAAACTTAATACTTTTCAATAATAATAATCTTATCATACAATTGCTTTGTAATTAACACACGATCGTATTTCTCTCTCTTTCAAAACTTTTGAGTTGAGTTTTCGTTTTCAAATTAGTTGACCAATTTTAAAATTCTATAACGATCTGCTAATAAGACATAAGTAGAGTTTTCAAAGAGTTTTTAATATTTAGTATATGCGTTTCCTTTGCCATGATGTATGCTTGAAAATTGAACATCTTATTACATCCATCAACCACCAGGCGGACCATCCCGAGCCCAATGGGAGGATGTAACCGGTTCCACACCGTTGACATTTGTCAACGATTGTGTCTCGTTTACGACCACAGTATCTGCCCGTTTCTGGCTAATGGATTGCCGCAACATTTCTGATGCAACCAAAATGGCAACAGAGCTGTACAAGTAAGTGTCCATCAGGGAGCAATGCTATGCTTTAGTTAGAGATCTACTGACCATGTCGTTTATAGGGAAGTCATTCACGTGCCCTTCATAGCCAGATTTGTGGTATTTGCCAAAAAAATAGAACCCTTCGAAGCACGTTTACGTGTTTTCTGCATGACTGATGATCGCGAGGATAAAACACTTGAGAAGCACGAACTATATACGGAGGTCGCCAAGAGCCGAGATGTTGAGGTGCTCGAGGGCAAGCCCCAGTACATTGAAATGGCCGGTAACCTGGTGCCTGTTACCAAGTCGGGTGATCAGTTGCAGCTGCAGTTTAAAGCCTTCCGCGAGAACCGTTTGCCATTCACGGTGCGCGTAAAGGATCAGCACGCAGATATTGTTGGTCGCACGCTGTTCATGAAGGAACCCAAAGTGGCTAAGGGTGAACCACCCCAGCAACCCATCTGCATACTAAATATTGTTCTGCCGGAAGCCGTCATACCCGATTCGACGACAGCGTTCTCGGAACGGGTCTCTTCTGCCTATCGCACCTCGATGTTCAGCTTGAGCAAGCATCAAAACGACCATTACATTGGTGATATACGCATCGTAGATCTGTCCAATTTATTGGGCAAAGATTGGATACAACTGGCACCAGAGATAGGCATAACCGCTGATGAGATCGATGAAATCATCAACCAAAATACGGACAGTATTGCGCGCCAGGCGCAGAGCATGATCCGTTTGTATAAAGATAAGCCAAACTATGATATTTTGGCGCTGGAAACGGCGCTCAAGAACATTGGACGCGACGACATCATGAAGAAGTGCAAAAGTGGTAGACTATCACATTCACGCGAATTTGACGAGGCAGATCTCATGAAGAACTCCGAATCCGTAGAGGAGCTAGTTCGCAGAGAAAGTATATACTCGGATACTCTGTGGTGTAAAAAAGTAAGTAAGTAACTAAATATTTATTTTTAGGCAAGCGAATCCAGCAAATCAATGAGCGCGAAGAAGTTAAATACTCCGCAGAGGAGAAGGAAGTCGAAGAATCTGAGTCCGATGAGGAGCCAGCAAAACGAACCGTTGCCGAGCGCCGAGAGAAAATTGTGAAACGTCTTTCAGTGGAACGCTCCATACCAGCCTCAACCCAAAAGAAGGAAATTACTCGAGAGATAACCGAAATCAAACGCAAGAGTTTGATTGAGGATAAAAAGGCACATCACGAATCGGAGATTCTAATGCAATTACCCGCCGACAATGTCATAATAAAAACGGCGACTGTGCCCGAGCAGGTCATCAAAATGAAGATGGGCAAAATGGATTCGGCCGAAGTGAGCAAAACCGAATTTGACAGGGAGTTGACGCACAAGTTGAAAACTTCTGGGCGCAGCTCTGAGGAAGAAGAGGTACCTTCTCCAGACAAGATTGATAAGATTATCCAGGACATTAGCACCGCTGAGAAGACAGCCAAGAAGGACACGGCTACCACTAGTCGAGTGGCTACAATTACCCGCCAGGAAGCACGTGATATGACCGAGGATTTCTTGGAATTCGAAAAGCGCAGCCAATTACCAGCTGCCACAACAACGGCCACGGTTCACGAGAAATTCGTAGAGGAGATCAAAGAAAAGACAAGTCCAGTGGCAGCAATGGCACAGGATACGATTAGAGAGGTCGAACAGGTCATTAGCGAGGTAACCGAAACTGCCAGTAAGAAGGTGGAGAATATAATAAGTTCTTTCGAGAGTGGCAAACAGGAGATCAAGGAGAAGAGCACAGTGCTGGCCAGTGAGGCCGCCAAAGAAACAACGAAGGTCAGCGAGACCATAAAACATCTACAAGATGCACAGTCTTTATCCATTGAAGAGTCCGCCAAAACAGTCCAAATTGTAGAGAGCACAAAGATTGACGAAAAAATTGCTGATTTTGAGGCCAAAAAGGTTAAATACGATTTCCACGGCGGAGAACCAAAGACACATATACCCAAACCTGTTAAGAAATCTAGCGAGGACACGCCTAAACCTACAGCGGCTCCTCGTGCCGCAGCTGAATCTGACTTTGAGAAACCATCTGAAGCAAAAGTGGAGAAGCATCTTTCCAAAATACCAGTCAAAACTGGCGACGCTGCAAAGATTGCCGAAGTGGATGCACGACAGTTGACACAAGATTTTCTGCAAGCTGAGCAAAAGGCGCAACTGGCGGCTGCTGCTGAACATAAAGCTGCTGCTGAGCATAAAGCAGCTCCGGCTGCAAGTAAGATACCTAAAGTGGAGCCCAGAAAATCGGTGGAGAAGCCGATAGAAAAAGAGACGAAAGTCTTTGATGATATTGTTCTATCTACTGCCACCATAATGACATCTGGAATGGCTAGCGAGTCTCCCAAAGAGCAACCGGAAATTGCTGCCAAGGCCGAAACTGTAACTGAAAAGTTGACCGATCTGATTCACACTTTCCACAAACTCGAAGATAGACTAATCAAAACTGAAAAGCCCCTGGAAATAGCTAGCAAGGTGGTGGAGCTCGCCGGCACAAACGAGGAGCCTTTAACTACAGCTCAACAAGAACTACCAAAATTGTCTAAAAAGGAAGACAAAGTCGCAGAAAAGGTTGCCGAAGTTGTCGAGACATTCCACAAAATCGAGGAGCACATCGTACTTGATACTCACAAGCAAACTCATGATTTCCTTAGCATGGAACAGCAGAGTCAACTGCCCAGCATGCATAGTGCAACTGAGAAGATGCTCGAGTCCAGCCAGACATCAACAGCTTCTGAGCCCGAATCAGTGATAACTGTAAAGTCAGCGCCTCCTGCTAGCAAAATACCAGTAGTTGGACCCAGAAAATCATTAGTTGAGGAAACATTGAAGCCAGCTGAAATATCAGCACAGCACACACTTAAGGAACGTCAGCTTACAGCGGACTTTCTTCACATGGAGCAGCAAACCCAGCTGGAGTCTCAGCCTCAAAAGATCACAGCGCCTAGCGCTGAAGCGACAATCTTGCCTGAAATCAATCAGCCAAAGCTTGCTGCCAACGAACCTACTGCTATCGCTACCATAGATAAGGAAACAACAACCACTAAATTAGAGCCCGAAACAAAGATCGTTTCAGAAGATGGGATTGAGTCGGCGGCGCCAATTGGTGAAGTATCACCATTTGCCACACGCAAGTTGACCGCCGATTTCCTAACCATGGAACAACAGACACAGCTGCCCAGTGCTGTTAAAGACATCGGCTCATACGATAGTGATACATTCGACAAACGAGCCACTGTTCCATTGAGCGACATCGTTAAGGAAGCGGGTCTCTGTGCACCGCTGCCCATTGAGCCGCGTAAGTCGCTTACCGATGCGGAGTTTTGCAAATATGTGGGTGATACGATAACAAAAAAGATGAGCGAGGGTTTAATCGAAATGTCAGATGAGCTCAAACAGATAGGTGGGCTAAGTGGCAATGAGTACCGTATAAAATAATTATGCTTATGCAATTTTTTATGGAATTTCTAGCGAGCGACATTCCAGACTCCCAAACTCCGCCACCCACACCGAGTGATGCCAAAACTGAGAAGCAGGAGGAGCAAACCGATCTGGGCGAGCTAGAGCGAGGTAAATTGAGCAAAAATTCATAAAGTTACCAAATTAACTGATTGAAATATTTAACTATGTAGATTATCTAGCCGACACTGTGACCACGCTGCACACAACTACAGAGTCGACCTTTGAGCGTGTTGCTGCCATTTCCACAGTTGGTAAGTGCACGTTAAAATTGCTGCCTCTTTTATGCAATAAACGTATTTGTTATGTAAATTGATTTACCAACGTTTTATGTTTGCCTTTTTGGTAAAAGAAAATGAACTCGTAACACCCCGTTTCTTGTTTTCTCATATGATTTTTGAGCCATCTGTAGTGTATTCTTTTGTTTATCGACCAACATTTATGTTAGTACAAGTAATTGTTTTATGTTTCTCTTATTGTTATGTTGAACTCATTTCGTTTGAACTAAAATCCAAAGGCTTTTTGTATGCAAACAACCATTCATTAAAAACGACTCAATGGAAACGACAAAATAGTTCATTGTTAACAATTAATTGTAAAGCATAACCAACGAACTGCTAGTGTGTATATCTTAATCAAAAAAGTCTCTAAGTGAAAAAACCATAATTCGCAACTTAAGTTTGAAGCTCAGCGAGTGAATGGCCAGCAGGTGGTGACAAATAGCTCACAAAGAAAATGTCGTGATACCGTTGAAACGCAGTACTGTACCAACATTTGGTTAGCTAAATCCAATTATCTGCGCCCGCTTCCAGCTAAAGGTCGTGGAAATGAGGAAAACAAAGGCCGTGAAAATTCCTAATATTTTACATTTTATGTGGCGCCTTTGTTATTGTGACCAACTAACATTCAAAAGTGACAATGTCAACACTTAATATCCGTCTGCGAGTCAGTCCGAATCGATAAAACGATTGCATTCTTTTGGCTACGCATAGTTTCAAAGGTTTTACAACATATCAAACAAATAAATTGCTCAAAATAACAAAATTTAATTGAATATTGCTAGATCTAGATAGATATAGGCAGTGTATGCTTTATTTAATAGCTTGCCTCACCTCCTCTAAGTCTGAGGTGCACAATGTTGCACACTTATGTCATTGCGCAGGCCACAAAGCAATCGACAAGAGGTACGCGCTGGCGTATACTTAATTTAATTTGTTTCGTTCATTTGCGTGTAGTGCGGCAGCTAGCGAAACTTTGTCGCAGATTTAGTTACACATTTGTATTTCCCAAGTACGCGTGACGGTAATACGTAGCTAATTTTCTTGTGAATACGCCGTCTTCTGGCCAGACACCCATAATTGTGTCCTAATTTATTTGTGTTTCTTGTGCATTTGTTGAATTAAATATTAAATACAATTTAGTAACCGAGCATTGTAGCGTTGAGTTGTTGTTTGTGGTTTATTCAATGCATTAATAAATCAATTAAAATACAAAACAAGACATTTCCAAATCTAGATTAAATAAACTACACTAAACGTTAAAAAAAAAAAACAAACAACACTAAAGTAACTTTAAGTATTGTAATTTATGGTAAGTTCTCAAAAGCAAGTTTTGTGCAATCAATTTGAAAAGTTGCCTTTGTAATGGTTAAAAATCAAAAAAGTCCCTAACAAATATGATGGGTATCGCTAATAGGTCTCTCTACATCCAATTCTCTATCTTTTTAGTGATATAATCATAAAATAATTGTTTTTATCTACCATGAAGAACGACAATTACGTTTGCAATTTTTAACAATTATTTAAGCAATTCAGTTTATGTTTTTGTCAAATACTGCAAGCTACAATAATTGATTCAATTTGTATAACTTAAAAATACATTAAGTACAATTACAAGTTAAGCCAATAATTATTTCTTTTTTTTTTGTACATATAAGTACATATAACAATGTACAGAGAACTTGTAGTATACGATTTTTTTCATTAAGATAAACACTTTTGGCATACCGATTTTCGAAATTTCAATTCGAGCTACATAAAAAACATATGTGAAACGTAATGTGTATTGTGATCTTAAATGAGTTGAGCGACACGAAATTGTCCAATTCCATTGTGATCTCATGCATTTCGATCCCAATATGCCGCATTCAGCACTCCAATACCAATTTCAATATCTCAAAACCACCATGGCTTTAAGTTTCCAATATTTTTAATTTATTTGATTTGTGCAAATAATTATATTCTTTGTTGCTTTTCGTAATTTTTGTGAGTCCTCAACGAAAAAGCATTGTACTCTCATCTAAACCACGAATATCCTAACTAAATGTTTAGTATACAAAAAAAAAAAATAAATAAAAAATTAAATAACATTAAAATTCACAGTAGCGGTTACGTAAACATGCATAGAATAAATCGTATAAATCGTTTAGTTTATAGATTATTTGCATTTTGCATTTCCGGCTTTTAACAACAACAACAACAACAAAAACCACACTCTAAGTTGATTTGTATGCACCTCTAACGCGCTTCCTTATCTAATTGGCAACATACTATGTATAATGTATATGTATATGTAAATGTAATAGTTAGATTGAAAAAATATTTACAATACTTGGCATCGTATTGTCCATTTTTGAGAGCATATCGCATTAACGTATGTGACATATGATGTCGTGGCATAATTATACTTGCAGTACTTGCTAATTTTGTCTTTTTAGTTTGTTCCAAACAATTAAACATACATACATATTGCTTAAATATTCTTGTGAAAAATATGCAAACGTAATCAAACAAATTTATAGTTCAGTTTTGTTGAATGTATTTGAATTGAGACGAGGCTACAGCAGAATAGGGCAAGGAATCCACGACTTCATATAAAGCATACTAGAGTAAATGATATAAGAGAATATCGATTGCTCTCTGCCATCTGTCTATCCAGACATTTTGTGCTGCTTTTCAAACTAACTATGTTATTTAACAAGCGCATTTACTTATATCGTACCACAAATTGCATGTTTGTGCCTGCTGCTGGGTTTTTTGGCGTACAGCTTGTAGTTATGCGGCGAATTCTGAACGCCTGATCAATTGCACTGTGTATATAAACTAACCCACCATATAAGTTTGGTTTGTTTGTTTGTAATAGGTGTTAACTGTCTTAATATTGCCTTGTTTCTACTTCTTAAAATTGCGCTATCCTGGAACGCCTCAAACAGAGCACTTCAGTGTTCATAATGTTAAATCCGAAACATTTACAAGTACAGATGAAACTGATAAGCTGCTTCATAGAATGGCAGCTGACCCTAATATCCAGAAACCATACTTACCAGACACTACCTCATTTACAGAAATGAGTGCAAGTAGTCCAACTCCGAAACCGAAGACAACGACCACAACAACGACCCTGTCTACGAAAGTAGAACGCACCAAAATAGATTTAACTGCGACACCAAACGAACAGCAGCAGAAAGATCATTTTAAGACGGAGCTGGATAATGTCCAGCGGGATGCTGGTGATAGGGAGTATTTAGAGCAGATAATGGGCTGTGGTGATGTGAGACGCAAGATATTGCGTTTGGAGAGCAGTGGCAGTACGGAGTCCTTGGAATTCAGTGCCACACAGCAGAGTCTGCCACCCAAGTACATAGGCGATAAGGTGCCAGTTGTTAAGGATGTGGTACAGAGTATTGAGAATAAAATCAGCGGCACAGTGGTTGAGGCTATTCCCTTTACTGTACAAAAGCGAACAACAGATCATAAAGAGCCGAACATACTTGAGGTAGAGAAGCAAATTCTTACAGCTGCAGATATCGCATTGGATAAGTTGACCAAATGCGAACCATCTGCTGAAGTTGTAAAATTATCACCCGTCGAAGCAATGGAGCGTGGAGCAATTGGTATGGCGCACATTGAGGAGGCGGTTTGCGAGAGGGTTTGTGAGAAGCGAAAGGCCTTTGAGGTCGCAGAAGACTTAAATGAAACGCAAAAGACTTTGGAAGAACAGGTAGTAGGTTTAAATAGGCAAGTAAAACAGGTACCTGGCAGCATTTTAACAGCAAGTATTGATGAACACAACAAATTAGTAAGTAAGGAACAAGAACTAGAGACATTGCCAAAAGTAAAAGATGTAATCCAAAATATTGAACGTAGGTATCCCTCAACGAACTTAGAAGTCACACCGTTTAGTCCACGTAAACGTGAAATTGTAGATCGCAAGGCTGATATATCCTCGATAGAACAACAGATTTTAAATGAAACTGACTTGGTATTAGAAAACTTGGCTACAAAACGTGTTGCAGAACAGAAAATAGTTTCACCTGTTTTAGAAACGGGTAAAACAGGCACAAGTGTTGAAGACCTTGAATCTGTGTGCGAAAAGAAGTGCTCTAAGCGTAAAGTTTTTGACATGGCAACAGCGTTTAGTAAAGAACCACATAGTGAAGATATAAAATCAGCGACAGCTAAATTCTTGTCAGACGAAAAAACAAAATATGATGTATCTGAAAGTATTAACAAAACACCGGAAAGTGATTATAATATTTTAGATGAAAGTGGTAAACACGAATTTCCAATAGAATTAACTAAGGGCGCCAAAGAAGTAGTTTTTCCGAAACATGCACATACATTTGAGCGATTGCATTCAATTTCAAAAGCTGATATTGAAGACACAAAAGAATATATAAGCGTTACAACTGAGTACGAAAGGAGACTTAGTAAATTATTTACAGACGAAATCGGCCCAATATCTCAGTCGGATAATACCAAAGTAGAGACAGAAGTATTAGAAAAGTTTCCAACCTATGAAAAAAATGAAATGATATCAAACACATCATTTGATGAGGCTAACATCCAACAAACAAGTGAATTTAAGACAATATTCCCAGCAGATTTACAAAAAATAGAAAATGAAAGCGAGAGTGACGAGGAGATTGACCATCGTGAAAAACTACAACAAATCAAGCTTTCCCAAATTGAAAAGGTTCCAAAAAAACCTGTAGGTCAGATCACATTTGCAAGCGAAACGGAAGTTACTTACTCCACAGCTTCAAATAAAAATGAAAATAAAAAGTTTCCAACAAAGGAACATTTAGACCAGAACAAACTTCATCTTAACACCTCCAACGAAAAAGTTGACCTCAATAAAGAGGATCCATATATTTTCTCTCAACCTTTTTATTTAACAAATCCATTGCAGACACAAGCAAAACTAGCTGAAAACACCAGGTCCTCTATTGATGCATCTAAGCACATTCTTAAGGAATATTCTGATGACAAAGATATTGGTTTGGACAAGCCTCAAGACAAACTCCTTCCCTCCACCACACCTCTAGTACCTCTAGCAATGACTACAAGCAAAATTACTTCCGTGAGTGATACTCGCGAGTCTGTTGGTATTCAGATCAAAGATGTAGTTAAGCTGCAAATGGATCCTGTGAAGTCTGTTGAGGTACCCAAATCTCCAACTGATGTAGCGAAGACAGTATCAAAAGGGTATTCAGACGATGAGAGTGATGACGAATTTGGAATTGTCAAGCCACTAGATAAGTCTATTCCTTCAACCACTCCTCTGCTGCCACTTGCAGACAAGACCTTGCAGAAAACTGACGATATTGTTAAACCATTGACTGACTTGAAGGACGATAAGCCACAAACTAAATTAGCTGAGAAACCCATGTCCCCCATTGATGCAACCAAGCAAACTCTTAAGGAATATTCTGATGATGAAAGTGATGAAGAGATTTGTTTAGACAAGCCTCAAGAGAAACTTCTTTCCTCCGCCACACCTCTGGTACCTCTAGCAATGACTACAAGCAAAATGACATCCGTGAGTGATACTCGCGAGTCTGTTGATATTCACATCAAAGAGGAAGTTAAGGTGCCCAGGGATCCTTTAAAATCTGTTGAGAAACCCAAATCCCCAACTGATGTAGTGAAGACAGTTTCAAAGGGGTATTCAGACGATGAGAGTGATGACGAATTTGGAATTGTTAAGCCACTAGATAAGTCTATTCCTTCAACCACTCCTCTGCTGCCACTTGCAGACAAGACCTTGCAGAAAACTGACGATATTGTTAAACAATTGATTGACTTGAAGGACTATAAGCCACAAACTAAATTAGTTGAGAAACCCAAGTCCCCTATTGATGCATCCAAGCAAACTCTTAAGGAATATTCCGATAATGAAAGTGATGAAGAAATTGGATTTGATACCCCTAAAGAGAAGCCTCTTTCCTCAGCCATACCCCTGGTACCTGTAGCAATGACTACAAGCACAATTACTTCTGTGAGTGAAACACGCGAGTCTGTTGATATTCACATCAAAGAGGAAGTTAAGTTGCCCGAGGATCCTTTAAAATCGGTTGAGAAACCCATATCCCCAACTGATGTAGCTAAGACAGTTTCGAAGGGGTATTCAGACGATGAGAGTGATGACGAATTGGGAATTGTTAAGCCACTAGATAAGTCTATTCCTTCAACCACTCCTCTGCTGCCACTTCCAGACAAGACTTTGCAGAAAACTGACGATATTGTTAAACCATTGACTGAATTGAAGGACGATAAGCCACAAGCTAAATTAGATGAGAAACCCAAGTCCCCCATTGATGCATCCAAGCAAACTCTTAAGGAATATTCCGATAATGAAAGTGATGAAGATATTGGATTTGATAAACCTAAAGAGAAGCTCCTTTCCCAAGCCATACCCCTGGTACCTGTAGCAATGACTACAAGCACAATTACTTCTGTGAGTGAAACACGCGAGTCTGTTGATATTCACATCAAAGAGGAAGTTAAGTTGCCCGAGGATCCTTTAAAATCGGTTGAGAAACCCATATCCCCAACTGATGTAGCTAAGACAGTTTCGAAGGGGTATTCAGACGATGAGAGTGATGACGACTTTGGAATTGTCAAGCCATTAGATAAGCCTATTCCTTCAACCACTCCTCTGCTGCCACTTCCAGACAAGACTTTGCAGAAAACTGACGATATTGTTAAACCATTGACTGAATTGAAGGACGATAAGCCACAAGCTAAATTAGATGAGAAACCCAAGTCCCCCATTGATGCATCCAAGCAAACTCTTAAGGAATATTCCGATAATGAAAGTGATGAAGATATTGGATTTGATAAACCTAAAGAGAAGCTCCTTTCCCAAGCCATACCCCTGGTACCTGTAGCAATGACTACAAGCACAATTACTTCTGTGAGTGAAACACGCGAGTCTGTTGATATTCACATCAAAGAGGAAGTTAAGTTGCCCGAGGATCCTTTAAAATCGGTTGAGAAACCCATATCCCCAACTGATGTAGCTAAGACAGTTTCGAAGGGGTATTCAGACGATGAGAGTGATGACGACTTTGGAATTGTCAAGCCATTAGATAAGCCTATTCCTTCAACCACTCCTCTGCTACCACTTGCAGACAAGACCTTGCAGAAAACTGACGATATTGTTAAACAATTGACTGACTTGAAGGACGATAAGCCACAAACTAAATTAGATGAGAAACCCATGTCCCCCATTGATGCAACCAAGCAAACTCTTAAGGAATATTCTGATAATAAAAGTGATGAAGAAATTGGATTTGATACCCCTAAAGAGAAGCCTCTTTCCTCAGCCATACCCCTGGTACCTGTAGCAATGACTACAAGCAAAATTACTTCCGTGAATGATACTGGCGAGTTTGTTGATATTCAGATCAAAGATGTTAAGCTGCCCATGGATCCCGTAAAATATGTTGAGAAACCCAAATCCCCAACTGATGTAGCTAAGACAGTTTCGAAGGGGTATTCAGACGATGAGAGTGATGACGAATTGGGAATTGTTAAGCCACTAGATAAGTCTATTCCTTCAACCACTCCTCTGCTGCCACTTCCAGACAAGACTTTGCAGAAAACTGACGATATTGTTAAACCATTGACTGAATTGAAGGACGATAAGCCACAAGCTAAATTAGATGAGAAACCCAAGTCCCCCATTGATGCATCCAAGCAAACTCTTAAGGAAATTTCCGATAATGAAAGTGATGAAGATATTGGATTTGATAAACCTAAAGAGAAGCCCCTTTCCCCAGCCATACCCCTGGTACCTGTAGCAATGACTACAAGCACAATTACTTCTGTGAGTGAAACACGCGAGTCTGTTGATATTCACATCAAAAAGGAAGTTAAGCTGCCCAAGGATCCTTTAAAATCGGTTGAGAAACCCAAATCCCCAACCGATGTAGTGAAGACAGTTTCAAAGGGATATTCTGACGATGAGAGTGATGACGAATTTGGAATTGTCAAGCCACTAGATAAGCCTATTCCTTCAACCACTCCTCTGCTGCCACTTGCAGACAAGACCTTGCAGAAAACTGACGATGTTGTTAAACCATTGACTGAATTAAAGGACAATAAGCCACAAGCTAAATTAGATGAGAAACCCAAGTCCCCCATTGATGCATCCAAGCAAACTCTTAAGGAATATTCCGATAATGAAAGTGATGAAGATATTGGATTTGATAAACCTAAAGAGAAGCCCCTTTCCCCAGCCATACCCCTGGTACCTGTAGCAATGACTACAAGCACAATTACTTCTGTGAGTGAAACACGCGAGTCTGTTGATATTCACATCAAAGAGGAAGTTAAGTTGCCCGAGGTTGAGAAACCCATATCCCCAACTGATGTAGCTAAGACAGTTTCGAAGGGGTATTCAGACGATGAGAGTGATGACGACTTTGGAATTGTCAAGCCATTAGATAAGCCTATTCCTTCAACCACTCCTTTGCTTCCACTTGTAGACAAGACCTTGCAGAAAACTGACGATATTGTTAAACCATTGACTGAATTGAAGGACGATAAGCCACAAGCTAAATTAGATGAGAAACCCAAGTCCCCCATTGATGTATCCAAGCTATCTTTTAAGGAATATTCTGATGATGAAAGTGAGGAAGAGATTTGTTCGGACAAGCCTCAAGAAAAACTCCCCTCTACAACACCTCTGGTACCTCTAGCAATGACTACAAGCAAAATTACTGCCTTGAGTCATACTCGCGAGCCTGTTGATATCCAGATCAAAGATGTAGTTAAGTTGCCCATGGATCCTGTAAAATCTGTTGAGAAACCCAAATCCCCAACTGATGTAGCTAAGACAGTTTCGAAGGGGTATTCAGACGATGAGAGTGATGACGACTTTGAAATTGTTAAGCCACTAGATAAGCCTTTTCCTTCAACCACTCCTCTGCTGCCACTTGCAGACAAGACCTTGCAGAAAACTGACGATATTGTTAAACCATTGACTGAATTGAAGGACTATAAGCCACAAGCTAAATTAGATGAGAAACCCAAGTCCCCCATTGATGCATCCAAGCAAACTCTTAAGGAATATTCCGATAATGAAAGTGATGAAGATATTGGATTTGATAAACCTAAAGAGAAGCCCCTTTCCCCAGCCATACCCCTGGTACCTGTAGCAATGACTACAAGCACAATTACTTCTGTGAGTGAAACACGCGAGTCTGTTGATATTCACATCAAAGAGGAAGTTAAGTTGCCCAAGGATCCTTTAAAATCGGTTGAGAAACCCAAATCCCCAACTGATGTAGCTAAGACAGTTTCAAAGGGGTATTCAGACGATGAGAGTGATGACGACTTTGGAATTGTTAAGCCACTAGATAAGCCTATTCCTTCAACCACTCCTCTGCTGCCACTTGCAGACAAGACCTTGCAGAAAACTGACTATATAGTTAAACCATTGACTGAATTGAAGGACGATAAGCCACAAGCTAAATTAGATGAGAAACCCAAGTCCCCCATTGATGTATCCAAGCTAACTTTTAAGGAATATTCTGATGATGAAAGTGATGAAGAGATTAGTTTGGACAAGCCTCAAGAGAAACTCCCCTCTACCACACCTCTGGTACCTCTAGCAATGACTACAAGCAAAATTACTGCCGTGAGTCATACTCGCGAGTCTGTTGATATTCACATCAAAGAGGAAGTTAAGTTGCCCGAGGATCCTTTAAAATCGGTTGAGAAACCCATATCCCCAACTGATGTAGCTAAAACAGTTTCGAAGGGGTATTCAGACGATGAGAGTGATGACGACTTTGGAATTGTCAAGCCATTAGATAAGCCTATTCCTTCAACCACTCCTCTGCTGCCACTTGCAGACAAGACCTTGCAGAAAACTGATGATATTGTTAAACCATTGACTGAATTGAAGGACGATAAGCCACAAGCTAAATTAGATGAGAAACCCAAGTCCCCCATTGATGCATCCAAGCAAACTCTTAAGGAAACTGACGATATTGTTAAACAATTGATTGACTTGAAGGACTATAAGCCACAAACTAAATTAGTTGAGAAACCCAAGTCCCCCATTGATGCATCCAAGCAAACTCTTAAGGAATATTCCGATAATGAAAGTGATGAAGAAATTGGATTTGATACCCCTAAAGAGAAGCCTCTTTCCTCAGCCATACCCCTGGTACCTGTAGCAATGACTACAAGCAAAATTACTTCCGTGAATGATACTGGCGAGTTTGTTGATATTCAGATCAAAGATGTTAAGCTGCCCATGGATCCCGTAAAATATGTTGAGAAACCCAAATCCCCAACTGATGTAGCTAAGACAGTTTCGAAGGGGTATTCAGACGATGAGAGTGATGACGAATTGGGAATTGTTAAGCCACTAGATAAGTCTATTCCTTCAACCACTCCTCTGCTGCCACTTCCAGACAAGACTTTGCAGAAAACTGACGATATTGTTAAACCATTGACTGAATTGAAGGACGATAAGCCACAAGCTAAATTAGATGAGAAACCCAAGTCCCCCATTGATGCATCCAAGCAAACTCTTAAGGAAATTTCCGATAATGAAAGTGATGAAGATATTGGATTTGATAAACCTAAAGAGAAGCCCCTTTCCCCAGCCATACCCCTGGTACCTGTAGCAATGACTACAAGCACAATTACTTCTGTGAGTGAAACACGCGAGTCTGTTGATATTCACATCAAAAAGGAAGTTAAGCTGCCCAAGGATCCTTTAAAATCGGTTGAGAAACCCAAATCCCCAACCGATGTAGTGAAGACAGTTTCAAAGGGATATTCTGACGATGAGAGTGATGACGAATTTGGAATTGTCAAGCCACTAGATAAGCCTATTCCTTCAACCACTCCTCTGCTGCCACTTGCAGACAAGACCTTGCAGAAAACTGACGATGTTGTTAAACCATTGACTGAATTAAAGGACAATAAGCCACAAGCTAAATTAGATGAGAAACCCAAGTCCCCCATTGATGCATCCAAGCAAACTCTTAAGGAATATTCCGATAATGAAAGTGATGAAGATATTGGATTTGATAAACCTAAAGAGAAGCCCCTTTCCCCAGCCATACCCCTGGTACCTGTAGCAATGACTACAAGCACAATTACTTCTGTGAGTGAAACACGCGAGTCTGTTGATATTCACATCAAAGAGGAAGTTAAGTTGCCCGAGGTTGAGAAACCCATATCCCCAACTGATGTAGCTAAGACAGTTTCGAAGGGGTATTCAGACGATGAGAGTGATGACGACTTTGGAATTGTCAAGCCATTAGATAAGCCTATTCCTTCAACCACTCCTTTGCTTCCACTTGTAGACAAGACCTTGCAGAAAACTGACGATATTGTTAAACCATTGACTGAATTGAAGGACGATAAGCCACAAGCTAAATTAGATGAGAAACCCAAGTCCCCCATTGATGTATCCAAGCTATCTTTTAAGGAATATTCTGATGATGAAAGTGAGGAAGAGATTTGTTCGGACAAGCCTCAAGAAAAACTCCCCTCTACAACACCTCTGGTACCTCTAGCAATGACTACAAGCAAAATTACTGCCTTGAGTCATACTCGCGAGCCTGTTGATATCCAGATCAAAGATGTAGTTAAGTTGCCCATGGATCCTGTAAAATCTGTTGAGAAACCCAAATCCCCAACTGATGTAGCTAAGACAGTTTCGAAGGGGTATTCAGACGATGAGAGTGATGACGACTTTGGAATTGTTAAGCCACTAGATAAGCCTTTTCCTTCAACCACTCCTCTGCTGCCACTTGCAGACAAGACCTTGCAGAAAACTGACGATATTGTTAAACCATTGACTGAATTGAAGGACTATAAGCCACAAGCTAAATTAGATGAGAAACCCAAGTCCCCCATTGATGCATCCAAGCAAACTCTAAAGGAATATTCCGATAATGAAAGTGATGAAGATATTGGATTTGATAAACCTAAAGAGAAGCCCCTTTCCCCAGCCATACCCCTGGTACCTGTAGCAATGACTACAAGCACAATAACTTCTGTGAGTGAAACACGCGAGTCTGTTGATATTCACATCAAAGAGGAAGTTAAGTTGCCCAAGGATCCTTTAAAATCGGTTGAGAAACCCAAATCCCCAACTGATGTAGCTAAGACAGTTTCAAAGGGGTATTCAGACGATGAGAGTGATGACGACTTTGGAATTGTTAAGCCACTAGATAAGCCTATTCCTTCAACCACTCCTCTGCTGCCACTTGCAGACAAGACCTTGCAGAAAACTGACTATATAGTTAAACCATTGACTGAATTGAAGGACGATAAGCCACAAGCTAAATTAGATGAGAAACCCAAGTCCCCCATTGATGTATCCAAGCTAACTTTTAAGGAATATTCTGATGATGAAAGTGATGAAGAGATTAGTTTGGACAAGCCTCAAGAGAAACTCCCCTCTACCACACCTCTGGTACCTCTAGCAATGACTACAAGCAAAATTACTGCCGTGAGTCATACTCGCGAGTCTGTTGATATTCACATCAAAGAGGAAGTTAAGTTGCCCGAGGATCCTTTAAAATCGGTTGAGAAACCCATATCCCCAACTGATGTAGCTAAAACAGTTTCGAAGGGGTATTCAGACGATGAGAGTGATGACGACTTTGGAATTGTCAAGCCATTAGATAAGCCTATTCCTTCAACCACTCCTCTGCTGCCACTTGCAGACAAGACCTTGCAGAAAACTGATGATATTGTTAAACCATTGACTGAATTGAAGGACGATAAGCCACAAGCTAAATTAGATGAGAAACCCAAGTCCCCCATTGATGCATCCAAGCAAACTCTTAAGGAAACTGACGATATTGTTAAACCATTGACTGAATTGAAGGACGATAAGCCACAAGCTAAATTAGATGAGAAACCCAAGTCCCCCAGTGATGCATCCAAGCAAACTCTTAAGGAATATTCCGATGACGAAAGTGATGAAGATATTGGATTTGATAAACCTAAAGAGAAGCCCCTTTCCCAAGCCATACCCCTGGTACCTGTAGCAATGACTACAAGCACAATTACTTCTGTGAGTGAAACACGCGAGTCTGTTGATATTCACATCAAAGAGGAAGTTAAGTTGCCCGAGGATCCTTTACAATCGGTTGAGAAACCCATATCCCCAACTGATGTAGCTAAAACAGTTTCGAAGGGGTATTCAGACGATGAGAGTGATGACGACTTTGGAATTGTCAAGCCATTAGATAAGCCTATTCCTTCAACCACTCCTCTGCTGCCACTTGCAGACAAGACCTTGCAGAAAACTGACGATATTGTTAAACCATTGACTGAATTGAAGGACGATAAGCCACAAGCTAAATTAGATGAGAAACCCAAGTCCCCCATTGATGTATCCAAGCTATCTTTTAAGGAATATTCTGATGATGAAAGTGAGGAAGAGATTTGTTTGGACAAGCCTCAAGAGAAACTCCCCTCTACAACACCTCTGGTACCTCTAGCAATGACTACAAGCAAAATTACTGCCGTGAGTCATACTCGCGAGCCTGTTGATATCCAGATCAAAGATGTAGTTAAGTTGCCCATGGATCCTGTAAAATCTGTTGAGAAACCCAAATCCCCAACTGATGTAGCTAAGATAGTTTCGAAGGGGTATTCAGACGATGAGAGTGATGACGACTTTGGAATTGTTAAGCCACTAGATAAGCCTTTTCCTTCAACCACTCCTCTGCTGCCACTTGCAGACAAGACCTTGCAGAAAACTGACGATATTGTTAAACCATTGACTGAATTGAAGGACGATAAGCCACAAGCTAAATTAGATGAGAAACCCAAGTCCCCCATTGATGCATCCAAGCAAACTCTTAAGGAATATTCCGATAATGAAAGTGATGAAGATATTGGATTTGATAAACCTAAAGAGAAGCCCCTTTCCCCAGCCATACCCCTGGTACCTGTAGCAATGACTACAAGCACAATTACTTCTGTGAGTGAAACACGCGAGTCTGTTGATATTCACATCAAAGAGGAAGTTAAGCCGCCCAAGGATCCTTTAAAATCGGTTGAGAAACCCAAATCCCCAACCGATGTAGTGAAGACCTTGCAGAAAACTGACGATATTGTTAAACCATTGACTGAATTGAAGGACGATAAGCCACAAGCTAAATTAGATGAGAAACCCAAGTCCCCCATTGATGCATCCAAGCAAACTCTTAAGGAAACTGACGATATTGTTAAACCATTGACTGAATTGAAGGACGATAAGCCACAAGCTAAATTAGATGAGAAACCCAAGTCCCCCATTGATGCATCCAAGCAAACTCTTAAGGAATATTCCGATGACGAAAGTGATGAAGATATTGGATTTGATAAACCTAAAGAGAAGCCCCTTTCCCAAGCCATACCCCTGGTACCTGTAGCAATGACTACAAGCACAATTACTTCTGTGAGTGAAACACGCGAGTCTGTTGATATTCACATCAAAGAGGAAGTTAAGTTGCCCGAGGATCCTTTAAAATCGGTTGAGAAACTCATATCCCCAACTGATGTAGCTAAGACAGTTTCAAAGGGGTATTCAGACGATGAGAGTGATGACGACTTTGGAATTGTCAAGCCATTAGATAAGCCTATTCCTTCAACCACTCCTCTGCTGCCACTTGCAGACAAGACCTTGCAGAAAACTGACGATATTGTTAAACCATTGACTGAATTGAAGGACGATAAGCCACAAGCTAAATTAGATGAGAAACCCAAGTCCCCCATTGATGTATCCAAGCTACCTTTTAAGGAATATTCTGATGATGAAAGTGATGAAGAGATATGTTTGGTCAAGCCTCAAGGGAAACTCCCCTCTACCACACCTCTGGTACCTCTAGCAATGACTACAAGCAAAATTACTTCGGTGAGTCATACTCGCGAGTCTGTTGATATCCAGATCAAAGATGTAGTTAAGTTGCCCATGGATCCTGTAAAATCTGTTGAGAAACCCAAATCCCCAACTGATGTAGCTAACACAGTTTCGAAGGGGTATTCAGACGATGAGAGTGATGACGACTTTGGAATTGTTAAGCCACTAGATAAGCCTTTTCCTTCAACCACTCCTCTGCTGCCACTTGCAGACAAGACCTTGCAGAAAACTGATGATATTGTTAAACCATTGACTGAATTGAAGGACGATAAGCCACAAACTAAATTAGATGAAAAACCCAAGTCCCCCATTGATGCATCCAAGCAAACTCTTAAGGAATATTCCGATAATGAAAGTGATGAAAATATTGGATTTAATAAACCTAAAGAGAAGCCCCTTTCCCCAGCCATACCCCTGGTACCTGTAGCAATGACTACAAGCACAATTACTTCTGTGAGTGAAACACGCGAGTCTGTTGATATTCACATCAAAGATGTAGTTAAGTTGCCCATGGATCCCGTAAAATCTGTTGAGAAACCCAAATCCCCAACTGATGTAGCTAAGACAGTTTCGAAGGGGTATTCAGACGATGAGAGTGATGACGACTTTGGAATTGTTAAGCCACTAGATAAGTCTTTTCCTTCAACCAGTCCTCTGCTGCCACTTGCAGACAAGACCTTGCAGAAAACTGATGATATTGTTAAACCATTGACTGAATTGAAGGACGATAAGCCACAAACTAAATTAGATGAGAAACCCAAGTCCCCCATTGATGCATCCAAGCAAACTCTTAAGGAATATTCCGATAATGAAAGTGATGAAGATATTGGATTTTATAAGCCTAAAGAGAAGCCCCTTTCCCCAGCCATACCCCAGGTACCTGTAGCAATGACTACAAGCACAATTACTTCTGTGAGTGACACACGCGAGTCTGTTGATATTCACATCAAAGAGGAAGTTAAGCTGCCCAAGGATCCTTTAAAATCGGTTGAGAAACCCAAATCCCCAACCAATGTAGTGAAGACAGTTTCAATGGGATATTCAGACGATGAGAATGATGACGAATTTGGAATTGTCAGGCCACTAGATAACCCTATTCCTTCAACCACTCCTCTGCTGCCACTTGCAGACAAGACCTTGCAGAAAACTGACAATATTGTTAAACCATTGACTGAATTGAAGGACGATAAGCCACAAGCTAAATTAGATGAGAAACCCAAGTCCCCCATTGATGCATCCAAGCAAACTCTTAAGGAATATTCCGATGACGAAAGTGATGAAGATATTGGATTTGATAAACCTAAAGAGAAGCCCCTTTCCCAAGCCATACCCCTGGTACCTGTAGCAATGACTACAAGCACAATTACTTCTGTGAGTGAAACACGCGAGTCTGTTGATATCCACATCAAAGAGGAAGTTAAGTTGCCCGAGGATCCTTTAAAATCGGTTGAGAAACCCATATCCCCAACTGATGTAGCTAAGACAGTTTCGAAGGGGTATTCAGAGGATGAGAGTGATGACGACTTTGGAATTGTCAAGCCATTAGATAAGCCTATTCCTTTAACCACTCCTCTGCTGCCACTTGCAGACAAGACCTTGCAGAAAACTGACGATATTGTTAAACCATTGACTGAATTGAAGGACGATAAGCCACAAGCTAAATTAGATGAGAAACCCAAGTCCCCCATTGATGTATCCAAGCTACCTTTTAAGGAATATTCTGATGATGAAAGTGATGAAGAGATTTGTTTGGACAAGCCTCAAGAGAAACTCCCCTCTACCACACCTCTGGTACCTCTAGCAATGACTACAAGCAAAATTACTTCGGTAAGTCATACTCGCGAGTCTGTTGATATTCACATCAAAGATGTAGTTAAGTTGCCCATGGATCCCGTAAAATCTGTTGAGAAACCCAAATCCCCAACTGATGTAGCTAAGACAGTTTCGAAGGGGTATTCAGACGATGAGAGTGATGACGACTTTGGAATTGTTAAGCCACTAGATAAGTCTTTTCCTTCAACCAGTCCTCTGCTGCCACTTGCAGACAAGACCTTGCAGAAAACTGATGATATTGTTAAACCATTGACTGAATTGAAGGACGATAAGCCACAAACTAAATTAGATGAGAAACCCAAGTCCCCCATTGATGCATCCAAGCAAACTCTTAAGGAATATTCCGATAATGAAAGTGATGAAGATATTGGATTTTATAAGCCTAAAGAGAAGCCCCTTTCCCCAGCCATACCCCAGGTACCTGTAGCAATGACTACAAGCACAATTACTTCTGTGAGTGACACACGCGAGTCTGTTGATATTCACATCAAAGAGGAAGTTAAGCTGCCCAAGGATCCTTTAAAATCGGTTGAGAAACCCAAATCCCCAACCAATGTAGTGAAGACAGTTTCAAAGGGTTATTCAGACGATGAGAATGATGACGAATTTGGAATTGTCAAGCCACTAGATAACCCTATTCCTTCAACCACTCCTCTGCTGCCACTTGCAGACAAGACCTTGCAGAAAACTGACGATATTGTTAAACCATTGACTGAATTGAAGGACGATAAGCCACAAGCTAAATTAGATGAGAAACCCAAGTCCCCCATTGATGCATCCAAGCAAACTCTTAAGGAATATTCCGATAATGAAAGTGATGAAAATATTGGATTTAATAAACCTAAAGAGAAGCCCCTTTGCCCAGCCATACCCCTGGTACCTGTAGCAATGACTACAAGCACAATTACTTCTGTGAGTGAAACACGCGACTCTGTTGATATTCACATCAAAGATGTAGTTAAGTTGCCCATGGATCCCGTAAAATCTGTTGAGAAACCCAAATCCCCAACTGATGTAGCTAAGACAGTTTCGAAGGGGTATTCAGACGATGAGAGTGATGACGACTTTGGAATTGTTAAGCCACTAGATAAGTCTTTTCCTTCAACCAGTCCTCTGCTGCCACTTGCAGACAAGACCTTGCAGAAAACTGATGATATTGTTAAACCATTGACTGAATTGAAGGACGATAAGCCACAAACTAAATTAGATGAGAAACCCAAGTCCCCCATTGATGCATCCAAGCAAACTCTTAAGGAATATTCCGATAATGAAAGTGATGAAGATATTGGATTTTATAAGCCTAAAGAGAAGCCCCTTTCCCCAGCCATACCCCAGGTACCTGTAGCAATGACTACAAGCACAATTACTTCTGTGAGTGACACACGCGAGTCTGTTGATATTCACATCAAAGAGGAAGTTAAGCTGCCCAAGGATCCTTTAAAATCGGTTGAGAAACCCAAATCCCCAACCACTGTAGTGAAGACAGTTTCAAAGGGTTATTCAGACGATGAGAATGATGACGAATTTGGAATTGTCAAGCCACTAGATAACCCTATTCCTTCAACCACTCCTCTGCTGCCACTTGCAGACAAGACCTTGCAGAAAACTGACGATATTGTTAAACCATTGACTGAATTGAAGGACGATAAGCCACAAGCTAAATTAGATGAGAAACCCAAGTCCCCCATTGATGCATCCAAGCAAACTCTTAAGGAATATTCCGATAATGAAAGTGATGAAGATATTGGATTTGATAAACCTAAAGAGAAGCCCCTTTCCCAAGCCATACCCCTGGTACCTGTAGCAATGACTACAAGCACAATTACTTCTGTGAGTGAAACACGCGAGTCTGTTGATATTCACATCAAAGAGGAAGTTAAGTTGCCCGAGGATCCTTTAAAATCGGTTGAGAAACCCATATCCCCAACTGATGTAGGTAAGACAGTTTCGAAGGGGTATTCAGAGGATGAGAGTGATGACGACTTTGGAATTGTCAAGCCATTAGATAGACCTATTCCTTTAACCACTCCTCTGCTGCCACTTGCAGACAAGACCTTGCAGAAAACTGACGATATTGTTAAACCATTGACTGAATTGAAGGACGATAAGCCACAAGCTAAATTAGATGAGAAACCCAAGTCCCCCATTGATGTATCCAAGCTACCTTTTAAGGAATATTCTGATGATGAAAGTGATGAAGAGATTTGTTTGGACAAGCCTCAAGAGAAACTCCCCTCTACCACACCTCTGGTACCTCTAGCAATGACTACAAGCAAAATTACTTCGGTAAGTCATACTCGCGAGTCTGTTGATATTCACATCAAAGATGTAGTTAAGTTGCCTATGGATCCCGTAAAATCTGTTGAGAAACCCAAATCCCCAACTGATGTAGCTAAGACAGTTTCGAAGGGGTATTCAGACGATGAGAGTGATGACGACTTTGGAATTGTTAAGCCACTAGATAAGTCTTTTCCTTCAACCAGTCCTCTGCTGCCACTTGCAGACAAGACCTTGCAAAAAACTGATGATATTGTTAAACCATTGACTGAATTGAAGGACGATAAGCCACAAACTAAATTAGATGAGAAACCCAAGTCCCCCATTGATGCATCCAAGCAAACTCTTAAGGAATATTCCGATAATGAAAGCGATGAAGATATTGGATTTTATAAGCCTAAAGAGAAGCCCCTTTCCCCAGCCATACCCCAGGTACCTGTAGCAATGACTACAAGCACAATTACTTCTGTGAGTGACACACGCGAGTCTGTTGATATTCACATCAAAGAGGAAGTTAAGCTGCCCAAGGATCCTTTAAAATCGGTTGAGAAACCCAAATCCCCAACCGATGTAGTGAAGACAGTTTCAAAGGGGTATTCAGACGATGAGAGTGATGACGACTTTGGAATTGTCAAGCCATTAGATAAGCCTATTCCTTCAACCACTCCTCTGATGCCACTTGCAGACAAGACCATGCATAAAACTGACGATATTGTTAAACCATTGACTGAATTGAAGGACGATAAGCCACAAGCTAAATTAGATGAGAAACCCAAGTCCCCCATTGATGTATCCAAGCTACCTTTTAAGGAATATTCCGATAATGAAAGTGATGAAGATATTGGATTTGATAAACCTAAAGAGAAGCCCCTTTCCCCAGCCATACCCCTGGTACCTGTAGCAATGACTACAAGCACAATTACTTCTGTGAGTGAAACACGCGAGTCTGTTGATATTCACATCAAAGAGGAAGTTAAGCTGCCCAAGGATCCTTTAAAATCGGTTGAGAAACCCAATTCCCCAACCGATGTAGTGAAGACAGTTTCAAAGGGATACTCAGACGGTGAGAGTGATGACGAATTTGGAATTGTCAGTCCACTAGATAAGCCTATTCCTTCAACTACTTCTCTGCTGCCACTTGCAGACAAGACCTTGCAGAAAACTGACGATATTGCTAAACCATTGACTGAATTGAAGGACGATAAGCCACAAGCTAAATTAGATGAGAAACCCAAGTCCCCAATTGATGTATCCAAGCTACCTTTTAAGGAATATTCCGATAATGAAAGTGATGAAGATATTGGATTTGATAAACCTAAAGAGAAGCCCCTTTCCCAAGCCATACCCCTGGTACCTGTAGCAATGACTACAAGCACAATTACTTCTGTGAGTGAAACACGCGAGTCTGTTGATATTCACATCAAAGAGGAAGTTAAGTTGCCCGAGGATCCTTTAAAATCGGTTGAGAAACCCATATCCCCAACTGATGTAGCTAAGACAGTTTCGAAGGGATACTCAGACGATGAGAGTGATGACGAATTTGGAATTGTCAGTCCACTAGATAAGCCTATTCCTTCAACCACTTCTCTGCTGCCACTTGCAGACAAGACCTTGCAGAAAACTGACGATATTGCTAAACCATTGACTGAATTGAAGGACGATAAGCCACAAGCTAAATTAGATGAGAAACCCAAGTCCCCAATTGATGTATCCATGCAAACTCTTAAGGAATATTCCGATAACGAAAGTGATGAAGATATTGGATTTGATAAACCTAAAGAGAAGCCCCTTTCCCAAGCCATACCCCTGGTACCTGTAGCAATGACAACAAGCACAATTACTTCTGTGAGTGAAACACGCGAGTCTGTTGATATTCACATCAAAGAGGAAGTTAAGTTGCCCGAGGATCCTTTAAAATCGGTTGAGAAACCCATATCCCCAACTGATGTAGCTAAGACAGTTTCGAAGGGGTATTCAGACGATGAGAGTGATGACGACTTTGGAATTGTCAAGCCATTAGATAAGCCTATTCCTTCAACCACTCCTCTGCTGCCACTTGCAGACAAGACCTTGCAGAAAACTGACGATATTGTTAAACCATTGACTGAATTGAAGGACGATAAGCCACAAGCTAAATTAGATGAGAAACCCAAGTCCCCCATTGATGCATCCAAGCAAACTCTTAAGGAATATTCCGATAATGAAAGTGATGAAGATATTGGAGTTGATAAACCGAAAGAGAAGCCCCTTTCCCCAGCCATACCCCTGGTACCTGTAGCAATGACTACAAGCACAATTTCTTCTGTGAGTGAAACACGCGAGTCTGTTGATATTCACATCAAAGAGGAAGTTAAGCTGCCCGAGGATCCTTTAAAATCGGTTGAAAAACCCAAATCCCCAACCGATGTAGTGAAGACAGTTTCAAAGGGATATTCAGACGATGAGAGTGATGACGAATTTGGAATTGTTAAGCCACTAGATAAGCCTATTCCTTCAACCACTCCTCTGCTGCCACTTGCAGACAAGACCTTGCAGAAAACTGACGATATTGTTAAACCATTGACTGAATTGAAGGACGATAAGCCACAAGCTAAATTAGATGAGAAACCCAAGTCGCCCATTGATGCATCCAAGCAAACTCTTAAGGAATATTCCGATAATGAAAGTGATGAAGATATTGGATTTGATAAACCTAAAGAGAAGCTCCTTTCCCAAGCCATACCCCTGGTACCTGTAGCAATGACTACAAGCACAATTACTTCTGTGAGTGAAACACGCGAGTCTGTTGATATTCACATCAAAGAGGAAGTTAAGTTGCCCGAGGATCCTTTAAAATCGGTTGAGAAACTCATATCCCCAACTGATGTAGCTAAGACAGTTTCGAAGGGGTATTCAGACGATGAGAGTGATGACGACTTTGGAATTGTCAAGCCATTAGATAAGCCTATTCCTCCAACCACTCCTCTGCTGCCATTTGCAGTCAAGACCTTCCAGAAAACTGACGATATTGTTAAACCATTGACTGAATTGAAGGACGATAAGCCACAAGCTAAATTAGATGAGAAACCCAAGTCCCCCATTGATGTATCCAAGCTAACTTTTAAGGAATATTCTGATGATGAAAGTGATGAAGAGATTTGTTTGGACAAACCTCAAGAGAAACTCCCCTCTACCACACCTCTGGTACCTCTAGCAATGACTACAAGCACAATTACTTCTGTGAGTGAAACACGCGAGTCTGTTGATATTCACATCAAAGAGGAAGTTAAGCTGCCCGAGGATCCTTTACAATCGGTTGAGAAACCCATATCCCCAACTGATGTAGCTAAGACCGTTTCGAAGGGGTATTCAGACGATGAGAGTGATGACAACTTTGGAATTGTTAAGCGACTAGATAAGCCTTTTCCTTTAACCACTCCTCTGCTGCCACTTGCAGACAAGACCTTGCAGAAAACTGACGATATTGTTAAACCATTGACTGACTTGGAGGACGATAAGCCACAAGCTAAATTAGATGAGAAACCCAAGTCCCCCATTGATGCATCCAAGCAAACTCTTAAGGAATATTCCGATAATGAAAGTGATGAAGATATTGGAGTTGATAAACCGAAAGAGAAGCCCCTTTCCCCAGCCATACCCCTGGTACCTGTAGCAATGACTACAAGCACAATTACTTCTGTGAGTAAAACACGCGAGTCTGTTGATATTCACATCAAAGAGGAAGTTAAGCTGCCCAAGGATCCTTTAAAATCGGTTGAGAAACCCAAATCCCCAACTGATGTAGCTAAGACAGTTTCGAAGGGGTATTCAGACGATGAGAGTGATGACGACTTTGGAATTGTTAAGCCACTAGATAAGCCTTTTCCTTCAACCACTCCTCTGCTGCCACTTGCAGACAAGACCTTGCAGAAAACTGGCGATATTGTTAAACCATTGACTGAATTGAAGGACGATAAGCCACAAGCTAAATTAGATGAGAAACCCAAGTCCCCCATTGATGCATCCAAGCAAACTCTTAAGGAATATTCCGATAATGAAAGTGATGAAGATATTGGAGTTGATAAACCGAAAGAGAAGCCCTTTTCCCCAGCCATACCCCTGGTACCTGTAGCAATGACTACAAGCACAATTACTTCTGTGAGTAAAACACGCGAGTCTGTTGATATTCACATCAAAGAGGAAGTTAAGCTGCCCAAGGATCCTTTAAAATCGGTTGAGAAACCCAAATCCCCAACTGATGTAGCTAAGACAGTTTCGAAGGGGTATTCAGACGATGAGAGTGATGACGACTTTGGAATTGTTAAGCCACTAGATAAGCCTTTTCCTTCAACCACTCCTCTGCTGCCACTTACAGACAAGACCTTGACTGACTTGAAGGACGATAAGCCACAAGCTAAATTAGATGAGAAACCCAAGTCCCCCATTGATGCATCCAAGCAAACTCTTAAGGAATATTCCGATAATGAAAGTGATGAAGATATTGGAGTTGATAAACCGAAAGAGAAGCCCCTTTACCCAGCCATACCCCTGGAACCTGTAGCAATGACTACAAGCACAATTACTTCTGTGAGTAAAACACGCGAGTCTGTTGATATTCACATCAAAGAGGAAGTTAAGCTGCCCAAGGATCCTTTAAAATCGGTTGAGAAACCCAAATCCCCAACTGATGTAGCTAAGACAGTTTCGAAGGGGTATTCAGACGATGAGAGTGATGACGACTTTGGAATTGTTAAGCCACTAGATAAGCCAATTCCTTCAACCACTCCTCTGCTGCCAATTGCAGACAAGACCTTGCAGAAAACAGACGATATTGTTAAACCATTGACTGAATTGAAGGACGATAAGCCACAAGCTAAATTAGATAAGAAACCCAAGTCGCCCATTGATGCATCCAAGCAAACTCTTAAGGAATATTCCGATAATGAAAGTGATGAAGATATTGGATTTAATAAACCTAAAGAGAAGCCCCTTTCCCCAGCCATACCCCTGGTACCTGTAGCAATGACTACAAGCACAATTACTTCTGTGAGTGAAACACGCGAGTCTGTTGATATACACATCAAAGAGGAAGTTAAGCTGCCCAAGGATCCTTTAAAATCGGTTGAGAAACCCAAATCCCCAACCGATGTAGTGAAAACAGTTTCAAAGGGGTATTCAGACGATGAGAGTGATGACGAATTTGGAATTGTCAAGCCACTAGATAAGCCTATTCCTTCAACCACTCCTCTGCTGCCACTTGCAGACAAGATCGTGGAGAAAACTGACGATATTGTTAAACCATTGACTGAATTGAAGGACGATAAGCCACAAGCTAAATTAGATGAGAAACCCAAGTCCCCCATTGATGTATCCAAGCTAACTCTTAACGAATATTCTGATGATGAAAGTGATGAAGAGATTTGTTTGGACAAGCCTCAAGAGAAACTCCCCTCTACCACACCTCTGGTACCTCTAGCAATGACTACAAGCAAAATTACTGCCGTGAGTCATACTCGCGCGTCTGTTGATATCCAGATCAAAGATGTAGTTAAGCTGCCCATGGATCCTATAAAATCTGTTGAGAAACCCAAATCCCCAACTGATGTAGCTAAGACAGTTTCAAAGGGGTATTCAGACGATGAGAGTGATGACGACTTTGGAATTGTTAAGCCACTAGATAAGCCTTTTCCTTCAACCACTCCTCTGCTGCCACTTGCAGACAAGACCTTACAGAAAACTGACGATGTGGTTAGACCATTGACTTCCTTGAAGGACGATAAGCCAAAAGGTAAATTAGATGAGAAACCCAAGTCCCTCATTGATTCATCCAAGCAAACTCTTAAGGAATATTCTGATGATGAAAGTAATGAAGATATTGGATTTGATAAGCCTCAAAACAAGCCCCTTTCCTCAGCCATACCCCTGCTACCTGTAGCAATGACTACAAGCAAAATTACTTCCGTGAGAGAAACACGCGAGTCGGTTGGTATTCAGATCAATGATGTAGTTAAGCTGCCCATGGAATTAGTAAAATCTGTTGAGGGACCCAAATCTCCAACTGTTGTGGCGAAAACAGTTTCAAAGAGGTATTCAGACGATGAGAGTGATGACGAATTTGGATTTGTAAGGCCACTAGATAAGCCTATTCCTTCAACCACTCCCCTAGTGCCACTTGCAGAAGAGACCTTGCAGAAAACTGACGATATTGTTAAACCATTGACTGACTTGAAGGACGATAAGCCACAAGGTAAATTAGATGAGAAACCCAAGTCCCCCATTGATGCATCCAAGCAAACTTTTAAGGAATATTCTGATGATGAAAGTGATGAAGAGATTTTTTTGGAAAAGCCTCAAGACAAACTCCTTCCCTCCACCACACCTCTGGTACCTCTAGCAATGAATACAAGCAAAATTACTTCCGTGAGTGATACTGGCGAGTCTGTTGATATCCAGATCAAAGATGTAGTTAAGCTGCCCATGGATCCTATAAAATCTGTTGAGAAACCCAAATCCCCAACTGATGTAGCTAAGACAGTTTCAAAGGGGTATTCAGACGATGAGAGTGATGACGACTTTGGAATTGTTAAGCCGCTAGATGAGCCTTTTCCTTCGACCACTCCTCTGCTGCCACTTGCAGACAAGACCTTGCATAAGACTGATGATATTGTTAGACCCATGACTTCCTTGAAGGACGATAAGCCACAAGCTAAATTAGATGAGAAACCCAAGTCCCCCATTGATGCATCCAAGCAAACTCTTAAGGAATATTCTGATGCTGAAAGTGATGAAGAGATTTGTTTGGACAAGCCTCAAGACAAACTCCCCTCTAACACACCTCTGGTATCTCTAGCAATAACAACAAGCAAAATTACTTCCGTGAGTGATACTGGCGAGTCTGTTGATATCCAGATCAAAGATGTAGTTAAGCTGCCCATGGATCCTGTAAAATCTGTTGAGAAACCCAAATCCCCAACTGATGTAGCTAAGACAGTTTCGAAGGGGTATTCAGACGATGAGAGTGATGACGACTTTGGAATTGTTAAGCCACTAGATAAGCCTATTCCTTCAACCACTCCTCTGCTGCCACTTGCAGACAAGACCTTGCAGAAAACTGATGATATTGTTAAACCATTGACTGAATTGAAGGACGATAAGCCACAAGCTAAATTAGATGAGAAACCCAAGTCCCCCATTGATGCATCCAAGCAAACTCTTAAGGAATATTCTGATGATGAAAGTGATGAAGAGATTTGTTTGGACAAGCCTCAAGACAAACTCCTTCCCTCCACCACACCTCTGGTTCCTCTAGCAATGACTACAAGCAAAATTACTTCCGTGAGTGATACTGGCGAGTCTGTTGATATCCAGATCAAAGATGTAGTTAAGCTGCCCATGGATCCTGTAAAATCTGTTGAGAAACCCAAATCCCCAACTGATGTAGCTAAGACAGTTTCGAAGGGGTATTCAGACGATGAGAGTGATGACGACTTTGGAATTGTTAAACCACTAGATAAGCCTTTTCCTTCAACCTCTCCCCTGCTGCCACTTGCAGACAAGACCTTGCAGAAAACTGATGATATTGTTAAACCATTGACTGAATTGAAGGACGATAAGCCACAAGCTAAATTAGATGAGAAACCCAAGTCCCCCATTGATGAATCCAAGCAAACTCTTAAGGAATATTCTGATGATGAAAGTGATGAAGAGATTTGTTTGGAAAAGCCTCAAGACAAGCTCCTTCCCTCCACCACCCCTCTGGTACCTCTATCACTTGCAGACAAACCTTTGCAGAAAGCTGATAATATACCTAAACCATTTATTGACTTGAAAAGTGATATCCCACAATATAAATTAGATGACAAGCCCAAGTCCCCTATTAATGCATCTAAGAAAACTCATAAGGAATATTCTGATGATGAAAGCGGTAAAGAGATTGGTTTTGATAAGCCTCAAGAACTTCCCTCCACCACATCTCTGGTACCTCTAGCAATGACTATAAACAAAACTACTTTTGTGAGTGAAACTCGTGAGTCAGTTGATACACAGATCAAAGATATGCCAATATGTCATACAAAAACGGTTGAGGAACCCAAATCTTCAACTGAAGTAGCTGATCTAGGTCCAAAAGAACACTTGGGCGGTTACAGTGGTAGCGAAGTTGGAATTGTAAAGTCAATTCCCGCAAATTGTCTGAAATCCATAATGCAAGCTCCGTCTGGTGAGCATGTTAAATATTGTAATGTTCTTGCTGATGACATTGCTGCGAGGGATTTAAGTCTTGATTTAGTTATGGATTCCCCTAATCAATTAATCGGCCGTACTGGCATCGACAGCCACTCAATTGCTGAGAAGGTGATTCCAGAATCCCTTTCTGATTTCGATGATACAAGATCGGTTCAGCAAATTGTTGAAGAAACTTTACGGGCTGGTGATGCAGAGGTACAAAAGATTATAAAAGAAACTCTTAAAAGTGCGCAGTCTCATAGAGAATTAGATCAAAAGGATTATATATTTCCAGAGTTATGCGAAAGTGAACGATCGGTTGAAGAGATTGTGGAAGATACTTTAAAAAGTGCAAAAGTTAAGGGAGCAGACAAAAATGAGGTAATAAATCTAGTAGGAGATGATGTAGCTTCGACGAAAAAAGAGATAGCTGAGTGTAAAGAAGTCCGACCTATTGCTTATTTCGTCAAGTTAGGTGATGAAAAGATAGATGTTATGCCTGCAAAAAAGATAGAAATGAAAACGCCAGTTAACAAATCCAAAACAGTAAGAAATGTCAAAGCAAAATCCGAGGTAAATGTAATTAAAAAACCACAAATTAAAAAGCAAGTAGATAATAAGGAAAGACCAGCGACTACTCAAACGAAATCACCATTGACACAAACAAAATTATCGAATGCATCTAGCAAACAATCAGGGGTAAAAAAGGCATTAACAAATGAACCTCAGAAGGTTTCTAGAAAAACCGAGTCAAGGAGATCAGTTACAAGTTCTATTTCGACAACAACAAGCTCGGGTTCAGCTACAAGTCGAGTCATAAGTGAAATTCACTTCGAAAGATCCGCAAGTCCCGCATCAAGTTCAATATTTTATGAAAGCCACACTCAAGGCGAAAACAGCCGCTCCACAACGCCAAGGCCTAGGGTAAAAACAGATGTTACGAAAATACCATACAACACCTCGGTTCGCGCGTTAAGTCCATCACCCAAATCCACAAAATCGACAAAAACAACATCCATCAAACAAGATGTCAGTAAGAAAGCTAGAGTGTTTAGTAAAAAGGTAAAAACAGAGACTACCCCAAAATCTACAAAAGTTTTGGAAGACAACAAGCGAATAAAAACGCCAACTCCATCTGCCACACACCGATATATGCAGCCGACTTTAGCTCACAGTATGCGTTTTGGCCTAAATGCCGATAGTGAAAGTCGAAGTGCGACTCCGGCACCAGCAAAATCACCAGCCCCACCTAAATCGCCAGCTCCAGCACAACCCAATCGACAAAGTATATATAAAACAAAGAATACGATAAGTGCCTTGACAAAAAACTCGTCAATAGATCAAAAGCAGCAAAAAAAATTGATTACAGAAAAGCCCTCAGTTTTGACCAAGAAAGGTTCCCATACTGAAAGTAAGGATTTATTACAGAGTACAGATCGCCTTTACAAAAGACAAATATCCAAAGAGAATAAGCAAGCAAACGTGATAGGCTCCAAGAGCCAAATAACTAAAAGCATGAGGACACAATCAGCTACTGCAACTAAATCAATTGCCTACAAAACTTCCATAGAATCTGATAACAAGCTACAGAAAAAAACTACATCAACTATGCAACAACGCACCAAAGTTCCAATTAGCTTGTCTTCCGTAACAACAAGAGCTTCAACTAAGCTAAGCAACAAAAGTGATGAAACCGTTTTAAAACCTCAGATAGACAATAAGAAAATCGTTAGGAGGACAGCAAGCAAAACAACTGAGGGGAGCAGTAATATCAAGAAAAATGTGCGCAGCTCCATAGAACCAAAACTCCAAAAGCAGATGAAGGATACAATGAACGAATCGAGCACTACAGCCAGCGGCAGCACCAGTGCCAGCGGCTCCTCGAGCAGCACCCGACGCAGTGTACGTTCCGTGATGGTTAGCCGCAAGACTGACAAAGAGAAGACGAATATGAAGCTATCGGAACAGAAGGGTGTGATATCGACATCGACTGTGCGCGTTCATAGGGAGCCGACAGCCACTACCGGCGCGGTTAGCACCGTGCTCGTTGATGACGACTCCGAGGTGATAACCATACGTTCCATTAAATCAAGTGATAGTACAAAAAGCTCTACCTCATCATCCTCTGGTAGCGGCAGCAACAGTCGCAAGGTGCTAACCAGCGAGGTTTTCACTAAGACTTTCGGCCCCGATAAGCCCCTGGAAGTGATCTACCGCCAACCCGATTTTGATACAGAGCACCACACGGCAATAGGAATGCGTCCGCAATCCAGAAATGAACAACAGCGCTACGTTAACGAGTTCGATGTCAGCTTTATCGATACCACCGATTCCAGTCTCTCCGACTCTGTTGCACTGCCGATGTTTACCGCTGGTGATCCAGAGCGCCTGCTGGCCGCCAGTCCTGGCTCCCCCAAGCCAACCCGTAGTCCCTTAGCCTTAATTGAGGAAACATTGCGGCGTCACCATCAGCATCAGCATCATCAGCATATTGCTGCATCGGGCAGTGCAGTGGTAGACCCTTCGCAACAATTGCAAGTCGAGAGCGACAGCATTGTGGCGGTGAGTGAGAGTCGCCTTAAAAAAGAGACGGAGAAAAGCTGCACATCAAAAGGTAAATAAATACATTTAGGCTTAGAGCACTCTCATACATTTATTAAACATAGCTTAGAGCGATACCCACCATGCTAAGGGCAATATTAAACATTATGCAACTTTTCTAATTGATATCAATTTTCAAAATGCTTTTATTCAATTTAATTTTAACTTATTTTCCACAACTAGCTAACGCAAATAACTAAACTCAAAATATAAAAGCCACAAAAATTATAAACCAAACCCACCAAAATGTCCAAAAAACTCCCAACTATATCCGTAACCGCCGAGCAGCATTCCAATTCATCCTCATCCTCGCATGACTCCGATAGTAATGACATGGACTATGGTCGCAACAGCGGGGGCGTCACAGATGTTGAAGACTTTGACAGTCAAGCCGAGGTTCTTAAGCTAAGCTCAAGACGCGGCTCTGGCAGTGTATCGCCTAGGCAAAAAACCCAGCTACAAAAATCGAAACCCTTTGAAAATGATGTCACTGACGTGGAGGACTACGAAACAGATTCGGACGATGAAGAGAAGAGCATCGCTTATCCCGAATTGAAATTATCGCTACGAGAATTTTTACAACAAGGACACCAAAATCAGGAGGCCGTGGACAATGACGCCAAGGAGAGTTGTGAAATTAGAGCGGGTAACTTTCTTCAAGCACAAAACCTTAATGGTCTGGCCGACTACCTTACCGACTGCGAAGATTATGACACAGACTCCGAAGTAGGCTATGGCTGTGAGAAGTCTGTGTGTGTTGACCTAGATAATGCAGTGGGCGATCAGGGACGCGTCAATATAGCCGATGGCGAGAAGCATGAGGATGACTCCGATCACTACGAGGATGTCTCTGTCATTAGCGACATCAGTGATTTGGCTTCAGCCATGTCCGACTGCACTGGAATTGGTATTCACGTACGTGGCATGTCTGAGGATGAGGTGCTTATGGTATCCGGCAGTGGCAGTGAAGAGGTATGTCAAATAGCCTGCTCGAGTACCGAGTCGGAATCGGGTGGCGCAGCTGGTAGAAGCGCCAGCATAAGTGAAGCCAGCTTGCCCCCGATAGATGTGGCCTTTGTAAACGCCAGTGGAGAACCTCGCAGAAACTCCAAGTCCATATTCCTAAATACTGAGCAAAGACATTTTTTACAAGTAACCCCCAAAAACGATGAGGTACTAACGGACATTGAAGGCATCGATGATTCAGGAGCCGAAGACAGCTTTGATAATGAGGATGACAATGAAGAGCCCATACCACGTGCTATAATTCTAGCTATAGGCGATGATGGCACCTGCCTAACGGATGTGGAGGACATGTGTTGCGATGACCTTTCGCTAACAAGCGCCGTGCCCGAAGCGATTTCTGTAGCCCCCGAGGTATTGCCACAGCCACATCGCGAAGTCGTTGAGTTAAAAGAGGACAAGTATGGCGATACGATTACTAATGTCATGCCTATGAAAAGCAACTACGAATTTGGTATACCCAACCACTTAAAGGATGTCAACCATACCGATTCAGAAGAATACTCATGTATGGAAGACGTAAGCGCAACTATTTCTCTAGCCGAGGAACTGGCTGTTGGATCACCAGGTCTAATAGAGAATGAAGTCATTGTTTCGAATGAACTATTAAAACAGCAAAACAAACGTTTGGAGGTGCTGTCGAATGCCGAATCTGTCACTGACGTCGAAGAAATCTTTGTGGCAGGCACTAACCGACGCAAGAAGTTGAAGACGCGCACACTGAGCAAGGGTAAAAACAAGCTGCTGGATGTTGTCAAGGGCAATGAGGCAGGCGTAACCGATGTGGAAGACATGGAGCTGAGCGAGTGTGACCTACCGCCAGGCGTTAAACGTGTGGCACAACTCAAACATCAAGCCAAGGGCCACAATGCAGACAAGCTAACTGATGCCGAAGATATTTCCACTGACGACGTATCCGATGCTTCTGAGGCTTCATTGCCGCCGGCTGAGTTACCCAAACAGTCTCAAAACAAGTCCAAATCGCATCCACTTCACTTGCGTTTACGTAAAGACGATGCCGTCAGTCAGCAGAACACAGACATCGAAGATGTGCAACTGCCCTCCGATGCCGAGGATGCACTTGAGCCCCCGGAAATCAAGGTGGCCAATAGCAATAGCAAAGAGCTCAACGATATGTTAAATGAGAGTTATACCGTGGTGCACGAAAGGAGCGGCAGAAGTTTCAATGCCGAGGCCGAGAAGCTGCACATAAAGGGTGTGATACGGGATGCCCACACAGACGTTGAATATGTTGAATCCGATGAGTCAGCTGCTAGAGGCGGCAACTAGTCAGCCCGTATCCCTATTCTCAATATATATAACGAAAACAATCTTAACAATAGTTCATAGCTCGTATAAGTGTCCACATATAAGATACCTAATGAAACTCAACTGAATACATAACACATACACTCAACCATATTGTAAGTAAACCTGACAATTGATAATCACTTAACTATATATAAAATTACATTTTCGTTAAAATTTTTATCACACAACAAAGCAACGAAAGCCTGAAACTAATTGCTATTGTCTGCCCTAACTATGTGCCCCCGTAAAATACTAACAAATATTAATTATCACCTAAGCGTCGTTCAACTAACATTTTAACTACTTAAGTAATTATAGCTAAAAAAAAAAACAAAAAAGATCTTTGGAGTCTATTTGTTTCGTCCTTGTTTTGAGTCCGTTTTGTTAAATTTTTTTTTATATTTTGTAGCATATAATTAAAGTATGTAATTGCTTTTAGGTTAACTTTATGTTCGCTTTGTGCAGTCAAATATCGTTACTAATCGCTGGCTTGTTCGTTTACAGAAGGATTTACAAAAACAACAATTGCTCCATCCATTCTGCATACAGAAAATGTAGCCCAAGAAATTGGTAAGTTCTGCTTGCAGTATTATATCTAAAGAGCTTTTCATAATTTTGCGCGTACATTATCTCATGCGCTTCACAAGTATATTAAAATATTTATTATCAAATTGTTTCTTATTGTTTGACAAATGCAATTAAAGCTCATTGAAATAGTTATTATGCCGTCTAACCAAGTTTGGTAAACCGAATACGCTGCTAAAAGATTTCGCTCACATCACCAATATCACCGCATTTCTAACACCATCTTCTATCCACACATAATGTTGCACATATTTACAATTAAAAAATATTTCGAAAACTCGCTTCTCATGCCGCTCATGATTTCCAAGCTTGTCAACTACTACTATCTAATTTCTATCTATCAATGAATATGTGCAATTGTCTTACAGATGATGTTAAAGTTGGTGAAGGTGATGATGGCGAAGATCTTGTGGCACGCATCCGCGAGGAAGCCAAAATTCTAGTCGAACACGTGCTCGAAGAGAGTGTTGATTTCATTGAATGCCAGGGGGAACAGCCCAATGGCCACGACTTTATAAAGCACGAATACAATTCTGAGAGTGAAAACTATGCTATAACATGCGACGATATTAGCGGCGTTGATGTCATCAAATCGCCAACCATTGAGTCCATGTCGGGCAAGTCATTCGATGATAACATGAGTTTTACCGACGAGCACATTAACTTACCCTTGCATGCCCAAAACATGACAACAACAACAACAACAATTACAACGCAGTTGCAACAACAACATCAGCAGCAGCAGCAGCAGCCACAAGCTAATGTTGCTGCCACAAGCCCATCAACAGCAAAAGGTAATCTATAAAGCCATGCAATCTGTAAGCTCTACGATAGCATAGCAGTTGGGAGCCTTATGGGATTTTAGCCGAATGTTATTATCCTTAGGGATGCGTAGTCCGTTGAATATAATCATTATCCTGTATTCTTTGTTTGTTTGCCCATATGTCATCCCCGAAAACGTACGAATCATGTAGTGCCTAGTGAAGGGGATAAGAAAATGGAGGTGCGTACCAGACGTATCGAGCATAAGATTGAAAAATTATCCGCTGATGTTGATGTCAGCGATGTCAGCGCCCGATTTAATGAGACATTCGAGACAGTTGTGCAAGAGGACGAGATAAGTGCTCTGCAGGGTGATTATTCCAAGCTCAGTTGGGATGATAGTGTGTCACCCACGACTAACACAATGGCCGACATGGCACAGACCCAACTGACGCCCGATAATGATATTCAAGAATTGACAACAGGTATCATCAGTATATCAGCACATACACCTACTTACCATATGATTTAATATGTACCATATATTGCTTTATATAGTTCCTCTATTGGTGATTTGCGTAGATTGTGAATAAAAAATCGAATTGTATATTGTACAGCGCTCGTTTTGGTTTACACTTATCTAATATATGAAATGGCGGCCAATAATAACGAAAATACTTTTTGTTCAAGTTGAGCTCTAATTGCATTTAATCTTGTGTTTTAAATTGTTAAAATAGTTCAAGTTTATTCATACGAACTATGCTATGCATGTCAACTCCATAAATGTCTATCAATCATTACTATCCAATTCATTTACAACTGTTCTATTCTATTCTAACTCTAAGAACCTATCAAACTATTTATCGCTAATCCTCTTACTAACCCACTCATAGAAATTTAACACCTTATTCTGTTGTGTTCTTCTTCTTGTTATTGTATACTTCTGTTGTCTCTTCCTCATCTTCTGATTTCGACTTTCGCAACACTTTTAAAATTGCTTTTATTTTCACACCTATTGTTTTGTAGAAACAGGCGGCGATTTACCAATTTCAACCGATACTACCCCTATACCACCGTCGGCTGTTGTAGAAACAACAACAACAACAACGACAACATCAGCTGAAACGGTGGTCGAAACCAATACTTTGGCGACCTCCAGCCACGACACACCCACACCGAAACCTCGCGTACTCAAAACAAGCCCGCCCGACTCCATCTCCGAAGGCACAGATAGCACCACCATTCCACATCAAGTGCAACAATCCGACTTACCGATCGACAATTCCGCACCAGTTCCGAAACCACGAGCGCCCATTAAGCACACAGATCAGTTTGAGAACCTGGCTGCCTTGGGCGAGCAATCCGACAGTATTAGCCTGCGTAGCTTTGATTTTACAGAGGATATTTCCAAAACAGACGAACCCTCTACAGAACTGTCCATACGTTCTCAGCAACGAGATGTAGTCACCACAACCACCACTACAACTGCTTCTGAGGATCATACCGAAAGCTTCGAGCCAACGAGTGAGATTTCAGTGGACGAAGCAGATACTGAAAAATCGGAGGGTGTTGAGAAGACAACCAGCTTTTATATTGGCGAGTCAAGTCGAAATGTAATCATCAAAACTTCTACGAAATCTCCCAGCATGACGCCACAGGATGAAGATCCTAAGACGGAAATGAATATTGAGGCCAAAGATATATCACTGATGAAGGAGGTGTCCGTCGATTCGGATGAAGCCAACGATGCTTTCAAAGAATATGTAACTATGAAGCCCGATGATCCCCTCACTTTAGATAGTAAAATAGTTAGACAAAGTTCAGAAACTCGAAATGATCTCTTAGAATTTGAAAATGCTGACAAAGATAAATCCACCGATGCAAAACTTTCTAAAGTCACCACCGAGGAGAGCCTAACCACGTCGACAGGCTCTAGTGGTCGTGCTGTTATAGAGGTGGCACCTTCAAGTAGTGAAGATCCAGACGAGTCCAGTAAGGAAATTCCGGAAATAGTCAACACAATAGCTGAAAAGCCAGACAAATTCGAGCTTCCACTTGAGAAAAGTGAGTGGGAAACATCAGAAAAGGAAATTCCAACTACAAGTAAGCCAAAGGTAGTGCACTCGCCACAGCAACCACAAGCAGCAACTGAGAAACATGTCATTGACGAGATGCCCATTGCAGATATTCAAGAATCCGTCGAGAAAGTAAAAAAAGATTTTGAACTTAACAAAATGCCTCAAGCTTTTAGCACTGACGCTGAGAATGAGGACGTATCATCCTTTATAGGTATACCCGAACTTCAAGCCTCCACAATAGACGGTACCCAGCCACCAGAGGGTCTTTTCGATACAACCATCAAGGAGACATTAAACAAACAAGCTGCTATAGCTCACTATGCCAAAGATGTGTTTGGCCAAGTAGAGCGGCGTGATGATCATGGATCTCTCGGGTTTGTCTCAACAGGCACGGCTGAAGATTTTAGTTCAATGGAGGATCGTTTAACGAAGGAAGAGCAAGGCTCACTCGGGTTTATATCTACGGAAACGGCTGAAGACTTTAGTTCTATGGAGGACTATTATACGGAGAGGCTAGCAACAGCCTCTGTAGTCGTAGAAGACAGCATTGCAGATAAATCCATGAGCAGTAATTTTGAAGAAGTGGTTTCAGATCAAAGTATTAAGCCTGTGGACTTAGTGGTTCATCGCATAAAAAGTGATAGCTCGCCAGACTCCGCCAATCGCTGGTCCATTCCAGATGTTGATAATTCCAGCTCCAGTGATAGTTATCACAAGAGCTTCGAGAAAACACACAGTCGTCCACTTTCGTCTGATGTAGAAAACTTGCTTACTGGCACTGGAACCTCAAGCGAATACCAAACAGCTCGCGACTTCACACCTTCCACCTGTCGCGATGGTACCGAATACGTGAGTGCAGTCAGTACCCTGGGTAGCAGCAGTGGAAAGTCTATTAGCTCGCATGAGAGCATGCGCAGCCTGGACTCGCAGTCGGAAACATCGGCCAATCTGATGAGCATTGATGTCTCTGAGCTGTCCGAGACTTTGGTAGCATCATCAACAGAAGCTGATGCCTTAGAGGCTGAAGAAATGGCTCGCCTGCACGAGTTGCGCGCAGATGACGACGATAGCGATGAAAGCCTTGATATGATAGCTTCTTCGCATCACAGTGCCGACCAGCAAAGCTTGATGAAGCGCTCTCAGGAAATGATATTCAAGCCTAAATCCGAGCCTGAAATTATACCTCAGCAACAATCGGTTGAGACAATGCAGATTGAAGAGTATCCCAAGCCAAAAGAAGTTGAGCGTACTTGGGGCTTAGCATATCCGATTGATGAAAAAGAGGGAAAGATCGATAGTTCTCGGGATAGCGATAAGGGTGAAGATATCTTGCTTTATCACGGCGACCCCAGACGTTCGATTGACGAATCGAAGCTGGCATCAAGTTTAGACGAAGGAAGCATACTTTCCGTCAGCATGTCTAGCACATCGAATATTGACACCGTTGTCGAAAACTTTGATGATATAATTGGCTCTGCCGGCTCATCATCTTTGACGGGAATTGAAGGTTTTCAGTATGGCCACGATGATCCAGTACCTTCCACATCAATACCCGAAGATACATTTGTATTGGAGATGGAAAGTAAGGAAAATTCACCACAAGACTCAAATGCCAGTACGCCACCTGGCAGTGAGTCAAAGAGACGTGGTCACAAGCGCAATGAGAGTACAACAATTTCTGGAGATGCCCTGAAAAATTTGGACAAGGATTCAGTTTTACCAGGCGAAGGCAAGGAATCCGAAAGTGAGTCCGACACAGATCCCTATGAATCCGAATATGCTCGTCAGTTCCGCTCCCCGAAAGAACGAAAACACAAGAAAAAGAAACAAGCCGCTGCAGAAATGGATCACAGCTCCGAGCTTGAGAAACGTCCATTTACACCTTCTCAGCTGGTAGCCGAAGTTATTGTTGAGGATGCAACAGAAGAGTTGGAGGCGGAAGCAGCTATGATTGAAGAGCGACGACCATCACAAAATATGCAAAACTATTCAAATATACCCGACATTATGGTAACTGAGGATGTGAAGTCGCCCATTTTAGAAGATGCTGATGAGTACCCTGAGAAGACTTTGTACAAGGTTCGCACTGAAGAGGAGCTTGACAAGGCTACTGATGTTGGCACTTATCAAAAAGCCAAGGCTGAAGAGAAAGAACTGGACTTCCAAAGGCGTGTACAGGAGCAATATAAACAGAAACTCGAAGAACTAAAACGCGCCGAAGTGGGTGCTGATTACGATGATCAACGAGCAGCGGATTCACCGGACTCCTTCGAAATGGTGGAACAGCCTGATATATCTGACGAGTTTGTCATAATTGAAGAAGTAGCCAAAGAGGCCAATGAGGCTGACCTGGGAGGCAGGAGCATTAAGATTAAGCCAACTAAATATGAGCAAAAGCATGATGAAGATGTCGAAAAAATCATTATCAAATCGGCACCTGCCGACCCCAAACTCGGCTCCCAGTTGTACAAGGACGACCTCAATTTTGAGTTTGAGGAAAGCCCACCAACGGGAGCCAGCAGTAGCAGCGAGCAGCAGGAGGAGAGCGATTCCAGCGATACAGCAGCAGCTAATAAGCGATGGGTCGAGATGCAGCTAACTGATACACAGCTACGCTATCCTTACGATCTGACGGGCGCTGTGCTCGAAGACATCAAGGAGGAGGATGGAGAATTTGAAGTGGGCAGCAGTCGCATCAGCAGTTTCAAGGACTCCTTCTCAAGCACACCCGAATACGATCTGGCAGCACGCCGCTATCATTCGCGAGGTGAACACGACGATGTGTCTATGAGCAGCCTGCAAGAGTTCGAGTCACTGGAGCAGGCTATTTCATTAGAGAACCGAAATCGCGCCCACCAGGGCTCCACGGACTCCAGCAACGGCAGCTTCACACGCCGCTATATGGTGAGACATAGTGGAAGCGGCACAGTGCCTGGCGATGATGTCTCCATATCCAGCTTAAAGGATTTTGAGGGATTGGAGAATGCATGCATCGAAGCTCATCTGATTGAAATTAAGGCAAAGGAGGAAGCTGCTCTGCTCTCGCGTTCCGACGAGTCCAACAAATCAAATGGCAGCGACCATGGCGCTGCGGGTAATGTGGTGGTCACCAAGGTTACTCGCACTGTGACCCGCACCGAAGTGTTGCCAGCAGGGCAAGCTGACAACCTTGAACATTTGCTCAAGCAACAATTGGAACGGGATGAATTTGATTCGAAAGCAGTTAGTACAGTGAAAATTACCGAAATACCAGCCACAGAACTGGATCCAAAGTCAAAAATTGACAGCCAGGATTCCGAAAAGGACAGCATCGACAGCATGGAGATAAGGAGCCATGACATGATGACTAGCAGCATAGAAAGCTTCGATATATCGAAGGACGCCACCACACGCTCAGACATCGACTCGTTGGAAATTGACAAACGGCATTCGCGACAGGAGAGCATTGAATCTTTCGGGGATGAGCAGCTGGATCTTATGTCTAAACTAGTCAGCGGAGGCGGAGTAACATTAGGTGATGGATTGACAACCACAACGACGACCACAACCACCAGCACCGATGCCGATGGCCAAGAGCACACAGTTACGCGCGTGATAACCACCACAACTGTGTCCGGTGGCAGTGGTATTCTGGAATTGCCTCTGGATGAGAGCGGTATGTCAAAGGATATATCCGTTGATTCTCTGAATCTGTGCATTGAGCAAACAACCAGCTCGGCAGGCACAACAGCCACGTACCAGACCAGCGCAGGAAATTCACAGATGTCGGGCAGTGTTACTAGCTGTGCATCAAGTACATTAATGGAAGACTCGTTTCCTGGTGTGGGTGGCATGTCGTCCTCTCAAATGTCGGCCAGTTTCTGGTCGCACGATGAGTCCACGGTGGTTGAGGATGAGGATCTAAGGACACAACAACAACAACAACAACAACAGCATCAACAACAGTAAAGATGAGAAGGAAAGAATTAATAAATAAAGGGCTTAAACAATGACTAAGAATTTTTGGCTAGGTAAGCATTATAAGGCAAGGCTTCTCCGCTTTTAGTTGTACTTATGATTTACGGTTTTTATTTGGTCTCAATAAATAAGCAGTAGAGCTCAACATTGACAGAGAATCATGTCGCCTATATGCAAAATGAATTGAATATCTTTACTAAATTCTAATTTTCTTTCACACACTTTTGCAGACAAGATGTTCAACTAAGGATGACAATTAAAACGCATCTTCTGTCGGATTACTGACTATGAAACATTTTGAATGGGACACCAGATCACCAACTTTAGACGTCACGGACCTTGATTATCTTAAACTTGAATTACCATTGAATAAGAAACTAGCAAATTCGTCATTTTTTCATCAGTATAAACATTTTAAATGTATTTGAAATGCAACACATGAGTTTTAAATACTTATAAATATTATAAAAATTGCAAAAATTGAATATGGCAAGCATTAATTGTTTCGCATTTTCTGTAATTGGCTTTAATGTTTTAACATTTAAAATAAAAATCAAATCTTATAAGGAACAACAATTCTTGAGCTAACGCATTGTATCGAAATGCAGAATACACATTCGCTTTTAATTTGATGTAGTTATACTTATATGTATCTATTAAATGAATCGCTTATTATTGTAGTTTAATTTAAGCAAAATATACAAGTGCATATGTAAAGAGCAAGTAGGAAAGGAAAGGCCTGGGAAGTGAAATGCTTTTAAAGTCTCATTTTTTACAAGAACCAAGCAAATTTTTACGCTTGCATATTTTAATGAAAAATATACATACAATATTATACAATAACAAACCGAAATGCATAGATAAAATTTAAAACACTTATATACAAAAACACAACCCATAATAATAATTCACATACAGCCGCAACATACAAAAAATTCATATACTTAATGCTAATTTTCGTAATGCACACCTTGCAGTGTATTCATAATATTCTTACATATTACAAGATTTAAACGTCTTAGCATCACCAGTGTAATGGGTTATAAATAAAATATTTGTGTTAAAAACATACAGCAAGAAAAAAAAACAACAAAAAACATTATTTGTATTGTAAACCACACGCGTATGAATAACCAAATAAAATGCTTAATAAAAATTGCTTTAGATGTTTTAAATCGATTGTATATAATTTCTATTAATGTTCTTTATTATTATTATTACACATTTTCAGCGAAAACCTTTTTCGATTAGTTCTAATTCGTTGTAATAGATTAAATCTGGTATTAGATGGAAAATTTCAAATTTTGAATTAAATACCATAATTTAATACCAAATATAACAGTTAGACGGGAACTGCTTTTCTGCGCAAGTACACTTGATAACCATTTAGTACTGACTACGTGCACTTAACATGGTGAGCAATCGATTCGATGAGAAAAAAGATAATTTTACAACCAATTCCAGTGCGTGGTTTGAAACCCCGCTGTTTCGGTTCAGATGGATAATTGAATGTTTATTTATGCAATATGGTCTGGACAGCGATATTTTTTGAAATGAATTTTCATGGAGCAATTCCAAAGGTTGAGTTCATACGTGTATAAGTTTGAAACTGATTTGCCAAAACTGTCAAGCACTACATGTAAATGTACCGAATGTAAAAGAACCAGTTCTGTAAGCAGCTGGTTCGTTTAGTAGGTAGCTCGACAACACTGGATAGCACACATTACAGCTGACGACGAAAGCAACAGCTGACGAAGCAGCAAGACGAAGCGAACAAGCAATACTTCGTGCGTATGGAATAGAAAATTGGAAAAAAGGGCAACTGCACAGTGAAAAAGTGATGGAAAAATGTGGTTTTTAAGCGAGTAATTGCGTAGCAGTTAAAACCCAGTTCAATAAAATACGAATATAAATAATTCAACGCACAAATAAGCTATGAAATTGCTGCCAAAATTTCTTATTCTTCGTCGTTGTTGCTATCGCATTTCGTATTGAGCTGACAGAAGCCAAGAAGCAGATGACAGATGCAAAACTAAAATCTACGTGCAAATTTGTGAAATTCATTGAAGATTAAGATAACAAACGAATGCTGAGGCATTGGTGCAAATAATTCTAATTATACAACAGCCCAACTGTGTTCCCCTCAAAGGCCGAAACTGGTTATACACACAGCGACGACAACGACAGCGACGACGACGACGACGGCAGCGACGGCGACGACAACGGCAACGAAGGAACGGGAGCAGCAGCAGCAGCAGCAGCGAAAGGCAGTTCGTCGCAGCGGAGAGTGAGGGTGAGTAAAAATCGATTTGTTGCACAAAACGCCACACACACACACACACACACACACACACAAACAAACACACAACTGTGACAACCCTGTGCACGAGGGCGAGTGGTTGACATGGGCGGGGCGGGACCTCAACGTGGACGAGAAGCTGAAAAGCTGACGAACTATTCTGATGGGATGCACATTACAATTTGTTGTATACATTTCCAGGCAATGGAAAAAATCAAACTAAAGGTTATTGGCGTGCTGCGCGAGCGCGACGGTGGCACGAATGTGAATCGCAGCAGTGGCGTCTCTGCTGGCGTTGGCAGTCATCAGGTGGGCGTGGGCGTGGCCGTTGCAATTGGGGTCACGCAGGACAATGGCAATGGCAACGATAACGGCAACGCCCCTGGACCAGAACGAAACGATGCACATGCACTAAGTGCAGTCGGTGGCGGCGGTGCAGTTACCGGAGCGGGGGGTGCGGCACGCACCTCGGTCCTCTCCCGGCCGCAAACATCAAAAATCAGCGCACTTGATCTGGCAGGCATATTGAACACGAAGCGGCGACTCGAATGGACCAAGGAGTGGCTGCGAAAGAACCAATCCGAATTTCTCAGCAAGGAAAATCTGCTCAGCGAGCTGCAGTCACGCAAGGACGAGTGCTACCATTTGAATTACTTCCTAGCCATAACTGAGAGCCAGTTTCGATATCTGGTACAGAAACTGGAGCCCATCATTAGCCAGTATGCGCCTCAGCGCAAAAAGAAATCCTTCAGCGCCGAGGAGCGTCTGGCCATAACGCTCAAGTATTTGGCAACGGGTAAGCATTGCTCGCAGATCGAATCTGAATCCGTTTAACAATTACTTGACTCATTTACTTATATACATAAATGTGTACGTTGCGTACATGCAGATCGATGTGCATCCATTTGGTAATGTGTGTGTGTATGTCTTTGTTGCAGGTGAAGTGCATTCTTGTCGAAACTACTGCTTCCGTGCCTCCAAATTTGTGATAAACGAAATGATTGCCAATATCTGTCTGGGCTTCTACGAGCACCTCAAGGACCAATACGTGACACTACCAAAGACTGATGAGCAGTGGCGCAACGCGGCCACGGACATGGAGCGCAAACACAACCTGCCCCAGTGCGTGGGTAATCTGTTTATGCGCAGCATTCAGCTGCAGAACAGCGTCAGCAACGACGATCGCAAGCGTGCGGCCGTCATCTTTACGGCCATTGTGGATGCGGACAACAATTTCCAGTATGCGAAGGTGGAACGTGCGGCGAACAGTCGGCCAAATGATATATACAACCAGACCACTGCCGTTGAGCTAATCGAGCACAAGATGCTGGCGTTAGAGGCACAATCGGAGCCGCATCGCAAGGGCTACTATCTGGCCGGTGATGCAGTGCTGCCCAGCACATCCTATTTGATCAGTACGCGCAATTTGGCCAAGGAGAGCCCCGCGTACGCTGCGCTTGAACAGATTAATGCTCATGCTGAGCAAACGATGCGTATATTGTGCAATATATTTCCCATACTGGCGCAACCACTGCGCGTCAGCGAGAAGCACATCGGGGAGGTGGTGCTAGGCTGTGTGGCATTATATAATTTCCTGCGGAAGACAGACGATTCATTTCGGCGCAACAGCGACAGCATAGTGCAGCAGCGAGGCGGCATGGAGCAGCAGCAGCCCGCCTATGTGGACAGCGAGGACATCGACGAGGACTGCATAATGCTGGCCACCGAGGAGGAGCTGCGCGAACGAGCCGAGTTTACGCCTAGCGTTGGACTGACCACCTGCTTTCAGACGTTGAGCGCACAGCGTGGTGATACGCCCGAGGGCCAAGCCAAGCGAGACTGGCTGCTCCAGCTGCCAATAGTTGGGGCACAACAGCAAAATGGCAATGCCACCGCGAACGGGGGTATATATTAGTGCAATTTTACCTAAGTACTTTACGAATTTTGTATAGTTCCTTGTTTTCTATTTTCTAAATCATAATCTATATCTTATATATGAATTGGCATTGGCATTGGCATTGATTATGTTGCTAGCCATAGTTTTGCCACTTTCTTCTGCATTAAGTGAGCTGTTCTTTTGCTTCTGTGCTTTAAGGTTCTGTAAAGTTAGTTTAGGTTTTTAATTTGGAAGTTCAGTGAAATGCTATGTGTGATGTCTCAAATCTCTATTGTGGCCCAGTGCTCCCGGGGAGCTATGCGAGTGCGACCACCAAACGTTTTGGCGCGCGAGAATCGAGATGAAAGAAAACAAAGAAATAACAAAAAAAAAAAAAAAAACAAAAAAAAACGAAATAAGAAAACAGATCAACAAAATTAAAAGTTTAGTATTCGTATTTAAGCAAACAACAAATTATACATAATTATATTTACAATAAATGTGTAAGGAATGGTCTTTACGTGTCGAAATCTAAGATCGGCATCTTCTCAACATTAAATACTGCTCCAATGCGGCCAGCTCTGCACGACAACGTACAACGCATCACCCGGACTTTTGGTGGCGCTCAACTGGCGATGGCCCAGCAGCTGATAATTCTCGGCAAGCTGACCCTGTCTGACAGCATGGTCCAGTAATGACTGTGCAGCAGCCAGAGCTGCATCCGTCGGCGGCTGCTCGTCGAAGTTTCCAATGAAGGCAATGGCCAGGCTGCCGGCATTATTACCAGCCGCAATGGCGCCCTGTTGACTTGGACTGCGTCCCTCGTAGACAAGGCCATTGCCGCCAATCAAATAGTGATAGCTAATATCCGAGTACTTCATTCTCATCATCTGGTACGTCTGAATGCTGCTCACCTGGGCGGCACAGCTCTGATCATCGATGCAGCCACGCCCAGCCGTGTGAGCGATAACGGCTCGGCTCAGCGGTAGCGTCATCATCGTCATTTCCCCATTTGGCGGCCGGGCGCGCCAATCCGCACGAGAAACTATGGACAGCTCCGTCTGGCCGTTGGCAGCGGCGAGGGCCATAAGAAAACCAAAAAGCACGCTCCAGCCAAAGCTCATCTCGGTGCGGATCTCGACAAGCAACTGAGCTGGTGCTCGCGAATGGGCTGCGAACTTATTGACCGCTGATAATCAGCCTGCCCCGAAGCAGCGATTAACTACACTAGACCACATAAGCTGAGGGGAATTTTCTGTGGCGTCATATAAAAAAACATATACCTTTGTAATCATCTGTGAGGGCTTTTTTAATAGTTGCTGCCGATGCTTAAAACGCGTTTCTTGGTTTTAAATAAAACGCTACAAATTGATTAAATAGACGATGTTATTTAAAATTTATTTGATTTGATATTCGAACTAGGGCTATTAGCAGATCAACTGGCCTCAAAAAATGGGGGCCCGTTCGATAATTAAAACCTTTTTGATAATTTTTTTACAATTTCTCGAGTAAATAACATCCGATTTTTGAAAGTAATACCTTTTTGAATTTGTACGGAATTATGTCGTTTTAGAACGTCATATCTCCACGCGAAGTTATGTCGTTTTAAAACGTCATATCTCCGCGCGGAGTTATGTCGTTTTAGAACGTCATATCTCCACGCGAAGTTATGTCGTTTTAGAACTTCATATCTCCGCGTGGAGATATAACGTTTTAGAACGTCATATCTCCGCGCGAAGCTATGTCGTTTTAGAACGTCATATCTCCGCGCGGAATCTTGTCGTTTTAGAACGACATAACTTCGCGCGGAGCTATGTCGTCTTAGAACGTCATATCTCCACGCGAAGTTATGTCGTTTTAGAACGTCATATCTCCACGCGAAGTTATGTCGTTCTAAAACATTCAACTCATATGGACAGCGGCTGTTATTTGGCCAAAAGACTTTAAAAACGTTCTTATTTTTCCGAGATATAGGCCACCTCAAGGACCACTCTGATGACCTTTGGACAACATGCAGTCCTTGCTCTGTCAATTTAGAATATGTAATTTTTGTCTGCATGGATAAACGGGTGTAGATCGGCCGTATCCTTGCCGATCATGTTCTCCATTTGCCAACCTTAAGTCCTTATCGTCCCAATTTAGTATGTTTAATGAAAAGGACGAAAGTCTTTCAGACAGCCTAGATATGAGTACAATTTTTTCGTAAATTATCGAAGCCACAACTCGGCCGTATCTTTACAGATCCTGACAAGTCCTGAGTCAAACAAAGGACCTTAACTGTCCAAAGGACAACAAAATCGTCCTTGCCGTTTCAGAGATATGGCCAATTTTCTAAAAAGGACATTTTTTAATAAGCCATAGCTCGGCCAAATCCTTAAGGATATCGAAAGGATATCCCGTTTTGAGCTCGTGGTGAGCAGGACTATCGATTGGCATTCAAGGATTTCCAGGATTCGACAAAAAATTTCGTCTAAATTTATCCCAGGGGGTTGTCGCAAAAGTGGCTAAAATCGAAAAATTCGGGACTAACTTGGCCATTTGAAGGACTATCGGGATGTCCTTTGGACAGTAGATAGTGCTCGTTCTTCCATTTAAGAAAATATAACAAAAATGACGAATGTCCTTTAAATGGCAAAGTTTTAAGGACAATTTTTGCAAGAGAAAATAGGCCATAGCTCGGCCATATCCTAGCGTATCCTGACAAGTCCTGTGGCAAATAAATTGTATTAGCCAGGACTACCAACTTGCCGAAATTCATTAAGATCGTCCTGCTAGTTTTGAAGATATTTAAGGATTTGAGTTTTCGGGCCATTTCCGTGCGCTCCGGGATGAAAATTTCACAACTAAAAATACAAGTCCTGAGGTTCTTAGATGACCCCATATTTTGATGCAGATCGATGCAGGGGGTCAATACGATCCTAACGCACCATGTCTTTTGAAAATCTGCAAGGATATGACCGACTTATGTCTTTTTTTCTTTACATAAAATGCTTTTATATATTTTTCGCCCTGTTTAATTTCAATATGTTTTTATGCTTTCAGACTGACAAATTAAGGACTATAATGAGCTCTAAGGACCTCCACGACTGACAAAGCAAATTTTTCCAGGATCGGACTTTAATTAAGCCAGATATAGTTATTTTAAGTTTCAATAAGCTATGATTATGATTTATGCTTTATTTGTATAATTTTAAGAGAAATAATTAAGAAAACTAGCATAAAAACAACAATTTTATATATTTGAACATAAATAAATCAATTATTTAAAATAAAAGAAGAAAATCCAGTTTTTTATTTAAAAAATTCAAAAATCAATTTTCCAACGCTTGGCCCACATTTAAAATTTGTGAAGATATAAAAGAGGTTATGTCGTTCTAAAACGACATAACTCCGCGCGGAGATATGACGTTCTAAGACGACATAACTTCGCGTGGAGATATGACGTTCTAAAACGACATAACTCTGCGCGGAGATATGACGTTCTAAAACGACATAACTCCGCGCGGAGATATGACGTTCTAAAACGACATAACTCCGCGCGGAGATATGACGTTCTAAAACGACATAACTCCGCGCGGAGATATGACGTTCTAAAACGACATAACTCCGCGCGGAGATATGACGTTCTAAGACGACATAACTTCGCGTGGAGATATGACGTTCTAAAACGACATAACTCTGCGCGGAGATATGACGTTCTAAAACGACATAACTCCGCGCGGAGATATGACGTTCTAAAACGACATAACTCCGCGCGGAGATATGACGTTCTAAAACGACATAACTCCGCGCGGAGATATGACGTTCTAAGACGACATAACTTCGCGTGGAGATATGACGTTCTAAAACGACATAACTCCGCGCGGAGATATGAAGTTCTAAAACGACATAACTCCGCGCGGAGATATGAAGTTCTAAAACGACATAACTTCGCGTGGAGATATGACGTTCTAAAACGACATAACTTCGCGTGGAGATATGACGTTCTAAAACGACATAACTCCGCGTGGAGATATGACGTTTTAAAACGACATAACTCCGCGTGGAGATATGACGTTCTAAAACGACATTACTTCGCACGGAGATATGACGTTCTAAAACGACATAACTCCGCGCGGAGATATGACGTTCTAAGACGACATAACTTCGCGTGGAGATATGACGTTCTAAAACGACATAACTCCGCATGGAGATATGACGTTCTAAAACGACATAACTCCGCGTGGAGATATGACGTTCTAAAACGACATAACTTCGCGTGGAGATATGACGTTCTAAAACGACATAACTCCGCGTGGAGATATGACGTTCTAAAACGACATAACTTCGCGTGGAGATATGAAGTTCTGAAACGACATAACTTCGTGCGGAGATATGATGTTCTAAAACGACATAACTCCGCGCGGAGATATGACGTTCTAAAACGACATAACTTCGCGTGGAGATATGACGTTCTAAAACGACATAACTCCGCGTGGAGATATGACGTTCTAAAACGACATTACTTCGCGCGGAGATATGACGTTCTAAAACGACATAACTCCGCGCGGAGATATGAAGTTCTAAAAGAACATAACTCCGCGCGGAGATATGACGTTCTAAAACGACATAACTCCGCGTGGAGATATGACGTTCTAAAACGACATTACTTCGCGCGGAGATATGACGTTCTAAAACGACATAACTCCGCGCGGAGATATGAAGTTCTAAAAGAACATAACTCCGCGCGGAGATATGACGTTCTAAAACGACATAACTCCGCGCGGAGATATGAAGTTCTGAAACGACATAACTTCGCGCGGAGATATGACGTTCTAAAACGACATAACTCCGCGCGGAGATATGACGTTCTAAAACGACATAACTCCGCGCGGAGATATGAAGCTCTAAAACGACATAGCTCCGCGCGGAGATATGAAGTTTTAAAACGACATAACTTCGCGTGGAGATATGACGTTCTAAAACGACATAACTTCGCGTGGAGATATGACGTTCTAAAACGACATAACTCCGCGTGGAGATATGACGTTCTAAAACGACATTACTTCGCGCGGAGATATGACGTTCTAAAACGACATAACTCCGCGCGGAGATATGACGTTCTAAAACGACATAACTTCGCGTGGAGATATGACGTTCTAAAACGACATAACTCCGCGCGGAGATATGACGTTCTAAAACGACATAACTCCGCGCGGAGATATGAAGCTCTAAAACGACATAGCTCCGCGCGGAGATATGAAGTTTTAAAACGACATAACTTCGCGTGGAGATATGACGTTCTAAAACGACATAACTTCGCGTGGAGATATGACGTTCTAAAACGACATAACTTCGCGTGGAGATATTACGTTCTAAAACGACATAACTTCGCGTGGAGATATGAAGTTCTAAAACGACATAACTTCGCGTGGAGAAATGACGTTCTAAAACGACATAACTTCGCGTGGAGATATGACGTTCTAAAACGACATAACTCCGCGTGGAGATATGACGTTCTAAAACGACATAACTTCGCGTGGAGATATGAAGTTCTGAAACGACATAACTCCGCGCGGAGATATGACGTTCTAAAACGACATAACTCCGCGCGGAGATATGAAGTTCTAAAACGACATAACTTCGCGTGGAGAAATGACGTTCTAAAACGACATAACTTCGCGTGGAGATATCACGTTCTAAAACGACATACCTCCGCGTGGAGATATGACGTTCTAAAACGACATAACTTCGCGTGGAGATATGAAGTTCTGAAACGACATAACTTGGCGTGGAGATATGACGTTCTAAAACGACATAACTCCGCGTGGAGATATGACGTTCTAAGACGACATTACTCCGCGCGGAGATATGACGTTCTAAAACGACATAACTCCGCGCGGAGATATGACGTTCTAAAACGACATAACTTCGCGTGGAGATATGACGTTCTAAAACGACATAACTCCGCGTGGAGATATGACGTTCTAAAACGACATAACTTCGCGTGGAGATATGAAGTTCTGAAACGACATAACTTCGCGTGGAGATATGACGTTCTAAAACGACATAACTTCGCGTGGAGATATGACGTTCTAAAACGACATAACTCCGCGTGGAGATATGAGTTCTAAAACGACATAACTCCGCGTGGAGATATGACGTTCTAAAACGACATAAATCCGCGCGGAGATATGACGTTCTAAAACGACATAACTTCGCGTGGAGATATGACGTTCTAAAACGACATAACTCCGCATGGAGATATGACGTTCTAAAACGACATAACTCCGCGTGGAGATATGACGTTCTAAAACGACATAACTCCGCGTGGAGATATGACGTTCTAAAACGACATTACTTCGCGCGGAGATATGACGTTCTAAAACGACATAACTTCGCGCGGAGTTATGTCGTTTTAGAACGTCATATCTCCGCGCGGAGTTATGTCGTTTTAGAACGTCATATCTCCGCGCGGAGTTATGTCGTTTTAGAACGTCATATCTCCGCGCAGAGTTATGTCGTTGTAGAACGTCATATCTCCACGCGAAGTTATGTCGTCTTAGAACGTCATATCTCCGCGCGGATTTATGTCGTTTTAGAACGACATAACCTCTTTTATGTCTTCACAAATTTTAAATGTGGGCCAAGCGTTGGAATATTGATTTTTGAATTTTTTAAATAAAAAACTGGATTTTCTTCTTTTATTTAAAATAATTGATTTATTTATGTTCAAATATATAAAATTGTTGTTTTTATGCTAGTTTTCTTAATTATTTCTCTTAAAATTATACAAATCAAGCATAAATCATAATCATAGCTTATTGAAACTTAAAATAACTATATCTGGCTTAATTAAAGTCCGATCCTGGAAAAATTTGCTTTGTCAGTCGTGGAGGTCCTTAGAGCTCATTGTAGTCCTTAATTTGTCAGTCTGAAAGCATAAAAACATATTGAAATTAAACAGGGCGAAAAATATATAAAAGCATTTTATGTAAAGAAAAAAAGACATAAGTCGGTCATATCCTTGCAGATTTTCAAAGGACATTCATCAAAATATGGGGTTATCTAAGAACCTCAGGACTTGTATTTTTAGTTGTGAAATTTTCATCCCGGAGCGCACGGAAATGGCCCGAAAACTCAAATCCTTAAATATCTTCAAAACTAGCAGGACGATCTTAATGAATTTCGGCAAGTTGGTAGTCCTGGCTAATACAATTTATTTGCCACAGGACTTGTCAGGATACGCTAGGATATGGCCGAGCTATGGCCTATTTTCTCTTGCAAAAATTGTCCTTAAAACTTTGCCATTTAAAGGACATTCGTCATTTTTGTTATATTTTCTTAAATGGAAGAACGAGCACTATCTACTGTCCAAAGGACATTCCGATAGTCCTTCAAATGGCCAAGTTAGTCCCAAATTTTCCCAAACATTTAAAATTTGTGAAGATATAAAAGAGGTTATGTCGTTCTAAGACGACATAACTCCGCGCGGAGATATGACGTTCTAAGACGACATAACTTCGCGTGGAGATATGACGTTCTAAAACGACATAACTCTGCGCGGAGATATGACGTTCTAAAACGACATAGCTCCGCGCGGAGATATGACGTTCTAAGACGACATAACTTCGCGTGGAGATATGACGTTCTAAAACGACATAACTTCGCATGGAGATATTACGTTCTAAAACGACATAACTCCGCGCGGAGATATGAAGTTCTAAAACGACATAACTTCGCGTGGAGAAATGACGTTCTAAAACGACATAACTTCGCGTGGAGATATGACGTTCTAAAACGACATAACTCCGCGTGGAGATATGACGTTCTAAAACGACATAACTTCGCGTGGAGATATGAAGTTCTGAAACGACATAACTCCGCGCGGAGATATAACGTTCTAAAACGACATAACTCCGCGCGGAGATATGAAGTTCTAAAACGACATAACTTCGCGTGGAGAAATGACGTTCTAAAACGACATAACTTCGCGTGGAGATATGACGTTCTAAAACGACATAACTCCGCGTGGAGATATGACGTTCTAAAACGACATAATTTCGCGTGGAGATATGACGTTCTAAAACGACATAACTTCGCGTGGAGATATGACGTTCTAAAACGACATAACTCCGCGTGGAGATATGACGTTCTAAGACGACATTACTCCGCGCGGAGATATGACGTTCTAAAACGACATAACTCCGCGCGGAGATATGAAGTTCTAAAACGACATAACTTCGCGTGGAGATATGACGTTCTAAAACGACATAACTCCGCGTGGAGATATGACGTTCTAAAACGACATAACTTCGCGTGGAGATATGAAGTTCTGAAACGACATAACTTCGCGTGGAGATATGACGTTCTAAAACGACATAACTTCGCGTGGAGATATGACGTTCTAAAACGACATAACTCCGCGTGGAGATATGAGTTCTAAAACGACATAACTCCGCGTGGAGATATGAGTTCTAAAACGACATAACTCCGCGTGGAGATATGACGTTCTAAAACGACATAAATCCGCGCGGAGATATGACGTTCTAAAACGACATAACTTCGCGTGGAGATATGACGTTATAAAACGACATAACTCCGCATGGAGATATGACGTTCTAAAACGACATAACTCCGCGTGGAGATATGACGTTCTAAAACGACATAACTCCGCGTGGAGATATGACGTTCTAAAACGACATAACTCCGCATGGAGATATGACGTTCTAAAACGACATAACTCCGCGTGGAGATATGACGTTCTAAAACGACATAACTCCGCGTGGAGATATGACGTTCTAAAACGACATAACTCCGCGTGGAGATATGACGTTCTAAAACGACATTACTTCGCGCGGAGATATGACGTTCTAAAACGACATAACTTCGCGCGGAGTTATGTCGTTTTAGAACGTCATATCTCCGCGCGGAGTTATGTCGTTTTAGAACGTCATATCTCCGCGCAGAGTTATGTCGTTTTAGAACGTCATATCTCCACGCGAAGTTATGTCGTCTTAGAACGTCATATCTCCGCGCGGATTTATGTCGTTTTAGAACGACATAACCTCTTTTATGTTTTCACAAATTTTAAATGTGGGCCAAGCGTTGGAATATTGATTTTTGAATTTTTTAAATAAAAAACTGGATTTTCTTCTTTTATTTTAAATAATTGATTTATTTATGTTCAAATATATAAAATTGTTGTTTTTATGCTAGTTTTCTTAATTATTTCTCTTAAAATTATACAAATCAAGCATAAATCATAATCATAGCTTATTGAAACTTAAAATAACTATATCTGGCTTAATTAAAGTCCGATCCTGGAAAAATTTGCTTTGTCAGTCGTGGAGGTCCTTAGAGCTCATTGTAGTCCTTAATTTGTCAGTCTGAAAGCATAAAAACATATTGAAATTAAACAGGGCGAAAAATATATAAAAGCATTTTATGTAAAGAAAAAAAGACATAAGTCGGTCATATCCTTGCAGATTTTCAAAGGACATTCATCAAAATATGGGGTTATCTAAGAACCTCAGGACTTGTATTTTTAGTTGTGAAATTTTCATCCCGGAGCGCACGGAAATGGCCCGAAAACTCAAATCCTTAAATATCTTCAAAACTAGCAGGACGATCTTAATGAATTTCGGCAAGTTGGTAGTCCTGGCTAATACAATTTATTTGCCACAGGACTTGTCAGGATACGCTAGGATATGGCCGAGCTATGGCCTATTTTCTCTTGCAAAAATTGTCCTTAAAACTTTGCCATTTAAAGGACATTCGTCATTTTTGTTATATTTTCTTAAATGGAAGAACGAGCACTATCTACTGTCCAAAGGACATTCCGATAGTCCTTCAAATGGCCATGTTAGTCCCAAATTTTTCGATTTTTTCCACTTTTGCGACAACCCCCTGGGATAAATTTAGACGAAATTTTTTGTCGAATCCTGGAAATCCTTGAATGCCAATCGATAGTCCTGCTCACCACGAGCTCAAAACGGGATATCCTTTCGATATCCTTAAGGATTTGGCCGAGCTATGGCTTATTAAAAAATGTCCTTTTTAGAAAATTGGCCATATCTCTGAAACGGCAAGGACGATTTTGTTGTCCTTTGGACAGTTAAGGTCCTTTGTTTGACTCAGGACTTGTCAGGATCTGTAAAGATACGGCCGAGTTGTGGCTTCGATAATTTACGAAAAAATTGTACTCATATTTCGGCTGTCTGAAGGACTTTCGTCCTTTTCATTAAACATACTAAATTGGGACGATAAGGACTTACGGTTGGCAAATGGAGAACATGATCGGCAAGGATACGGCCGATCTACACCTACACAAACATGACATATTCTAAATTGACAGAGCAAGGACTGCATGTTGTCCAAAGGTCATCAGAGTGGTCCTTGAGGTGGTCTATATCTCGGAAAAATAAGAACGTTTTTAAAGTCTTTTTGGCAAATAACAGCCGCTGTCCATATGAGTTGAATGACACAGTCCTCGTAAGGATGGTATTTACACGAGGTTCGAAAATCGAAACTTTTTTAAAGATTTGTTTTTGAATATCTCGAGAGATTCGGAATATTTAAATGTTATAGCTGTTTGAATTCGTACGAATCAGTTGAATCGATGGGTTTTCATTGTTAATTGGGAACCGAATTGACTTCAATTAAGTTACGGATTTATCGGGTCAGTCAATCAATAATTGAGTACAAATTTGATCTCTTTGTAATAAGTTGTTTGTCCTGACGGACTGAAAGACTGACAGAGTAATTTGCGAATTTGTTTCCAAGTTGGAAATTCCACATGCATCATCAAGCCAAACAATTTCATAAATAGATATTTTGTAACTTAACAAACTTTCAAAAAAGATTGGGAACTTACGCTTACATCATATTCGCAATTAAACGCAGCTGCTCGAGTGGGATTCACCCCGGGTAAGGTTCTTCACTTGCCGTAACTAAGGCATTTGAATACATTTTACATTATGTTAATTCATACGAGAGCCGAAAAAAAAACCACTACTTGACACAGATGTGCTTCACAATAATTTAATTAAAAAAGTTTCGTAATTAAATGCAAAAGTACAGCAGAAGTAAAGCCAAAATGGAATGCAATCCATTTGCCGAGTCGTGGGTGCAGCCAAATCCAAAAGTGACAACGAAAATGCAAGTAAGCGCCCCCCAATTAAAGCCAAAAGCGAATATAAAGTGTCATAAAAAAAAAAACGAGAAAGAAAGGCTATCTTCGGCTATCCTCAAAAATCTTATACCCTTGCAGATCCATCCTTTTCATAGTGCTTTGTCCACAGGGAAAATAGTGAAGGCCAAGTTTCGGCAAGATATCTTGATAGACAAAAACGGGTTTTTAATCAAGAACCTAGTTTTCAACCGATCGTTATATGATATAGAAGTCCGATCTAAAGATAGCTTTAAAGCTGAGGGACAAGTTCGCATAGAAACAGACAGGCGGACAGACGGGCAGAAGAGCGTGGCTATATCGACTCGTTAGCTGATACTGATCAAGAATATATATGCTTTATGGGATCGCAGATGTGTTCTTCTATGCGTTACACATGATACGACCAAATTATAATACCCTCTGCAAGGGTATAAAAAGTGAAGCAGGCGGCAGCAGGATGGGAAAGCCGCAACAAAGCCAACTGCAGCAGACACTGCAAGCAGCTGGGAAAAGTGCTGAAAAGCTGTGGAAAAACTGTTTGGGCTTGAATTGAAGTGTGCTCTATGCCGGGCAAATATTCAAGCCAATGCGTCAGTTTTGTGCAGTTGCTTAGGGTATGCGACTTGTTTGTTGTTCAACTTCTAAAATCTGCAGTAAAAACATATATATGTATATATATTTTTTTGTCAACTCAATTTTGCTGTTTTGCTTTGGATAAAGTTTCGACAAATGCACTTGCCACGCCCTGTTGGTAGCTGAGGCGGCGTTGCCCTGGCGGCTCATTTGCAAAATTGTCGGATTTATTTCGCTAATTGCTGCTCATCCGTTTAATTAAAATTAAAAGAACTTGCACAACTTAAAGAAAAGTTTTCTTTCGATTTTCCATTTTTTCTGCAGCTGTGTGTGCATTTTGAGGAATTTCGCATTGGGCACGTTTAGTTTTTGTCACTGCAAAAACAACAAGCGCAAAGTTTTTCGAGCACCTGGCAATAACAAGAGCTCCCAGCTCCCAAATAGGCTGCACAAATTAAGATCTAGGCAGGCGGCGTTTAGGCCACGTTAAAGCGAAGGTGTCAATTGAGCTAGCCAAAAAGTTGCGGCCCACAACAACTATTTACAGCAGCCCCTTCCCGCCAGCTGTTCCCACTTGCTGGCGCCTTCACTTAACCCCGGAAAGAGCAAAAGTTGCAACCACGGTGGATTTCGCGCCCAACTTTGCTCTGCAATTGGTTATTCGATGCATTCGCTTTGGGTTTTCATACCCCTTACCCATGGAAAATAGTTAGAAGAGGGCATATTAGCTATGTGTAAGGGTATCTACAAATAAAAGGAAATATGACAGATTTCATAAGATTTATATAGATCTAGTTATGTCCGTATGCCTTCCCATCCATCCGACTTCCGTATCTCTCCCCCACTTTGGATTAGAAACAAAACAAAATAGGCAACAAATAAATAAATCTATTGGTAAGCTATAATATAAAATGATAATCATAAGTTAAAATAAGATTTCTTATTTAAGCAAACCTAGAAGTTTTTTAGAGCTGGAGAGTTTTCATAGGGTATTTTCCGGCCTTCCACAAAAAAGTAAAATGTAAAAAAAAGCGAATTTAATGAAAATAAAAAACATACATGAATGCAACTCTATCTTGCTAAGTAAAGAGTATCTTCTAGTCGAGCATGCTCTACTATGTCACTTTTACTTATTTGGCTGAGTGTTTCTTGTAATGCGATTTGGGTGCGAACATTTTTATGACAACTTGCTTAAATTTCATAACAACTCGCAGCGCGAAAAACTTATTTCGCTTACGAGTCGGATCGAGTTTGGGGCGAGTCGCAGAAGTTGTGTTGATGTTTTGATGTTGATGTTTGTTGGACTTGTGGCAAACGTTCGCATCGCCAGCTAATGAATAAAGTTCGCTTATGAATTTCAGCAAACCGAGCCGAGAGCGCACTTTGCCAAGATTTAACCACAAGCTAAGTAGCTGGGATTTAAAGCCGAACAAGTGGCAAAGCAGCAGCTAATTGGCATCCGGTTGCCAGGGGCAACTGCAATCGATCGGAATAGGAGGGCGAGTAGCTGCATCTAACTAGATTGCGGCTGACAAGCGGGCTAAAGGGGGAGAGCGGGCTAAAGGGGGAGAGCGGCATTATGGATACGGATTAAGTGCATATTACTGACGTTACGCATACGCCGTGTGGCCCATCAATTGTATCACAAAAGCTAGTCAATTGTCTAGAAATACAAAAGTAAATTAATCTAAGACAATGCCAACCATCATTATTATAGATTTTAATGCTTCAGCCTGTAAATATAAAGCTTCCTAAGCAAATATTAATTAGAAAAATATGCACAAGTATTAAAATGAATTACTTGCTTGGAATCTAATAAACAGAACTTTAACTTGTTAACAAGTTGTTGAGTTTGTTTTTGCTGCTGTTGTTGCTGCTGCTGATTTTGTTGTCCTTGTGCCAGTTGGCCATCGTTGGGGCGAGCTATTGTCTGGCAAGTGTTTTTCTTTTTTAATATGAAACTCAAAATATGCGCAACTCGATGAGTATAATGCAATATTAAAGTCAAACGAAGGATGCGTACCACCATCCGCATCCGCATCCGCATTTTCATGGCCCCCGTTGCCGCCCGTTCTTCTGTTCGCCTGTTCCCGAATGGTTGGCATTATCATTGCCATTTCCATTGTCATCATAAGCGTGGTTTGGCGTTTGTCCTGTTGCTGTCGCACGCGAAGCTCATCGACATTGGTAAAACGCGTCCTGTCGTCCTCTCACAATTTTCATGCTGCTCTAAGCCATTTTCATGCACATTTTGGCCACTTGTGCGCTCAGCACAAACACTTCAATTTCGCTCCAAGGATGCGTGTATCTCGATGAGAGCACAGGGGAGAAGCATGCAGACAAGAATCAAGCAGTCGGGACGGGCCAGTCAAAGTGCCGGAAGGAAATGCGCTCCGACAGCGGGTGGGCGTTATAAATATATTTATATGTATATATATATATATATATATTTAGAATATGTGTGTCTGCACTGCAAACATGCAACTCTTTAACTATAACTTTTGATATATTCTAAAGAAATAATGTGCCAGTGCACTCAAATGCGGTTGCCAATAGCAGCAGAATGGGAGGGCGAGGGGCAGAGCAGCAGCAGCAGCTGTTGTAGCTGGGGCAGCCATCAACTACTTAGCGTCAAAACGCTTAAAGTTGAATTTGTAACGCTTGAAGTGAGCCAAAGCCAATGAAGTCCGTGTGTGTGTATATATGTGTGTGTATGGATGCACGCTGACTCTAATGCCAGTTCACTCATCTATTTTTATTAAATCGCCACACACACACACACACACAGGCACTGTCTGTTAAATCGCAGGACAAGCAAACAAACAGCACGTTACGTATACGCAACATGCGCCCAGAAGAACAACAGGCCAGCAGCCAGCTTCGCAGTCCTGCCATTGACTTTAGACACTCGACTGTTGCAGCTGGCAAAGAGTAGACTTCTGGCCTTGCCAGCTTATTTTGGGGGTTTAATTTTGATTTAAATGCTGGCAGACAGCTTGAAGTCCAAGTCCGTGCTGCGTGCTGGTGCAGAAACAAGGACATGCACACGCATCTTGACAGGCATAGAAGTGGTCGTGAGCCCCTGCTTATTGCAACGTTCAGTTACGCTGCGAATTGATTGAAATTTAAGTTTCTGGGATAATGAAAGGACACTTTAAGGCGCGCTCAAATCGATGTGCTGCTGCCTGGAACTGGCATAGAGTCGCCCGCCCGCAGTCATTTCATTTGCATTAGATTAAGGCAAGCATCTAAGCACATTTCCCGACAGCCAACAGCCACATCACAAAGCCACAGCCGCATTGGGGAGCGTTGTGCGTCGTGCTCGCATATGTAAAAGTTGCAACTTGTAGCCTCAAAATATACCACAAAGTAAACACCCGAGTGTGGCACTGGCACTGGCAAAGTGCAGAGCATTGCCTGCCGAGCGTAAAGGTATTTGAATAGCCAGCCAAAGACATGGACATGGACATGGACAAGGACATTGTAGCTGGCGACGCAGCGCCACAGGAAGTGCGGACAACTGAGACCAGACGAGTGTCGACTAGTTGCAGCTTCTCATCATCTCTTTCCTCCCCTCCCCCCCCCCCCCTCTTTCACCTTCTTTGCCGTTGCCTGGCAGGCAAAAATAAATAAGTGTGTAATTTAATATTTAAGGCTTTGTCAGTAATTATTTTAGTACAAACGGCGAAACTTATGCGCTACCCGTTGTCAAAGAGTTAGCTAGGCGCCCAGGTTGCCTAAACAAAATATAAAATTGAGTACAGCACGCTTCCGAAAAGCTAAACAAATTTAATAATGGCTGTTTATCATATAATAAGTATATGTTTATTTATTTAGATTTGTTGTATTAGATTTGCGGAGCTGGGCAAAATTAATGATATGCTCCTTTCAAACGTCCCGCAACTGTCAACTGTCTGTTCCGATATATCGATGACAATTTTCGTGTACAACGATAACTCAACGACAAACTGATAACTTAACGAAAGCCCAACAACTGATCTCGGCGTATTCGTATTACGCCAGCCAAACTTCAGCTGTGTATAAAAACTTACAAATTATATATAACTTTGCGAAAATAAGTTCGGGCAACGTTGTGCGCACTGTTCTGCTATCTAAATTAAATATAGAATACTTACATAAGTAGACACTGCAGTTAGGCAGCTATATTTCAAAAGTTGCGTGCCCCTTAAATTGACCCACTTGCTGCACATTTGTCTTTATTAAACGTTTAGAATTATGGCTTGGCTGGTTGCACACTCGAAAGAGCGTATAAATTATAAACCAATTTACTAACCAGCCGAGCGAAAATGTGCTCAAAATGAACTACCAATTTGTAGAATACAACAAAACCGAAACATAACTTAACGAAACATTATAATAGCAACCAGTTAGCGTGAAAATGAATTATGCTGTAAAAATAGAAGAGGACAAAAAAAAATTACATGGAATTCGAATGCTTGACAATGAAAAAGCATATTTTCATGGGCACCCACACGTGCATACATAGTAAAACACAGTAAAAACTCAAAATAACGGACAACTACGAGCACAGTATTCTTTTTGGTGATAAGCAAGATTTAGGCTTAAAAAAGATTGAAAAAATACTAAATGTACTAGAAAATACTTTTATTAGAAAAACAAAGTTCACTATAAGAGCTAACGTCCGCCCAAGGACGCGTTCACTGTATTTGCCTACATACCAAACTATGTTTGAATTTGATGTTTACCACCTGTGAGAGCGTCTCTCAAAATTTGTATTATTTGTATTCACCGTGTGCATGTTCCTGGACCTCGGCTTGTGTGCTTGCCACATTCTTTTTGCTTTATTTTGAATATGCGCATAGTTTAAGTCTGTAATTATTCCAGCATTTAGTTTAGCATTTCACCAAACAACTCCACCCCCCTCCTCGCTGCCATTCTTTCCTCTCTCCTTAGATGCTGCACCCCTTGGACTTGCTATGGAAACTGCATGCGTCGTTGATTCTGGTCCTGCTTCTCCATCTCTCTCTCTCTCTCTCTCTCTCTCTCCCTCTCTCTCTCGGTCTGTCTGTCTGATGTGCTGGCTATTGTGCGCGTGTTAAAGTGAATTTTAAATGATTTATTGCACGTCGAGCTGGGGCCAACGATCCTCGTACTACCTGCAAATTCTCCAATTACACGAGCGCGATTCTGGACTCGTGTGAATTTAACAGGCTGTCCCTATGCACCTTAGCCCGCATCTTTTGCAGTGAATTGCTTCGTTTGAAACTCATTAGAATGTTAATTGTAATTACGTTTGCATTGCGTTTGAGTTGTTAAATTGAGTTTGAGTTAATGTTTGAGTGCTGACAAAGTCCTGCACTCTACATTCCATAAAGGGATTACTTTCTACGCACTCGACTTGGACAACTTACCCCAATTAAGACATTCGCTCGGCATTTGTCGACTCAGCAATTGAGTTGCACTCAAGTTGTGGCCCAACACGAACAGCAACTCGCATACAATCTATGTCCTAGCATGCCCAACGTGTTGCATCAAACAGGATACACAGAGCTGGCAACACAATGTTGCGTATAAGAGTTCGTTGTGCCCCTTAACCAGCCGCAACACCAAACAGAGTGAAACATGTTGCTACAACTCAAAGCTTTGCAGAATTTAAGCGCAAACTGAGTTGGCCTGCTAAAAGGGGCGGTTGAGCTATATTCAAATTGAGTGAGTTTTGCTCTTTGAGCAGTTATTGATGCTCAGCATAATTTTGATTAATTATAAACTAAATAATGCAATTAATACAATGCAATACACACACATATGTACATATATGTCTATATATGGCCAAAAAGCACACAAATAGAAATGCGCCGTGACCCAGGCATAAAAATAAATTGACATCACAACGAATTTGAATGTGCAATATGCAATGTCACTGCCACGCCCCCCTGGCTGCGTCGCTGCCTAAGTTAACTGCAGCTAACCCGCCCCCAACCCCGCTACTCATAGATTCATATATCAGTGCTACTTTTTTTTTGCTATGAATTATTTTGGCTCGTCTGCATGTGAAATTTTTGGCCAAACAATTGGCAAGCGCCAGCAACAACTTACTATGAGTGAGGGGTTGGAGGGGGGTTGGGGGCTGCAACGCTGACGACGGCGAATGAATATGATGCATGAAATAACAATAATGAAATGACAACAAAAGGCACGGCCAACAAAAGGATTGCCATCGCTGGGCAGAGCAGGGGCAGGGGGTGGGATGGGGCTGGACATGTCAGTAAACCAGTTGACCGACTCGGCAATAGATGAGCGGCGCGGAAGGGGGTGGGCTGAGGTCAAATCAAAATCCAGCTCAAATGTGATTTTTGGTCACTTTGAAAATTGTTGATTAGTTACGCCTGAGCGCAGCCAAATGAAATCGGGCGTCGGTTGCATTAAAACGAGATTTCAGCTCGCTCTCGAGCCGCAGCACTTGACATCGATTGCAGCTTATGGACATGCAACAATGCCACAGTTTGTGGCATCAATTCAATGAGCCAAACAAAAACTGTAAAAAAATAAACTAAAGAAAATTATCAAAAAAAAAAAAAAAGCATAGTTGTGGCATGTAACCAGAAGCTCGTTATGCAATTTCATTTAAACAATTAAATGGAAATAAATTAAAAAATGCGGTCGAGCGGCGGTTTGCGTTGAACAACGACAAATTGCAGGCGCCACCCAAAGATAGATATAGATATGGATATGTACATATATACATACGAGCCACGCCCAATTGATATGCCCAGCGCCCAGCTGTCGATTGCCATTAATTCGAGCATATTAATGCGAATTTACATGCGCATTTTGTGCATTTTGTGTGCTCGCTTTGGTTTCCATAACATGCACATTACAGCCGCATACCAACACCCCCCACCGCCCTACCACCCTCCACCACCTCTCACACGACACAAAATTGATTGTTAATCAAGTACAACAACTACAACAGCTACACACAGAACATTTTGTGCTAGATTTAAACAGATTATGAGTTCACAAGCATAATATCCATAATATAATATATAAATAATCAGCTCAATAAAATTCGATTTGTGCACGTTTTTGGTATCAATTATAATACTACTGGCATTGGCATAACCTTGTTTTAGTTGTTGTTGTCATTTCTGTGCAAATAACATCTTCAAAATGTGCGCAACAATTGATGAATTTGGCTTTAATCATATCTAATTTTATCTGAGCGCCATTAACTTCCAGTAGTATACAAATTATTTGCTTGCATTTCGGAATCAAAGTGCTAAAAGGTTTTATTGAAAATTAAATATATCTAAATTGCTATTTTAAAATTTGGCACTCACTACTCCAATTGTAACTCAGCAGTCTGGCAACGTCGGCAGGCACGCAGTCAACTCATGTCTTTTAAATAGGCGCAAATTTCAGTCTGTTCGTTAACAGAGTCGAGCTTGCGTTAACAGGGCCAGCTGATTTCAAAATGTGTTATGTTATTCAATAACAATCTAGCACGAAAATCACTTTAAACTAATTATTTTTAATTAAAACGTATATAAAATGTTTTCAATACGCTCTGCATTGCCATGCAGAAGACAATTGGCGCTGATGATGTCTAACTTAAGCCGACACGCTCATGTGCAGTCCAGCTGCGGATATGCTGCCTGGTCGAGAGCAACATTGCACAGCCCACAACTAAAACAACAAAAACAACAGCAGCACAGATGGTTGGCAACACAAACTGCTGCTGGTAAGGATTCCGAAGCCGGCAATCTAAAGCGCATCTATTACGGAACACTGGCGCCGCGCATGAAGATCGTGAAGCTTTTTTCATTGACCACCAGCTTGGCTGGATTGGCAGCGCAGCCCATTCTCCTGGAACAGGGCATGAAAATCGGAGGAACCGGAATGGCTGTTTTCCTATGCACCATAGGTGGCTTCTTTACCTTTGTGACGCCTTTGTTGCTTCACTTCATAACCAAAAAATATGTCACTGAGCTGCACTACAATCCCGTAACGGAGGAATACACCGCCACGACGATATCCCTTTTATTGTTAAAGATCAAAGTATGTGGTTTATATAGTTCGACTCCCAATGGGTTATGATTTAATTTAATCTTTATAGACAACGTTTCGACCAAGCGATGTTACCGTGCCCGAGGTTCCTGGTATGTTTACCTCGTTTCTGGTGAAAAATCGCCCACTTTTCGTTGACCCAGCTCTGTTTGATGATCCCGAGCACTATGTACGCATTATGGGCTATGATAAGCCTATAGACTTTAAATTGAATTTGAAGTCAGAAACGGAGCAGAAGCAGAAATAACGAAATAAATTTACGATTTATAGTTGATATTTGTTACAAATCACTTTTGGCTACCATAAAGCTATTTAAACTTCAACCCCTATTCACAATAGCAAAGCTGAAACCGGCACCAGTGGTCAAAAACTTAACAGAATGTTACTTCAGAAGCCAATTATAGGCAATGTTATATCGGCATGTAGGTATGCTATCGATTTGACGTACGTAGAATAAGAGTGTGACCAGCAGTGGTAATGGCAAAATTACTCTGAAATATGTAAAGTATATACCAAAAAGACTACAAATACTTACAAACCGCCTTAGATTCGGTCACGCTGTATTGAACTTACAAAGTTGTCCAGACGCAATTATTTAACGTTTAACAGATAATTACCGGGAGTTTCAATACGCAAATCGAGTGCGTATACGGTATTTTACAAAATAAACTCTCGTTGACATCATGGTAGTGTCAGAGAACGAAAAGGTAAGAACAACATAGCAAACGTGTGCCGCATGGTTTCAGCCGTGGCAGGGTCGTAGATAAACAGGGCTGTTGCACAAGAAGGGAGCGGGCGGCAAGGGGTATGACTACACAGTATATGAGTGCAGCTGGCGTGGCAAGTCATCGGCTAGTTTTTCGATTTGCATTTTTTAATTAGTTAAAGTAGATGCACATCCACACATTTGTTGTTTGTCATTAACGTAATGAAGTGAACTTAATTGTTATTTGCACGCTGCTGTCGCCTACGTAAATTTTTGCTCACGCTACGTTACGAAGCTGCTCTCTCCATTTGCATATGCTGTTGTCTTTCGTTCGCTCTTTCAAAGCACGCCGCACGTTTGCCTCTGTCGCTGTCATTCTTTTTGTGGTGTCGCTCGGTCGCTGGAATTCGCAGATTGCTCGTACACACACGCCTAACTCGCGTTCGCCTGCGTTTTAATATACCTAAATATACGTATTTGTATATGTATATATGTGTGTTTGTACATGTGCATGTGTGCAGCATAAAAAGTAGGTGAAGCAGGAGAGACAGAAAAGTAAATTACTGCAATGAGCAACAAAGCGTCAGCAGCAGCAGCAGCAGCAGCCAGCCAAAGAAACAACGGTTAAGTTTCTGCCATGGCGACTGCGACTCGTTGCGGACTTTCATTGCAGTTAACCCCAGATGAACAGTTCAGTGTTTAGCTCGTTGGCTTTCAGTAATTCGCGGCAACAATTGAAACTTGGACACGAATATTATCTAAATGAAACATATTTTCTGTTTTTCTCATTTGCCCCACAAAGTTTGAAAATTGACAGTGACAAAAATTCGAAGATCCAGGCAAACTGTGTGTATTCAGACAGATGTGTGTGTTGTTGTGTAGTCGTAAATTTTAGCGTGCAAACATCACATTCATTTCGGAATTTGTACTTCCATTTTCAGTCCCGAAAAAGTTATTTCGTGTATTATTATTTAAAAAATATATATATACATTGTAATTGTGCACACATCGAAAGTAAAAAGCGGCCGCGAATTGCACATAACGAGTTGAACAAGTTCTCTTTTTCCGCTAAAGACACACATAAGTGCAAAGTGAGTCAGTGTAGTGTCAATGACATCCACAAAATCTCCAGAATCCACAAAATCTGTTTGTAAGCAGCTCAGCTTCACTGGCTGAACGAACGGCAACAGAAGAGTCGAAAATCAAAAATACTGCAATAAGCAATATCTCCACCCGGCCCGTTATTTACACACATACATAAATATATATATATATATATTCATACATAACGTACAAAAGAAAAGCTTCACGCACGCACATATACTTATACACGCACGCACACACACACAGACGCACATAAACCTATACGCAGCAACGACAAGCGATCGCGTCAAGTGAATCAGCGTCTCGCCGTCTCCCACTCGCGAGTACAACGTGAAAGCTCAAGCTCTCCCTCCCATCAGCAGCAACAGCGGCGAAAGCCTCGAGACACTCGTTCGGCCTCAACATGCAGAGCGACTTTCACAGAATGAAGAATTTTGCCAATCCCAAGACCATGTTCAAAGTAAACGTCAAACGTTAAATTGCCAATTGACTGCGCTTCAATCAATATCTAATTATATTTTCTTTAATTTATTTTAACGGTTAACAGAGCAGCGCTGTGCCTGCTGGCAACGAGCAGGCGAACGCTAGCGCAAACACAGTGGCACCGGGTCGCCCGGAGCCAACACCGACTGCCACTGTTGCTGCTGCTGATGCTGCTGCTGCTGCTACTGCTGCTCCCGAGGTGGCTGGAAACAAGGAGGAGCCAAAGGCCGCCACCGAGTCGCAGCAGTCGGATGATGGTGCTGTGCGCACCGAGCATTTGTTTAAACACCCGCTGCAAAACACATGGACACTGTGGTATTTGGAAAACGATCGCACCAAATCCTGGGAGGACATGCAAAACGAAATTACCAGCTTTGACACAGTCGAGGACTTCTGGAGTCTATACAATCACATCAAGCCGCCATCCGAGATCAAATTGGGTAGTGATTATTCACTTTTCAAGAAGGGCATACGGTAAATCCAACACACGTTAAATACTTTTATGAATCAATAATTATCCGTGTTTACCTTAGCCCCATGTGGGAGGATGCTGCCAATAAGCAGGGTGGTCGCTGGGTGATCACACTGAACAAAAGCTCTAAGAACGATTTGGACAACTTGTGGCTCGATGTGGTAAGTAGTGAATAGGCCGACAGATGTTTATTTTCGAATTATATCAACAATTGATATTCTATTCCCATTTAGCTGCTTTGTTTGATTGGCGAGGCATTCGATCACTCGGATCAGATTTGCGGCGCTGTTGTCAATATTCGCGGCAAGAGCAACAAGATATGTAAGCGATCCTTCGAAATAATTTATTTCACACATACTGATATGCTGACTATAATGTTACCTTGCAGCCATCTGGACTGCCAATGGCAACAACGAGGAGGCCGCTTTAGAAATTGGACACAAGCTGCGCGATGCTCTACGTCTGGGGCGCCAAAATTTGCTTCAATACCAGCTGCACAAGGACACCATGGTCAAGCAGGGATCGAGTGTCAAATCGATCTATAATTTGTAAATTTTCTCGAGCTACGCTCTCCAAATTTTGCAACAGTTTTTTTATTAGCTATTTTGCGTTGCCTTTATTATACTGGTTTATAACCAATTCGATCACAGCAACGTAAAGTCAACAAGCCCAGCAGGCAAAACAGAATATAAACGAGAATAAAACCCCCTTTGTTATCAGAGAGTGGCGCGTATTATCAGGCGCACCGCTTTTTAGTCATGGAATATGCGAAAATAAAGAAAAACTAAGGTTAAAAACGAGGATTTGTGTTTATTTATAAATGAAATTGAATTCGCATAATGCAGGTAAATGGCATGCGCTTTGTATTGGATACGTGCAACATGTGTCAATGTATTGGAATCACTTTTCTGGCAGCTAGTGGGACATAATTTCTTCGACACGGCGTCGCAGGTCATTTCTGCCGCAGTCGGCGAGTGCCCGACTTAGCTGAACCAGCAGCAGCCGAGGATCAGTGCATTCGTCCTCCTCGAACATCTGCAACAATCGCAGAATGCGCGACTTGAGATCTTGCGGATAGCGCAACTCTATCTCGTCCATTGCGCCTTCGCCAATGCGCAACTTGCGGCCCAAATCACGCCAGGAGCGACCCAACTCTTGAGATATTCTTTTAAAGATCGCAGCACGCTTCGCATCCGTAAACTGCGCCACAGTCACATAGTTCTGCGGAGCTGCCGCCGGCTGGGCCGCGCGCTGTGGAGCTATGTGCAACTGCTGTTGCAGCTCCTCGGCCAGTCGTTGCTCCTGGTAGTAATTGATGGGTATTTTGGCTGTCTCAGTTCTTTGGTAACTGTCTACGGCCTCCTGCAGCTGGGTATTTTTTATGTTTAGACTTCGGAGCGGTTCGACATTCTCTTCGCTTATTTCATCATTGCGCTCCAGACAATCTATTAGGTCTTCTATATTTTTGATGAGATCCCTTTTCCTAGCGGATCCAATTTCGATGGAATAAATGTCTTTTAGCTCCTCCAAGTCTGAGCTGTTGGCACCTTCAAGGGCCATTTGCTTCAGCATATCGTAGCCCCAGTGAACTCCCAGCGCCATCGTGCAATATTAAAATAAAACAATATTAAAATAATAAACTCTTTTTTTTTTGATTTGGGGAAGACAGTTGCGAGTACTATGGGGTTGGCCGTCACAAAGTAATGCAGCACATTATAAACTTTTAGTACAAGCTTTCTACAGTAGTCGAAACATATCGGTTGTTTTTGAAATATCGATTTTAGGGTGACCAAATTTAAAGCGATAAGAGTCAGTTCGAATTCGTGATCGATTGTTAGAAAGTATTTCCACGATTCAAAGATGCAGCCACACTTCAGTGTTGTCGCAGCCCTTGTTGGTGCAAGTGCGTCTCTGTCGCAGGTTAAATCAAAATGTCTTTGTTTTATTTGTAACTTCAGCAAATTACTTCTGATAAAATATATATAAATATGTGCAAGCTCGCCCATAGCAAGCATTGCAGATTACGGTCCGTGTTAATGCGCCACAAAAACGTACTTAAACATCCAATTAAATAATTGCACTGTGCATTAGCAAAATATATAATAATAGACACGCCACACACACACACACACATACATTTGCGTATAGAACCCGAACTAGCAGATATTGTAAAAGTTCATTGCCTTAAAAATCTACACGAAGTGCAATAGATGTTGAATTTTTATTTAGCAAGAAATCAAAGTAAGTCCCAACCAAAGCAAGCTGTGCAAAGTCAACGAACAAAAAGTGTGAAAAAACATCAATCAGAGCAGGCATTTGCTATAAATAAAGCAGCAGCAGCGGCAGCAGCACCAGTGCCAGCATCTGTTTCCCATTTCAAAACAAACAAATGCAAAAGAACAACAACAACAACAACAACATCATAACAAGAGAGTACATATCGACTATCGCAAACGAGAAAGACAGCGCCAGGGACTCTGTAAAGGGTCACGGCGGCGGTCAGCAGCATAAAACGTCACAAGAAAAAAAAAACCATAATAATAACATAACAGCAACACAACGCGTAAGGACTGCTACGTAAGAGTGACCAGATTTCTGTTAAAATTCACTAATGCATCCTTTTGAATGCAGGGCATAGAGCAGCAAAGAAACAAAAAACAAAAACAAATAACACAAAAATGTCGTGTGAAAACGCAAAAACCTCCTCAGATATTGAGCACGTAGACTGGAGCACCGGTGGCTCCGGCCAGCACTACGCAAATGTCAGGTAAGTTCGATTGCAAACGGCTTCAAGAAAAAACAAAAGCACACTATTTGCCAAGTTAGAACCAACGGCACATTGTTTGTCCCCCGACTGTAAGCTGCAAAAGCAACGGCAGCAATAAATGTCGCATAAATTATTCAGAGCCAAAACCAAATACAATATTCATAATGCAGCCGAAATGAAAAAGGGCCGCTGTTAATTTTAAGCTGAAAAGTATAAAATATTGCTTCTTTTTTTTTGAATACAATGTATTGAATACCTCTCCCCCCTCTGTTATTTGCGTTCCGTTTTGAATTACAGTAAAAGCTCTCATGAGCGGACACTGTTGTTCTAGGGAAAATAACCGCTGTCAAATTCAGCTATTTTCGAGCTAAATTCAGCTGCTTTTATGAGGAAAAGACAAATGGATATAAGATAAAACATTTGAAAAGCTCGTAATTAATATGGCCCCCGTCTCGTGTGGGATGCATCATAGAAATCAAAACAGAAGCCGCCCGTCAAATGTGTTGATTCAATCTCTCATCTGGTTTAACTAGCAAACAGTCAAAGCTCATTAATGTAATCGCATTTAGTGAATGTTAATGACGGCAATTAAATTGGCTGCAGCGAGCACACATATTACTTATATGAATCGAGCAATACGTTGTATAAATAATTTAATTAATCATACTAGTCTATTTGCATGTACTCATACATACCTAATTCCGATTCGCTATCGTTATAGGTCGTTTGTTTTATTTTTTTTTATCAACGGGCGCTTCAATAGAAATGCAAATTCTCGGATTTATATATGTGCATATATAAGCGGTCAGGTGTCAACCAACTGACACTCGGTGTCTAATTACTTTGATTTATAATATCAACTTCCGAGCCAAACGCACACATTCATGCCCACTCATTCATTCATTCATCTGTTTTAGCTGCTAGCGTACATTTCGCTGGCCATAATTATGGCGTCATTTTAATTTATAAACCAGTCAACAGCCCAAGATACACATTCCGACTGGCGAGTGTGAACCCGAAGCTCATTGTGTCTACAGCAGACGTAGACGTTCCCTTATCAGAGTCACGCACAATCTCTACGGCAATGTGGAAATCTTTCGCCTCCTATCCAAGAGTCGTTGCCATTAAATATTTACTCGTCTTGGTTACTTATTTGCCAGGCGGATAATTCGTTTAAACATTTACACAGCCCGCACTTCAATTGCAAAACGAAAAAATATGAACTGATAACTGATAAGGCTCACAGCATTTACTAGCCACAATAGAATACTCCCGATAGCCCTATACGCAAGGGGTACTCAAAACAGCTGTATACAGTTGTATTTATGCGATGCGAAACATTTGTTTTTTCTTTTTTAACAAAAAAAAAGCCCAATATCTTAATTGATAAGCACAAATGTACACATCTGTATGTATATGTATTTATCTAGGTATTTCCCCTTACATCATGAAAGAAAATTCCCCAAATACGTTAGTTATTAGTCAGAAGATGAACATTCTTTCTTTGCGGAGTAGTTAGTAAATATTTGAAGAGATTTTTCTATTTTATTATAGTAACATTAACTAGCTTGTATGTTTATAAACATGTACAAATTTATAGTTGTGACATACCTGAATGAAGTGCATAATGTCTTTGGAGAGGTATTTCGTAAAGTCACGGCTTTCAATCCATAAATTACGTACTTTATGGCATTGCTTAAGTCGGTGAACTGCAAATAAAACTATAAGACAGTCATGATAAAAGCAGCATAATTTAACAGATAAGCATTAACAATTCACACTGAGATATCAACTAAAAAATGTACCTAGAATTACATTAAAACTAAATTGGATGATCAAACCTATGAGAAACAAACTGCAACATATTATGATTAACGTAGTTTACACGCATACCTTTGCATTGGCAAATGCCTTTGTATTAGTGCACTGCTTTGCGTGCACTGCTTTTCTCCTGCAAGCTCTGGTGTTTTGTTGACACAGGCCGCGTGTCCGTGTGCTCCGTACGTGAACTGATCCGCTAGTCAGCGTGCGAACGTGATATTTTTCACGTTGCCACGATTTCCCTTCGAGTATTTTTCATATAGGCAAACTGATTAAAAGCCAAGTAAATATATAGTTTCTAATTGATTTTGCTGGCTAATCAGTTTTTCTCCGTTCAGCCAATTAAGGGGTTAAAACATTTACAAACGGTCCGAACTATTTATATAAGCTAGAGTATACTACAGTCAATATAAGCAGTTGTGCCCACCATTTAGCTGGGCTTGACTTTTGCCAGCTGCAAGGCCCAAACCAGTTGGCTTTAAAAATAAGTAGCTGCAAAGAAATTAAATGACTTACAAAAATAACGCGCAAAATATCAAAAGTAAACAGTAAGCAAAACAAAGCACAGTCGAAGACAATAAATGCGAAACACAAGTAAGAACAAAGCAAACGCATTGAACCGACCGCACAATACTCTGTTCACACGGATATAATTGGGTTGAGTTTAATGCGGGCTAGTTTCCAAATAGTTTTGACTGACTCTTAAAAAATCATGTCTCAAGCTAAACATATTTTACGGCACAGCTGTACGAATGCAGAAAGCCAATATACTCCGAGCTACTTTTTGAGCAGGGTATACAAATTAAGCGGCCAAGCAAAACAGTACTCCCAACTTCCCGTCACGTATAAAGTATCTATATGTGTGCATATAAGGGAAACGAATTTGTTTTCAAACATTTTTTGCTAATTTAGTGATAACCAAATGCAAGCGGGTTCGCTTACCCGTTCGAATACTTAATACCGACCAGATATGACGAGTGTCAACATCAGAGATTCAGACTGACACCAAAATGAATGCGTGTAATTATTATTATTTGCAATCATTCAGTTTGGCGCGTAATACGTTGCGTATACGTTACGCATGCTGTGGCTCAAATACCCTCGATCGCAACGGGAGAATGGTCGCCCAGCACTTTCGATTGCCTTGCTGCCTGATGGCGAGGGGGTGCAGCGAATGCGCTATTAATTACCGCATACATGTGAGAGCATAGTCTATTGCACTAATGCAACTGATTGAATTGATTGCCTGATAGCGGCGACTCGCAGTGTCCATATAAATATGACTGGTACACACACACACACACACACACACACACACATGTATGCACCTCTTGATGTGACAGCGGAAGCGAGCAAGGGCAATTGCAACAACAACAACAACAACAACTCGAACTGGCTAACTTTGCGGACTGCAAACGGAAACTGGAAACCGAAAACAAAAGATACCGAAAGTTGTTTTTATTTTATTGAAATTTGCACCTGTCTCGAATGTGGAAATGCGATAGTAGCATGTGCATATTAAAATTAACAATTATAAATATGTACATATATCTGAGCCACGTTTCATCAGCTGCTGTTTACGTGTGTGTTAGTAAGTGTGCATGTATTAGTGCATGCTGGCCGAAAAAAAGCTTGAGACGCGCCCTGCCCTGCCGCACTCTCGTTGAGCGGACAGAGCTGAATTTTCGATCAAAAGCTCTGACTCACTTTGTGCTTGACACAGAGCTGTCTACAGCTTTGCTATTGCAGATCAATCCCCAATGCATCTAGCACAAACTTTAAAACGGCAATAAAAGCTCGACTAAAAGCGACTTTTCGAGTCCACCTTAAAGCTTGTGCACGATCTATGTTCCTACATGAACAGGATCTGTGTTCCTTTTTTTCTTCAGCAAATTAGAAACAATGCAATGCAAAATTTAACACTCCCGAACAGAGACATATTCTGTCGTCTGTGTAAAAAACTCAATTTATAAAGTTGTACAAAAAATAAGAAACTTCTAGCTATTAATTTAATATCCTATATGAATGTCTAATGGTAAGCTGCATCTAAACAACGATTCAAAGTTACATAGGTTGTGACATAATATTAACACATTATGGGTTTGAGTAAAAAACAGTTAAATTATAAAATAAATTCTTGAATTTTTGCGCCAGCTTTTACGATTTCCCCCAGCTTTAATTTAAGCAGTGTCTGCTTAAAAATAAGAGAAAAAAAAAACACTTTTACTGCTGAGAAAATTGAGAGTAATAACATATTTTGTACTTAACGAAACGTTATTAAATTTCAGAGCTCTATAAATCTGAAAATTAATTTTATTTCATTTGGGGACTGTGCAATCTTGTATATGTCTATAAAAAAAAAAAACAAGCCGAACCTATCTATATATTTTAAACAATTTTGATAAAATGAGAGAAGCTATACAAAATTAGGATACTTTTAGCTCGTAACTCTATAAAAATATGGTTTTTGTTGACGTAGATATATTGTGTATATTTTTATCTATATAAAGTATATATATATATGTGTGTTATTCACACAGAAACCCAATAAACCCCTTTGGCAACCAGCAATTTTTTAATACATATATATATTGCCCACCCTATAAGTATCCTATTGGGTATACTGGGTGCGCGTGCATGTACATATCTAAAAATATGATTGTTATTCTTTGGAATTAAGCGTATCTTATCGCAGCGATAAAATGAGCTTTACATTAATACGTCAATTTCTAATGGCATGGCCACAAAATATAAAAGCTTTCTCCTTATGAAGCCCACAAAATACAAAAAGCTTGAGTATGGCTACCAAATATAGATTCATATTTATATTGGATGCGTCAAAATAGCCGGGGGAGGTCAATGAATGCGCTTTGTTGCTGGTGTGTTCAAAGATTTTGTTGCAGTCTGAATTTGATTATTTAAAGACGAGTTGGGGTTAAAAATCTAATTTGCCTGATGAAATTCATTAATTTGGCCAGATGCGCAGCCAGAATTTGTTTTGCTTTGTTTAAAGAAAAGACGGGGGGGTATATGGACATATGGAATAGACATTAATTTATGTGACATGATGCGAGACAGACGCGATTCTGCAACTCGATTTACTTTAACTAATTAATCTGTTTACGGCTACAAGAAAATCGGCTGACAAACAAAAAGGCTGGAAGATGCGAATGCAAATGAAGACTGGGGGATGCCGCCAGACTGGCGTCTGCTGTCATTTATCGGCTCCTGAGCCTATTAACTAATGAAGTCATAAAATTGGCAGACATCATGAATGGATATGTCGCCTAACGATGGCACCGAGAGTCTAAAGGATAAACAAACAACTAAATTGAGTGTACACCATATACCAAATAGACACGTATCCAAAGTGATATTTAGCGACAAATGTATATGTATATATAAGTATGTGCTTTATGAACGGTCTGGCTACTGTGTTTGCCTGTTTCACACTTTCCAAATGCGTTTTATTGATCCAAGGACAGTCAATTGCCGAGCAACGAGGCATTGGACACAGCTCAACTACTCGGACATGGCCATGGCCCATGGCCCAGGCCCACAACAAATGTGATGACAACCGGCAGCAGCAATAAAAAACACAAACACAAACGCTTGACTGGCTTTGTGGCTGTGTGTCCTGCGATGTCCTTCGGCGCAATCACGCACTTGCTGTCTGAACTCTAAAAAGGGTGGTGGCAGAAAGTAAAAGTGGCTCAACTGAAACCAATTTTTAACCCTATTTTGGCCAATTGGCCAGCGTCTATTGGCCAACAAATGTTGTTAGTTAGACGCCAATGACGCCCCATAGCCCGGCCCGGCGTGGGCGTAAACATGCTCTAATAATAGCCCGGCCCGCTCGACTAATTGCGCCCGCCATGAACTTGACCAGCTAATTGAAAACGCAACTGGAACTAATGAATGATTGAAGGCATTATCGTGGACAATGCATCAGCTTTGACATGTCATAGAAAGTTACCTTTATTCATGTTCAGGGTCCATGCAAATTACTTTTCTCTTTCATTTTCGTATTTAACGAACTCGCATGTTTTTTTATACGAATACGAAATAATCAGAAACATTTGAATTTCTTATCGACCTGAAACAATAAAAACAAACACGCAGCGAGATTAATAATGATTCGGAAATAGCGTGTTCATCTTTTTCCAAAAAACAAGAACCTATAAATAATTTACACAAGAATTCCCAATAAATGCGAATGCCTAGGTTCACGTGTTTTGACTCTGTGATACCCTGCAAAACAAAACAAAAAAAAAATAATAATAATAATAAACTATTTGTTGAACAAGAGCTGTTCCCTAGGGACAACAAATTGTAATAATAAATAATCACTATTTGGTTCATAGAATTTGTTGAATTACTTCGAATTCGCTTGCAAAAACTCGTTCCACGAAAAATCAAATGCGAATGAATATATTACGCATACTATTTTTTTTGTAAGCCGAACTTCAAGCATAAATATTATATATACATAAATAAGCAAATATATATGTTTATTGCCCGATCATTATATCAATAGTCTATAGGAAAATGCAATGTGCTAACTAAATGAAGTGTTTCTGTTTATTTAACGACACGTTGGCTCTGGCTCCAAGGTGTTGTGCAAATTGTTTTCGGAAATGTTTATCAACAAAGGCGAAGTCCAGCTCAAATATAAGGCACAATACGTAAATAGTACACAAAATGACCTATGTAAATATTAGATACATTTTCACACACCGTAATTAAGTAGGTTTCTATAAGTATTATTTGAGTCTAGCACTTTTCAACTAATATACGAATATTCATTAATATAATGAGTACACTGAGTATCGGCTGTACACTTATCATTTATATTCATATTATCCTTAATACAAATGAAAGACTTTCCCTCATTAAAAACTACTTGAACTACAAAATCGTTTTGTTTTTCATTTGATTTAGTAGAGTGTCTCCTCTTTATTATTGACTCATCTGTTTCGAAGTCCTATCATGGCTTAATTGCTTACAATTGTCGTTCTAACTAACGAACCAAACTGTTTGTTGAATAAAGGTCTAATTGCAAATTACCAAAGAATTTATTAAAATGTTCAGAGGCGCAATTAAAACCGTTGTACACGAAAAAAGTTCATAAATGTTGTATGGTGTAATTAAATACATATATATGTATATATATTTGAGCTATCATCAAATGCAATAATGAACGGTGAATGGGTCTCAATCGAATGACTAAAATGTAAGTTCGTTGAATAGTAAGTTTAAGTTAAACTTGAAACTGTACAAGCCACAAAAGCTCTAAGCCTTACTTGAACTTATGAGAATCGCAGAGAAAGGCCATTAGACAAGAAGTAATGTAAACTTGATCTTATATGGAGGCTACAGCTCCCAAAGCCTCTGAGAACGACGCACCTATAAGGATAGATGCATCAAGAGACAGGCCAAATTTACAATTAAAGGTCATGTAATGGGAAGGTTTACAAAAAGTTTAAATAAACTAACAACAATAGCTGTAAGAACCGTAAAACCTAGGGCGGCAATGGGTTAAATGAGTATATATATTTTAATAGTAGATGCAATCATATAGAGGGCTATAAAATTGTTTACACATTAACATTTATATTTGGACATAATGAAAGAACAAAGCGCAGGCTCGCTTCAACCGTGACCCTTAACAAATGCTTTGTTAAAAACATCGAACAAAGGCAGTGAATGAGTTTTCCGGTTCCAAGAGCTGCTGCCCGACTGTCCGGGTTTACTATATTTTTTTATTTTTATTTTTTTTTTCGTTTTTGCTGCCAATCAAGTGTGGCAACAAATGGCTGCCGTTTCGACTCAAGTAATTCTGTTTGGGTTTCCAGTTGAAGGTCACGCCCCACACGCACACACACACAAACATCCACACGCGCGCCTTTTAAAGGTCAGAGTTGCGACTTTTTTAATCGTGTCCAAATTTATTCGCAGATTCGGCTCTGGCAGCAGCCAGGCGTCACAGAATAGCGGCGACATTTGCCGCATCTGCCACTGCGAGAGCGATCCACAGAATCCGCTACTGACGCCCTGCTACTGCTCCGGCAGTCTGAAGTATGTGCACCAGGCGTGCCTGCAACAGTGGCTGACGGCATCGGCGACCAACTCCTGCGAGCTGTGCAAGTTCCCCTTTATCATGCACACCAAAATAAAGCCCTTCAATGAGGTAAGTCGTATCAGCTGACATTTTTCCTATCTAATGCTCGAAACTAATTTATTTCGCTTTGTATTTTCTCGCTTTTTTTTTTTTTTTTTTCTTGCACATATATTATTTTGTTGTTCGCATTGTTTGGCTTCCTCTATGCCGGCCATCGATTGCATTGCGGCTGACAGTGGCGCAGCCTTGACATCTCCAGCATTGAGAGGCGCCGGCTATGCTGCACGGTGCTCTTCCACTGTGCGGCCGCCCTGTGTGTCATCTGGTCGCTGTGTGTGCTCATCGAGCGGGCCGCAGATGATGTAAAACGTGGAGTGATTGGTTTGTATACCCCCATAAACGCTTCATATATAGCTTAACTCAACTGAATTTATTCGCCCACACAGATTGGCCCTTCTGGACAAAGCTGGCCGTTGTCACCGTTGGCCTCACTGGCGGCGTTGTCTTCATGTACATCCAGTGCAAGGCCTATCTGCATCTGTGCCATCGCTGGAAGGCACTCAACAGGCGAGTAGTCCATCCGTAGCCGATGCTCAAAGGATAAAAAACATGCCACACCAAAGCAAATGGATAATTTATTTATTGAAAAGGCAGACAAACAGCGGCTGCTCGAAGCTATAATTTTTTCAATTAAGATTAGTTCTCCAGTTGTTCGTTTGTTGAAAACCCATTAATCTGAGGTGCTATGTTACCCAGCTAAGCTTTGTGTATAGGCTCTCTTGGGGCGCAATAGAATACACTTTATTTGAATTATTGTAGTCCACCTACAATACATATTATTGTATTATATATATATATAGTGTATATATAATTAATAGCATTTTTTATTCTTTGTCTTCGTCTGAGGTCAGACACGTTTGCTCGCACTCCTTTTCTGTGCAAAAACGATTGAAATTGCCACCGCAGCCAAGAAAGATCATCTTATTGCAGGACCGATGCAATCTGTTGTAATACCACATCTCAGGCATTGCAAAATCCTTGCACCAGTCATAGCGATCGTGTCCAAGATCTCTGCGTATATTGCAGCTGTGGGCAACTAACAGAAATAGTTAGCTTTCGCTCGAACACATACTGAATAGTCACTTACTGGGTTGTCCAGGACATTGTGGCAGCGTCTCTCTTCTCGCCTCGGTGTGGGCCACAAAACCCACCAGCGCCAGACAAACCAGAGCCAAATATAACTTCATTTGAATACAAAGCACAAAACTTACAGTTCAGCTACAAATGCAAACTGAGTGGCAAACATTTAAGAATTGCTCTTAAATACCAAAACAACTCGAGAATGAACAAAATAATCCAATAACAAAGTAATTTAGAACATCTGTTACAAAAAACAGCCACAAAAATTAATGCACAATTGTATAAATACTTGTACTGACTGCATAATACTCTGTTTCCGTTGTCACAACAGCTCAAAGGGTTGTGGTTTATTTAAGAATTTGCTTTTGCTATTAACAATTTTCTCACTTTCTCACTTTCTTAATGCTGGCAACTCTTCCTTGCAGGATCCTGCTCATACAGAACGCGCCGGAGAAAATACATCCGCTGGCGCCGCCATCGCCAGTGGCTGCCCACCATCACTTCAGCGAGAGGCACAGCTCGCTGGGCCATGGTGCGGTCAATGGCACCGTTGAGATCAATGCCTCTGGCGGCGCAAATCATGCTGTTCACGACTCGAGCTGCGGCGCCTTGGAGCATGCGTCGTCGGCGGTTCTGCATCAGCATCAACAGCAAATGCAGCTGCAGCTGCAGCAGCGCCTGCTGAACGCCTCGCCGCAGCACATGCTGCAGCTGGACGTGGTGCCGCACAGCAGCAGCTGCGCGGGCACCCAGACCGAGGATTCGCATGCACAGCGGCAGCAGACGGGCCAGCAGCTGGGTCAGGTGGCTGTGGCGGCCAACATTGAGTGCTCCCAGTCGCAGCACAACTACGATCGCGACTGGGCATTGGACGATGTCGTCTCGCAGATCTCATCGTTTCGGCCCTGCCCGCAGGGCTCGGGCAGCATGACACCGTTCCATGACTCCATACACAATGTGCTGGAGCACTCGGAGAGCTCCAGTCGCGGCTCGGCCACAGATCTGTGCGCCGGTTCGCGACAAGATCTCAGTGCCAGCGGCATTTCCACAGACACCGGCCGTGAGCACGCGATGCAGCTAAGCAGTTTTAGTGGTCAGTATTGGTAATGCATTAACTACTGCTTCAAATATATGCTCAAATCCCTATTCCGATTGCAGGCAGCGGTGAGCACAAGGCGCCCTCGATCAGCTCCGGTGTCTCGCATGCCGTGGCCAATGGACTGGGCGGCTTTGCTTACAAGCCGCATCAGTCGAAGCGCTACTCCAATTCGTCCATTTTTCTGGAGAACCGTGATATACTCAACGACTCGCCCCTGTGCGTGGGCGTGGCAACACCACTTGCCTATGACTACAGCACGCCACCAAAGATCGACTATCGCCACTCCAGCATACTGGGCACTGAGCAGCAAACGGGACTCAGCTGCTGTGCGGTCGCCTCCGACTGCCAACTGGGCAGGGAGGGGGGCGATGTGCGCCGCTACTCGGACACCAAGCTGGACATGGAGCAGGAGGCCATGCTAGGCACAAATGCCGAAGGCGGCGACACTGTGCTGGACATCGAGCTGCCCACGTCGCCGCTCTCCCCACCAGCTGCATACGCCAGTCACCACCAGCAGCAGCAGCAGCAGCTGGTGTTGCGTCGATCCTTTGACAAGGGCGTGGACGAAACGAATAATGGTGCTGGCATTGGCAGCGCCAGCAAAGCCTCCAATCGTTCGTCGGCCGATGCGCAAATGGATCGCTCGCGTTTGTTTTTCAAGTCGTTGCCAAATCTCAGCAGCAGCTGCGAAAGTCTTATCAAAAAATGATTGTGCCCCGCCCACGGATCCTCAGCAAACCACACTGTGTCTCTCTATCCATGTTGAAAGTATTTGGCGCTGGACCCCCAGACAGTCAGACAGAACGACAGACAGACAGACAGAGCCACAAATACCATTTACTTGTTTTTTTTTTTTTAAATACCATAATCCTACCTATCCTTGGCTCGTTGCCGCTCCTAATTTAACATCGTATCTCGTAACCATGTTTAACAAAGCCCATAAACAATTTTGAGACTGCAAACATAACAAAACACAAGAAAATAATGTACGTTTAGAACAAAACAAATATAGTTTCATTCGAAGAGGGAAAATATGAAGAAAAAAAAACAGCATCTATATCTAAATATAGAATTATATAGACAGGCACTGAACAAATGAGCAGAATTACATCTTATATATATATATCGAGTAAAGCTGCATAAAATTCCCATTTTCCCAACTCCTGTCGAACGTGACCCCCCTGCCTCGCCCATCCTTCCACATCCGCTGCCTAAGCCAAATCCTTTTATGTGTAGCTTATATACATATATTATAATTAAATGCAAGAAGCAGCAGACGTGAACTTGTGACATTTTGTATTTTGTTTCTTAACTTCTAAGTCAAATGAAAATTTTAAAAATTGATCTGTGATTAAGCGTCATTGAATATACACATAAAAACTTAACCTTACATAACATAACATAAACGATAATAACATTAACATTAACATTAACAGCTGCAAACACAACCGTAACAAAAATCAATGCAAACACACAAACAACAAATCTAAAATATGTAATTTTAAATGAATAACAACAACAACAAGAACAACCAGAAAACGACTATTTAAATGGCATTTTGATGATTAAAAGTGCAAAAGCTCCTGCCTGGAAGCTTCTCCGTGCAGCTTCAGCGGCTCTCTATTGTAAATCCTCAGCTTGCAAAAAATTGAAGCCGTTTTAGTTATAGAATTAGCATAATATATACAGTGCATACTTATGATCGCGACAAGTTGCCCGGCATTACGGCAAAAGGACAACTACATTTTTTATTATGCATTCAAATATTTAAATAAATATATGCGAAACAAATACATAAAAAACTATTCCAAAGAGAATGACGTCACTACTTAACAGGTTACGGGATTTATGAGTTGGAACTTATAAAAGGGAACTGAATTGAACAAAGTGAACTGCAAAAGTTCCAAAATAAAAATGGCGGCCAAAGAATGAAAAAGTTCAAGTTCGTATTTTCACAGTTGTTTAACTAACATTAATATCTTTTCTTTATTATAACTTATTAGTCTTTTTGTTTGTACATATCGTTTTTAATAAATAGAATGTGATATGATTAGGAATGATAATGACAGAATGATGGACAGCTTCTACTTGGCGTTTTTGCCGCCATTGGCTGCGTTCTTGGCTTTCGACTCCTCCGGCTTCTGCTCGGCGGCATTCTCCTTGATATTCAGATGAGCGGGTCCCACTTGCTGGATCTGAATCACACGCTCCTTGGACTTGTCCTCAATGGGCTGCGGCTTCGGCACGCTCACAGTCAGCACGCCATCGGAGGACAGAGAGGATACCACCTTATCGGCCTCGTAGCCCTGGGGCAGGGCGTAGCGCCGAACAAAATGGCGCGAGATGTAGCCGTGGTCGTCCTCACGCTCCTCGTGCTTGCCCTCGACCACAATGGAATTGTCCACCACCTTGACGTTCAGTTCGCTGGGCGTGAACTGGGTGACGTCCATGCACACCTGGAAGCCATCTTTGCCCACCTGCGAGACGGGCCAGCGCCATCCATCGCCCTCTCCGTTTGTCATCTTCGCCAAATCGCGATTGCGCCGGCTGGCCATAATCTTGCCGGCTGGCGATGTGGGACAGGCTGGATGTGGGCACTGCCATGGAGACAATAGCGACTGGGGCATGGCCCGAGCTTGTAGTTGGCGCGGATGCATGCCCAATCCAAAGTCGTAGACGGGTTGACGAGGCTCGTTCAGAGCATCAACCAGCGAAATCAGATGAGATATCGACATTTTGTTTTAAGTTCTTTTTATATTTTCAGGTTATGTAGCTTCAGAAAAAATTTCTGCCGGTTTAATATATTTCTTATTTCTTTTTTTTTTTTCGCACAGCGAAGTTCTACTCTCGACGAATACTGTTGTTAAACTGTAACGGCACAGCAGTTGGCGCCTGCTTTTATAGCCGGCAAATGTGCACTTCTGGAAACATCGCGCAGAGTCTAGAGAGCAGAAGAAAAAACATCGCACAGTTGTCATAGTATGTGTAACTCAGAGAGCAAAACAGCTGGAAAGAGTTGCTGTTGCTGTTGCTGTGTGTAAAAGAGAATCATAGACGGGGAAATAACAGCGAAGAAAAGCAAAGGCAAACGCAAACGCAAACGCACTCTTTGAATCTTTATTTACTTCAAATTTTAAGTACATAATACGCTTATTTTTACTGAATACTTGTAGTCGTAATTGTTTCACACTTGTTTAGGAAATCATAATTTCATATATCATAGTTCTCATCTCGTTTACCTGCAGGCCCTATCATGTATTATTTATTGTGAATTATTGAAAACACACACAAACAAAAAACATTTATAGAATAAAACGCATTCCAATTAGATATTTTGTTCTGTTATCATTATCATTATTATTATTATTATTATTAGTTTTTGTTTAGTTCTCTGCCATGTGTATCAATTCTGTCAGTCTCTACATTCACTTGGCCGCTGCTAGGGGCGGCTCCTCAGCCTTGCCGGCGGTTGCGCCGTTCTCGCTGGCCTGCTTCTTGGCCAGTAGAATGGCGGCGTCTACGGCAGCGATCTCCTCCGCGCCCTTGGCGGCGCACTTTTCGACTTTCTCCTGCTCCACGGGCGGCTCATCGGTTTCTGTTTTGGCTTTTTTGGCGGCTGGCAACTCCGCATCTGTTTCTTGCTCGGCAACAGCTTTTTCGGCATTCGAATTTGAGTTGGAGCTGGACGAATTACCGTTTGCATTGGCATCTTCGGTTTTCGCCTCATCGGCCTCGGCCGAGGCTGTGCCGCTGCTGCTGACGGCAGCTTCAGTGGAGTCCTCCTTCTCGCCAATGGTTGCGGTGGCAACGATGGCATCTTCAGCCGTGTCCACTTCCATTAACTTTGACTCCGAAATCGCCTGCTGCTGCTCGCCATTGGAATTAGAAGTGGAAATTGAATTGGAATTGGAAGTTTGCACAACGGGCTCAGTCTCTTTCTCTTTCTCGTTCTCTTTTGTTTTTGCATTTGCAGTTTCCTCAGCAATTTTAGTTGCGTTGACGTCGCCGTCGCCGTCGACGACAGCGTCTGGCTCTCCATTGCCGCTGCCGCTGCCGCTGCCGTTACGCTCTTCGGCGCTCTTCTGCTCGTTGATGGGAGCGAGTGCAGCTGTTTTTGGGGTTGGCTGCTCCTCGTCGCTGGCTGCACTTTTTGCAGCTGGCATCTGCTGCGCATCCTTGGACTGCGCCAGTACGGCTAATGGGACTGGAACCGACTGCTGTATGTCGACGATGCGCTCAATGGGTCGCTCCTCGCCCGCTTTGGCGGCGGGCGGAGGTGGCGGTGGTGGCGCCTTAACGGTGAGTATGCCATCCGAAGAAAGCGTGGAATGGACATCGGCCGGATCGAAGCCCTTCGGCAGCATGTATTTGCGTATAAAGTGACGCGAGATGACGCCGTGGCCGTCCTCCTTTTCGTCGTGCTGCCCCTCGACCACGATGCAGTTGTCGATGGTCTTAACGGTTAGCTCGTCAGGTGCGAACTGCTTGACGTTCATGCTCACCTGGAAGCCGTTCCGATTGACCACCGAATAGGCGGATGCCGATTTGCTGGCATTCGCCGAGCTGCCGCCGCCGGAGAGCGAGCCAGCGCCCGAAGTGGACGAGTTGACCTTGTCGCCCAGCTCCTTCTCCAGCTCCAGCAGCGACTTATTGCAGCAGACGGTCTTGGCGCCGGCCACACGGCTGTAGGGATGATGACGCTGCTGCTGGCCCTGCCCACCCTTGATGGGCACCCACAGCACCGATGCTGCTGGCGTCTGACCGTGGGCGTGGGCGTGGGCGAGACGTGTGCCACGACGCGCACTGTTTGAGGGCGATAGCTGCGGATGCGAGTGCTGGGGCGGCTGTGCGGCAGCCGATGCAGCGGCCAGCTGTTCCAGCGGATACATACCGAAACCAACATCGTCAATATCCATGCCCATGCCCATGCCCATGCCCAGGCCGAGGCCGAGGCTGGCGCTGCGATTGAAGTTAAAGTCGTGCAGCTCCTCGGCCAGATCAAGTATAAACGGGATTAGCGACATTCTCTGATTTCACTAGCTATGGGCCTTGGCTGCTAATTGTCTATGGCTATGGTTTCTGGCTGGGATCTGGCGACACTAACACTGGCACTGACACTGGCACTGGCACTGAATCTCGCTGCAAGCGTTCCGTGTGCGATCCGTTCCGGCTTCTAACTGGATGGCGTTTGAGCTCTTATGGCTGAATGTTCAACCTTTTAAACGACTGTGCAGCGCTGAATGGAAAGCGAATGTCTGGCCTGGAAATGCGCTGCAGCAGCAGCCACGAGTGCCGGCTCGGACTTGACGGCGCTGTCGTTGGCTGCGTCGGCTTATGCAAAGTGAGGCTGGGCCAACGTTTCCCATGCGCAATCTTTGTTTATTTGCACAGTTTTGGCAAAAAATCAATAGAACAAAACCTGGCGGCGACACCCCTCGAAATAAGATCCAAAAATCACGGCCTATCTACAAACGTGCATGTGCATGTACATATGTCTCTGTATGTATATATAGATGTGTATGTGTGTGTGTGTGAGTGTGTGTGTGTGTCTGCTTTTTCGCAATGCGAAGTTGGCAATTTTCCGGTTGCGAGAACAAAGAAAGTATTCCAGGCCGACGACGTTGGAGACACACACAAACCGGCAACTTGAAAACCGGCTCCAGCCTCTCGACCTACGCCTCGGCTCTGGCCATGGTTTGCCCAGACAATATATGTACATACATATGCATATTGTTTATATGTGCAGATATACGCAAGCACACACACTCACTCTCACACTCACACTCACACTCACATGCATAGACGTAAATATAAATGAAGATAAGAGCATGTAAAGTGGCCATGTTGCAGCTGAATTCCCTGCGCTCAGCCGGCAAACAGCTAAACAGCTGAGAGGCCGCTAAAAAATTGTTCGTGCCGGCGGCCGGTTACCGAACCGGTGCGATTGTAGCAACTACAACAACAGCTGGTTTGCTGCGCCTCTCCACGGCACACGCACACGCACACACACACATATATATACAGATACATATGTGCAAATGTGTCTGTGGTCTGGAAGGCCAACCGGCAACAGAAAATTCGTTGATAATAAGACCGTTTCGAAAAGGGGGCAACAGCCTGCAGTGGGGCAGGCGCAAAGCATGCGCAGTGCCCCTTGTCGTGGTTGTTTGTACATATGTATGTATGTATATTGTGAATTGCATTTGTCTGGAGCAACAAGAGTTGATGTGCGGCAGTCGAAACATTTACATACATACATATGTACACATGTATGTATGCATGTACGTACATGCATACGAAATGTATGTGTTCACTTGTGTGCGTATGATTTTTGTTACATATCCAGTCAATTCCCAGACAAAAGGCAGACACTCGTTTGGAGACTTTTGCAATGGAGCAGACGTCAACCAGGAACGGCGGCTGGAAACAAAGTTGAAGGTGTCCATTGATACATATGTACATATGTATACACTTACGCATGCATACATGTACAAGTACAAGTACATGTAGAAGTGTAGAAAGTAATCGTTATCATGGAAATGCAGAAATTGAGTGGGATGTAGCTGTATGCACACACTGTGTGTATATATGTATGTATGCACATACACATGCCCCTTCAATAATGTGTACAAATGTACGTACATATACTATATTTTGTTTTTTTATATTTTATTTGCACTGCCAAAAAACAGCCAGCAATTTTGTCTATAACATGACATGTATGGTGTGTGTATAGATACATGTACATGCATACATATGTACATATACTTTATGAAAAAGCATCAGCGAAACACTCTCACTTTCAGCGCTAGATAATGTTGCGTTGCGTTTAAATGCATAAATATGTGTGTATATATGTATGGGCATATGTATGTATTCGAGCAATTTCCAGAACATTTCAGAAATTATTCAACACTAGCCAGAGCCAGAAGTTTCGTAGGCTTTCCGCGACGCGCCGTCTCCCTCATTCGCACAGACGCGCCCGCAAGCAAAAGCCACCACCCGAGCAGCTATAAATAGCCGGCTTGCTGCGTAGTCGGCGTCAGTTTGATTCGAAAAACCGAAGCAATAAGAAATATCTACACAAAGTCTCCAAACGAAGTATTCCTTGAAAAGGAGTCAAAGTCAAAGTCAAAGTCAAAGATCTAAAGCTAATCCGTAAGCAAATTCGTTTGAAAGTAAAAGTTCGCTACAAGAAACATCTGCGTACCAAGTATTGAGCATATAAGGAAGTCGAGTAAGCCTAAAGAAGAGTTATCAAGATGGCAAATCTTCCACTTCTCCTGAGCCTGGCTGATGACCTGAACCGCCTGTCGGTGGCGCCCTTCTATGACACGCCCTACTACTGGCAGCGCCAGCAGCGCAATCCTTATCTGGCACTGGCTGCCGTGCCCCTGGAACAGCAGTTGCGTCAGCTGGAGAAGCAGGTGGGCAGCGTTGCCGGACCGGTGTCCAAGGTGGGCAAGGATGGTTTTCAGGTGTGCATGGACGTGGCCCAGTTCAAGCCCAGCGAACTGAACGTCAAGGTGGTGGACAACTCCATTGTGGTCGAGGGCAAGCACGAGGAGCGCGAGGATGACCACGGCTACATCACACGTCACTTTGTGCGCCGCTATGCCCTGCCCCAGGGCTACGAGGCCGACAAGGTCGCTTCCACACTGTCCTCGGACGGAGTGCTCACAGTGAGCGTGCCGAAGCCGGCGGCAATCGAGGATAAGGGCAACGAGCGCACCGTTCAGATCCAGCAGGTTGGACCTGCCCATCTCAATGTGAAGGAGAACGCCAAGGAGCAGATCGAGCAGGATGGAAGCGGCGACAAGTGAACTTAGCATCTCATGTAATCCAAAGTCATTTGTAGTATTTAGAATGCATTAACATAATATTAATCAATTATCAAAGTCAATGTCTGTTTTACATATATTATAACCCAACATACATATGTCGATATTTCAAAAATATAACTTGTATTTCGTTAAGCTTCTTAACAATTATGAATTGAAAATAAACAAAAACCTGTTTCAGTAATAAATAAGTTGAGTTTTCATTAAGGGTTTGGGCCAATATGGCAGGAAATGCAAAAAATAGTCACAAATATCCTCATACATACATCTGTGTATGTATGTACATGCATATGACCGAACAAGTACATTATCGCACTAACCTGTATGTACATACATTATGAGCGCCGTTCACTTGTGTGCATACATTCATATTCGTAGAGCACTGCAAAGTGTGTATACCCATGCATACACACATACATATACATATGTATGTACATGAATGTCAGCCTATGTGTCTGTGTATATAGACATGTACATATGTATGCATGTACTTTTAAAATAAACCGTACAAACAAATGTATAAAAAGTTTAACAGTTTCAGTTTTCGTTTTACTAAAAGCTCAAAAAATAACCCTTGAATTTGACTGCGAATATCGCTGTGAAAAGAACACCGAAATCGGTATATAAATACATACTACATACACACGCACACATATAGACCGGTATATACATGCATGCATATGCATGTTTGCACATACAATACATAAATAAAAAGAATGACAAACAAACCGGTCTCGCCAAACAGAGATAGCACGAGTTCATTGTACTTGCGAAACGTCAGTTTCAATGTATGCGATTTTCTCCCTGTGGACCCTTGAACGTACTTTAACATTTTAAACCGATGAATTTACAACAATGGCGCAAATGCAATAGGGATATACATGTATGTATGTTAAAATACAGGCTCTTAAAATAAATGTACTCGAACATACAATGTATATGCAAAATATACGTACGTACATATGTATGTATTTGCGAACAAGCAGAAACTCCAAGAAATTGCAAGAACTTTCCGTGTGTGAGAGAGCCAGAAAGATCGAGAGAACAAACAAAACAATTTGCCGGCGCACACAAACACACGCATGGCGGCAGAAAGAGCGAGTAAGTTCAAGAGTGAAAAAGCAACAATCAGTTAACTTCTTGCTTGTGTGTGTGTGTCATGTTGGCGTCAGTATAAAAACCCGCTGCGCCGTCCGCTCCTCTTCATTTCTATTCGAACCGTTGTTCTAAACGTATCTGCTGCGCAGAAGCAAACAAAAAAGTTTCAATTTAATAAAAAAAACCAAGCACACAAGTAAAAGATTAAAATGTCGATTGTTCCACTCTTGAGTTTGGCCAGAGATCTGGATAGCGCCTACAATGACTGGGACCATTTCCTCGACGATGACTTCGGCTTCGGAGTGCACGCTCACGAGCTATTCCACCGTCCACGTCTGGTGATGCCACACCATCTGCATCGTCGTCGCTCTCACTTCATGCCATACGAGAGAAACCATCATCAGTTGGTGCCGGCACGTCGTCGCGGCTCTGTTGGACAGAACTCTCTGCTGCCTGTCGTTGGCAAAGATGGCTTCCAGGTCTGCATGGACGTGGCACAGTTCAAGCCCAGCGAGTTGTCCGTTAAGGTTGTGGACAAGACGATTATCGTCGAGGGCAAGCACGAAGAGCGCGAGGATGGCCACGGCATGATCCAGCGCCACTTTGTGCGCAAGTATACCTTGCCCAAGGACTATGATGGCAATGATGTCGTCTCAACAGTCTCCTCCGATGGAGTGCTGACACTGAAGGCACCTCCGCCACCCAACAAGGAGCAGGCTAACAAGGAGCGCATCGTGCAGATTCAACAAACCGGCCCTGCTCACTTAAGCATCAAGGCGCCAGAGGGCGCCACCGACGGTAAAGGCAAGAGCGAAAATGGTGAAAAAATGGAGACTGGCAAATAGAGGAGCGTGTCAGAAAGGAGGAAACTGAGTGTTGCCACACTGTTCGGAGAGTGCAAGACTTACCACACAAGCATACACAAGCACACACACACACACATACCAACACATAAACATCGCAAACTTCATCGCATGTTAGCAATAAGAGATTTTAAATGCACCCATTTGCAATGTAAGATTTCCACTTCGTTTACTCTATATGTATTATGTATTTTAAAAATACTATCCATGTAAATTTATATTTTTGTAACATGTAAAGGAACAGCGGCAGCACTCGAACTTATGTATTTGCATTTATGTACACTGTGAAAATATAATAAAACACTAAATGAAACGAATTGGTTTTTGTATTTTGGGACGGAAATACATGGGGCCCATTTACACGTTTCCACTTGGACGAATAGGGACATCAGCTTCTGGTCTACCGATCTGATTGATTTATTGAAGGTTATGAGTTTGGTACATACGTGCATGCATATATACATACATACGTATGTATGTGCAAATAAGCGACATACACATATTATCTGTGTATGTATGTATGTACTTTGTTTCATCATGCGTAAAAGCATACATATGTACATGTGTGTGTGTGTGTATGTATGTGCAAATGCATTCTTCATGGATCCTAATTTTAATGAACTGCAAATTTAAAACGCTTTAAGCTGTCTGTTAATAAGAGTATATTAACATTAACATGTACATGTATGTATATACATAACGACGCATACATGTGTGTATTTATGTATGTACGTACGACATCTGTGTATGTATGTTTCGAAAAATGTATTTTTATAAACAAGGAGTTCAAAAAGTGCAATTAAAGTTGACTTTAAAATTTGCTTTGACTTTTTACAGTCTGCCAAGCGAACTCTTTCTCTTTCGCATACTATATTTACCCATACTCACACTCTTAGCACTCTTTCTGTTTCACTCATTTGCGTCACGCACACACTCTCGCAAGCTCGCGATGTTTCTCGATTTACTTCTCTGTTCGACACATAGCACACACACACGCACGAGCAATAGCTCGATATTTCTAGAAAATCGATTCAGCCGGCTATAAAAGCGGTTGTCGAACTCAGTTTGCCAACAGTTGAAAAAAAGTGTTCGTCAAGCAAAGAACTTCGCCGTGCGAAAAAAAAAACCTTTCAAAAGAAAAAACTTAAATTTGTGTTTTTTTGAAAACTATAACTGAAAGTGTAAATTGCAAAAGAAATGTCGCTGTCTCAATTGATTTCGCTGGTCAATGCGCTGCAGGAGCCCCGCGACCCGGACTACGACTTTGGATTTGGAGTGCAGCCGCGCCAGCTGCAAATCTGGGCCGCGCCACAGCTGTTGAGTCCTTGGGAGTGCGCCCATCCGGTCTGTCCCAGCTCGCCGGCCGCCAAGATCTTGGCCAAACGGCGCAATCGTAATTTGGCAAAGGGAGCAGGTGGTGATGCCGACGGACTGCGTTGGCCCGTCTCGCAGGTGGGCAAGGATGGCTTCCAGGTGTGCATGGACGTCACCCAGTTCGCGCCCAGCGAACTGAACGTCAAGGTGGTGGACAATTCCATTGTGGTCGAGGGCAAGCACGAGGAGCGCGAGGACGACCACGGCTACATCTCGCGCCACTTTGTGCGCCGCTATGCCCTGCCCCAGGGCTACGATGGCGACAAGGTGGTCTCCTCTCTGTCCTCCGATGGCGTGCTCACCGTGAGCGTGCCCAAGCCGCAGCCCATTGAGGACAAGTCCAAGGAGCGTGTGGTTCAGATCCAGCAAGTGGGACCCGCTCATCTGAATGTCAAGGAGAATGCCGTCGAGCAGAAGCCGGAGGAGTCAAAGGCCGAGGCCACCAACGGCAAGCCCGCCAAGAAGTAGAAGCTGCTAGCTGGCCGCCACACCCATTCCTGTTCCTGCTCATTCATCATCACATACCTATGTATTTATTAGTTACCATAAATAGTATAACGAGCTAAAGACTAATAATAAAATAATCTTAGTAAACCAACTGAAACGGAACTCAAAAGTTGCTTCTTCTTCAATGTAGTCCAGATGAGGATTTGGTTTTTGTATATATATTTATTGCGCATTTGAGATTATTTCTATTCAAAACTAATTGAAATTCGCGCTGCAGCTCGTTGGCCATAAATAGATGGGTTCACCTTGAATTTGATGATGTGCGCGCTGCACGAGAAGGGAAGGGGGGGGGGGGGGGGGGGGTTGGGCGGGATTCGGAGCAGCTGCTACTTCCAGGGCAGGGCCAGTTTGCCCGTCTCGTGCACATGGACGAGCCGCTCGCCGGGACTGTAGTATTTGGCTGGCGGCGGCGGCGGCACCTTGATGGTCAGTATGCCGTCCGAGGAGATGTCCGAGATGACCTCGTTGGCATTGTAGCCGCGGGGCAGCAGGTACTTGCGCACAAAGTGCCGCTCCACGTAGCCGTTGGGGCCCTCGCTGCGCTTGTTGTGATTGCCCTGGACAATGATGTAGTCGTCGTTGGTCTTGACCACAATCTCCTGCGGCCGGAACTGGCGCACATCGATGTCGATGCGAAATCCCTTCTCATCCGCATGCACCCGCTCGCCGGTATAGTAGTTATCCCAGCGCATCGGATATGTCCACTCGTGGGGCGTCGATTGTATGAGCTGGTTGCGCACGCGGCGCGTGACCAGCTCATCCAGGGGTCGCAGATAGTCGCTGCTGGCAGTGGAGGGCCACCAGACGCGCGGATCGTCCCAGAGATACGGGTACAGCTGGAAGTCGTAGGGCGGCCGATGATAGATGGGCTGCGGTCGATCCAATTCCCGGGAGAGATCACGATATGTGGTCGGCATCAAAGCCATTGCGCGTCCAAGATTCTTATAGAATCTGTTGACGGCGCTGTCAGTGCTTTTATAGCCCAAATCCCCGAGACGACGACGACAACTAAATTGGCCTCGGTTCGAGTCGGATGCGGATGGGCGTTGTGATGAATCATTTGCCCGATGCGCGAAGGCCAACAAACAAGACACAAGCGTGTCGCCCAACCTCCTCAAATGCAACGGCAATTTGTTGGACGCGAGTCAAGAAGTGGACGACGTCAAGGCACAAGGCGTGGCCAAAGGGGGGCGGCCGCTGTCAGCAGGCGGGGGGGGGGGGGGGGGGGGGGGGGGGGGGGGGCACACAAAAGTGCAAAATACATATCTACTCTTTTTGTTTATGTTTATTTCATTATTTCTATATAACTAATATAAGTTTTTAAGACTAGGCGTTGCCACAAGGCTGCTGGGGTGCTAATCTTTGGCTGCATTTACTGCTCCTTCTGTTTCTCGGCGGGCTCCTCTAGCGGTGGATTCGGCTTCACGTTCAGCTCGGCCGGTCCGGTCTGCTGTATGGGCACGAGACGTTCCTTGAGCGCTTCCTCAACAGCTGGTGGATTGGGCACATTGATGGTCAGGATGCCATCGCTGCTTAGGCTGGATGTGGTCTTGTCGGCCTCGTAGCCCTCGGGCAGGGCGAAACGACGCAAAAAGTGACGGGAACTGTAGCCGCCCTGGTCATCCTCCTGCTGCTCGGACTTGCCCTCGATGACGACGCTGTTGTTCACCGTCTTCACAGTCAGCTCGTTGGGCTTGTATTCGCTGACGTCGAGGCACACCTGGTAGCCCTGCTTGCCAATGGTTGCCGCCGGCGCAAATTGTTGCTCCTGGCTGCGCGCAATCTGTTGCCAGTTGCGTGGCACCGCCAGGCCGGTCCACATGTGCGGCTCGTGGAAGAGCGCCTGGAATGGCGATACACGCGGCATCCTGGCCAGCTCCTCAGCCATACGTAGAAACATGGGCAATGAACGCATCTTTTCTGCTCACAATTTGTAATTTCTGCAATTTGTGGTGAAATTCTCTCTTCTTGCTTCTTCTTGCTGCTTCACGCGAGCTCCGTTCGCTTTGACTGATTTGATTCAACTGTGGAGAGAGCGCGACGCCGGCTGCTATTTATACGAAACGGCGTTGCGCTCGAGAACGTTCCGGCGCTCTCTCGACTTGGCAGCTGATGCAATTTGTTGGGCTTCTAGAATTATTTTACCTTTTTGGCATTTAAGCAGCGTTCAGCTTGTGAACTTTTTAAGTAAATATATTTTCGATTAATTTCACGTACATCAATCAAACTTTCGATTGTTCTTAAGCACTTTTTCTAATGCGACGCAGTTTTGCGGCATTTACAAAAAATGTAAGGCAGGTCAGTTTGGTAACGCAAAAGAGAGCAGCAAATGGCAGATAAAAAAAGAGAATATGTGTGTGTGTGTTCCGTAAATAAGCTCGCGAGTGCGTGCGTGTGCGTGTGAGAGAAAGAGAGAGGGCGAGGCACATATACATATAAGACATGGGCGTAGTGTGAGGGTGCGCACAAATTTGCTTAAGCTTGAGTATTTACTTAGCTGTAATTTTTATTTTAAACATATTTCGCATGAGCTTTGTTTAACGAATTCACACATACAAAATATTGCTCTAGAAAAAATTGATCAAAACTGAAAGGGGGTGTTAAACACAAACATAAACATGGGTTAAAAGTTCTATCACTAGAAAATAAGAAAACTGGGCACACTTTTTTTTTGGTATTCATTTTGGGGCAGAAAATGAAACATCTACGAACTGCTTATTGAAAAGGCTTTCATATTCGATTTGAGAAACGTAAAATATAATAAGAAATTCTAGACTACAAATTTTGTACTCTCTTCAAAGTAGTTGCTATATAGCATATTCATAATCAGTAAGAGTTCCACTTGAAATACTTGCTTCTAAGATCGAAATTTATTCCAAAACCATATTTTCTATTGTGCGCACATATCATAAATGGAATTTAAACATTGTAACTAAGTGATATTTTAAGGGTCAAAAGTAAGTGCTGGTGGGAAGGGTATTCGCGATCTCACTGTGGCAGACCCTCCTTCTCGGCCCACTCCAGCCAGGAGCCGTGATAGACGCTCAGGCTGTAAAGATTCCATACATATATATTGCATATATAAATATGTATATATTCCATAAATAGCTTCTAGTTCTGTAACTCACTTGGTGAAACCTGCGCTCTTGGCGATCTCTGCGGCCTGCTGGGCGCGTCTGCCGGAGCGACAAGTGAATATGATTTCGGCATCGTTGCCCGGCTTTGCGCGTCCATATTTCTGTGCAAAATCCTCGGCCGCAGACTTTAAAGCCGACTCCAGTTCGGGCACTGGAATGTGAATGATAAGCGTATAAAAAACAGATTCCAGCGTTGGGCTTGCATATAGTCACAGGGTATATTGAGGCTGGAGGGTATGCTGCCCGTGGCCGTCAGTTCGTCCGGATTGCGGACATCAATCAGGTAAATCTCTGGATGATTGGGCACATCTTTGACTTGCTCGTAGCTGGCAGACATAATGCTGTGATCCAAATGCAAATGATCAGTACTCAATGCTACGCTTTCACCACGCTTGCCCGACGTCGGATCACTGAGTTCTCCGCTGGGCCAAGCGCCACAATTTATTATGGGCGAGAGCGCGGCTACGGCCAAGACGATGACGACAGCGTCGACGGCGACGGCGACGGCGACGGCAGAGCCGCTGTTCAAGTTAACCGTCCGCATACTAGAGCTAGCATAGACTAACCGCAGCTGGACTTCAATTGCGAATCGAATTCCAACCTGTAGCCGGTTTCCATTGTTGTCGCTTTGTGGTTTGGCGCTGGCGACACTTCATCGCCGCCGGCGACGCCGGCCACTCGTCGGATTTCAGCTCAGAAGCTACTTCAGTGCGATTCGTTTGGCAGACGCCCAGACTTTGTTTATTTGTATACCCTTGCAGAGAGTAATATAATTTTGTCGTGACATGTGTAACGCATAGATGGAGACATCTCTGATCCCGTTAAGTATATATATTCCTGATCAGTATCAGTCCTAGTCTCTTAGCTTTAAAGCTATTCCTATGAAACTCTCTCTTTCAAAACTAGCTGGATCGGACCACTATATCATATAGCTGCCTTAGGAACGATCGGTCGAAAATCAAGTTGTTGTATGAAAAACTTTTTTGTTTAACAAGATATCCGGACCAAACTGGGCATTAAATAGTTTTACTATGCTCCTCATATATATGCAAAATCTCATCAAGATCGGAGCACTATATCATATAGCGGCCATAGGAACTATCGGTCATAAATTAAGTTGTTGTATGGAAAACTTTTCAGTCATTCAAGATATTTTGATTAAGCACGGCATTTAAAGATTTCACAATGCTCCCTTCATTTTTGCAAAATCTTATTCACATCGGCATATATCTGCCAAAGGAACGATCGGTCGAAATCTAGGTTTTTGATGAAAACCCGTTTTTGTTTATCAATATATTTTGACGAAACTATGAGCATTATGAAAAGGTTGGGTCTGCAAGGGTATTAGATTTTCGGCGTGCCGAAGGTAGCCTTTCTTTCTCGTTAATTTTTTTAAAATATATCTCAAATTTAATTTTGAACTGCAATGTCTGCGGTTTTTCCTATTTTCGCTTTAATTAAAATTTATTTATTTTGTTTTTTCGCTCTAAAAGCTCCAGCCGCAACTTCGAAAGCTTGGATTTGGTCCAGAAAATTCCCATTTGTCGCTCCAATAAAGCTCGCAAAGGGCCAGAGCTTTCGCTCTGCTCTCGAGTATAAAAGGCGACCCTGAACATAAGAACTTCACATTTACGACGCGATATTCGAGTTGAATTGTGCTAGGCACAGCCGCAAATTTCCACCCGCTGACAAATCAACCCTCACCTAAGGAAAACAGGTCGCCGTCGCAGACAGGTTCAGTGAACTTGCAACAGATACAGATACTGAGTATCTTGTGAAATAATTGAAGGCAGAAAAAAATAAGAAATTTAAGAAAAATGCCAGATATTCCATTTGTGCTGAACTTGGATGCACCCGAGTCAATGTACTATGGCCACGATATGTTTCCCAATCGCCTCTATCGCAGGCTGCACTCTCGCCATCACGATGCCCTGGATTTGCACACATTGGGTCTGATTGCCCATATGGGTGCCCATGCACGTCATCTGGTTACCCAGAAGCACAGGGCTGAGCTGGGCACAACCACTGCCGCTGGCCCGGATAAGAAGGGCAACTATCAGGTGAATCTCGATGTGCGCCTGTTCGAGCCGGGTGAGCTAACCGTTAAGCTGGTCAACAATTGCGTCATCGTTGAGGGCAAGCACGAGGAGCGCGAGGACGAGCACGGCCATGTCTATCGTCATTTTGTGCGTCGCTATCCTCTGCCCAAGGAGTACGATGCAGATGCCGTCGCCTCGACTTTGACTGACGAGGGTGTTCTCACTATAACCGTGCCCCCGTTGGTCGCCGAGGAGGAGGGAAAGGAGCGTATTATACCCATTAAGCATGTGGGTCCATCCGATCTGTTTTTGCAGAAGGACAACGGACACAAGGAGCTGGCCGAGGGCGAGGCTAAGTAAGAGCCTAAATAGTCGCGCCATTAAGCAGCAAAGTGATTTTCTAAGACTCCCATTTTTATTGCACCCCGAAGATAATAAAATTTAGCACGCTACATTTTTACAATTCATATGTATTATTCATTAATAAATTAACCCATTTATACTTAACTATTTTACTAACTAGCTTAGATTTAAAAAGAAATCAATTATGGCATCAGTATTAATAAATGTATCTTAATGTCTAAAAGGATTCTGCACTTGTTTATTTTTATTTCGAAAACAATTGGCCTACATTTTCTCTTTATCTTTAAAAAACCAATATATTCGATAGCTTTACTTCGATTAGCCATCAAATTTATCGGGCTATTCGTTTTCTGTTATCGCGTTTTTAGGCAGCTGATAAAATACCGTGCATTCAAATTTTATATATTGGCAGTTGGTTTTGAATATTGAGTATGGGCACACTTTTTGCCTGTTTTGAAAGCACTGCCCAGAGTGACCATTTTTTTGGTATTTTCAAAATGATACTTTGAGTCATTTGCTGTTTAATGTGTCCGGTCACACTGAACACAACAATAATAAATAAACATTAAAAATGCTGCAACGCGCACAACCGAGAGTAGAAAATCCACGCTATGGCCAGCTGATTATTGGGCCACCTGGCTCAGGCAAGACGACGTACTGCAACGAGGCGTATAAATTCTATAAAGAGTTGGGCCGGCAAGTTGGCGTTGTCAATTTGGATCCAGGCAATGACAACATGGCCTATCAGCCGTTGGTCAATGTAATGGAATTGATCACCGTGGAGGATTGCATGGAGCACATGCAGCTGGGACCCAACGGAGCGCTCATGCATTGTGCCGAGTATCTGGAGCAGCATATCGAGGATTGGCTGCTGCCGGCACTGAGGAAATTGAGTGCAACGCACAACTACTTCCTCTTCGATTGCCCGGGCCAAGTTGAACTCTACACTCACCACAATGCCATGGCTCGGATTTTTGAGCGCTTGGAGGCGGAGCGTTACAATCTGGTTACAGTGAATCTCATCGATTCGCATTACTGCTCGGAGCCGGCAAAGTTCATAGCCACGCTGCTGATGGCCCTGAATACAATGATGCGGATGAGTTTGCCGCACGTGAATGTGCTATCGAAGGCGGATCTGCTGCGTAAGCACGAATCCAAATTGCACTTCAACGTCGACTTCTATACAGATGTGCTGGATCTGAAGTATTTGCTAGAGAAACTGGACGATGATCCCACAATGCGCAAATATCAAAAGCTGAACGAAGCCATTTGCTCCATGGTAGAGGATTATGCCTTAGTTTCCTTTAAGCTCTTGGACGCCTTCAGCACAGACAGCATGCTTCGACTGCGCAACCACATTGACAAAGCAAATGGTTACGTGTACAAGGCAGGCGAGGAGCAAACGGTGAACTCTTTGCTAGCCTGCGCCGTTGGCGCTGAAACTGAGGCAATGCGTCAGCAGCACGATATTGAACCCTATGTGAAGCAGCCGTAGCGAACATATGCTTAAATTATGTATACAATTTAGTTGTATTTATCTGCTAGTTGAAAATTGGTTTATCAACATCCTGTCGCCAAAAATTTGCCCATAAAACTGGACAAGTCGTTGAACACATAAAATAACGCTCTAATGATTGTAATTTCCTGTGATAAATAAATGCTTCACTACACAATTGCGGTACATTAGTTTCTTAAGCAGCTCTTTCTAAAAAGCAGCAAAAGAATATTGAATTTAAACACCATCCTTTGGATTTATATTGTAAAATTTCAATTCGAGCGGGCGTTGATTTCGGTGTAATGTGCGCCCCATCACCGTGACAAGTTATGGGCAGCACTGTTCGGCATGGTATATGTCTGCAATCGATACGCAGTGTTGCTATTGATTATCAATTGACAGTAGTAGCCGTTACAAGAATATTGACCGCGCTTCAAGTTTAATTATATTTTTAACTTTGCAAGTTCATTGTAAGCTAAATACGCGCAAAGTATTTCATTGAGAGAGAATGAGATAAGCTGAATGGCGGCGTAATTTATGATTTGCGTATTTCTTATGTAATTTATTTATAATCTCAACCTTGGTATATTCTTTAGGTCAGTTTCATAATATCATTGCGAGTGAGAAACGGTTTTATCGCTTCAAAGTTGCTGAATTGCACTCCCAGCTTTAGACTCAGCATCAACTTGGCACATTTACAGTCGATAAGACGACTAAAAAGTGAATTTGAAACGCGTACCATATAGAAATCAGCACATTTAACGTTGCCTCTAGGCAGCGCGAGAACTTTGATTAGACATCAACAAAATGGCGACTGGCTTCAGCGCCTGGCCTATAAAAGCCGCTGGGGATGGGGACAGCGCCATTAGTTGCGTTCGCGCGGTTGCCTCGACCTACGGATTTGGATTGTGAATATGTTTCCAAGTGCATAAGTTCAGTGTATTGTGTTTGTGTTTAATTGTGAAGTGGATCTCAAGGATTCACAGGATAACTGCTTGCTTGGAATTTCAAGATCAAGGCACTAATGGATTACCAGTGATTTATGAAGCTGCTGTGTTAACAAGAGGATATCTTGCAAGCCAAAAATAATGGCAAATAAATACATCTACTTTTTAGCATGGCTGCTCATTTTCAGCCAAGTGTGTGCCGAGGAAGGCGACATAGTCATGTCTGACGATGATGATCAAAGTATAGAGTGAGTGAATGGCACATAATAAAGCGAATCACATAATAAAATTCTAAACTAGTGTTACAATTTAAAGTAAATCAAAAACGTGAAAATTCCAATAAGATGAAAAACAAAAAAGTGCAAGAAACTGCTTTCCTCCATTTCCAGGCGACTTCCGCTGCGGAACGCCAACTAATTTAAGAGAACCTAAACTGCTTGAAACTATTTCGCATAATTATTAAATTTTATCTAACGCAATGCCACTTGGCACATTATTCGCTATTTGATAGTCCCCTGGCTCGGGCCGTGCCGGAAGCTGATAATCAGGAACGCGACGAGCGCCATTTAAATTTTAAAATTCATCGTGCGCCCGCTGTGAGGTACGATTCAGATAAAAATAATAACAAAAATGTTTATTAATTAATTGATATTCTATAGTGCGCGCTATAGCTACGCTTACAATGATGGAGTTGGTCAGGGAGGAGCAGGAGGCGGAGGCGGAGGCTATGGTGCACAGCACGGCGCATTTATGGGCGGCATTAAGACATCGGGGTGAGCATCAGAACGAAAGATAGATTTGCTTACAGGTTTTGAAAATGTTATTAACTCATTAATTTAGTTCACATTTGATGAACAATGCGCTTGGTCTGCTCGGCATTGGCAAAGGGTAATATATACCCAAGAAGGAATTCAATTTTATATATCTAAGCAAATCTATTCGCAGTGTCAAGAGCAACTTTTATGGCAATGCGGCCCAACAATTGAGGGCATATGGCAAGTGCGCCGCAATCACGCTGCCGCAAAATGTTCAGTCGCAATGCGATGGTAATGGTCGCTGTCAGGTTTATTGTCCGGATGGTTATACCTTTGCCCCGGACACAAAACAGCTTGAATTGTTTTGCAGCAACGACGGCTGGATAATACGCAACACGGAGTTTAGCAGAGTGCCGCCGTGCCAGGCCACATGCATGCCGCCGTGCCAGAACAATGGCATTTGCCTGGCAGCCGGCGTTTGTCAGTGTCCGGAGAATTATTCGGGTCCGCTCTGCCAGCACAAGAAGTCCGTGTGCGCGGCCAAGCCGCCGGTGCCAAAAAACTCTAAGGTATCCTGCAAGAACAAGTAAGTCAGTCAGTCCTTGAGCTGTTCACATCAAGCTGCACTAATGCATATCCATTATGTATGCAGCCTTTGCCATGCCGAATGCATGCGCGGCTTTCAGTTTCCCGATGGCAGCGGCATCACCAACATCGAGTGCCGCAATGGTCAATGGCTGCACACCAAAACCGGCCTGGCCAAGATGCCCGATTGTGGACGTAAGTGGTGCGCCCCACAGGCTGTTAACCTAAGCTAATCTCGGGTTTTTATTTTTTCTTTTTCGCACAGCGACCTGCTCGCCGGCGTGCCAGAATGGCGGTCAGTGCATCAGCTTCAATATCTGTCAGTGCTCCAAGATGCATCGCGGCGCGTTCTGTCAATACAGTGAGCACATTGAGTGAAAGTCCATTGAAATGATTTACTTAAAATCCTGTAAAATCCTGTAACTTCTCAGGCATCTCGAGCTGCAATGTGACCAATACCCATTTTAATGGCAACTACAAGTGCGCCTACGATACGGAGGAGGCGCGCTGCACATTCAGCTGTCCGGAGGTGCGTGGCCTCAAGGTGCAAGGACGCTTGGATATTGAGTACAAATGCAAATATCAGCAAGGTGTCTACCTGCCCGCGCCGTTGCCAAAATGCGTGTTTCGTAAGTTGTCGCTAAACTGTAGTTTTCTAAAATTATTAAAGTAAAAGTTTTCCTTGCACAGCTCCCGGATATACCATCAAATCGGGTAGCGTACAAGTGACGCATATGCAACAAGCGGGTCGCTCCTACCATGGTGCCTTTAGCGGCGAGATTACGTCAGAGCTGAGAAGTCAGCGTGAGATTCTGTTGGCCTTGCTGGCCAAGTACAAGGATTTGGAGCGCCGAAGTGTAAATTGAGCTAAGGGAATTGTGTGTGCAGAACATAATGTTCTAAATATTTGGCAGGAATGGTGGTCATCGGAGGAAACGGTCACAACTCTGGGCAGCTATTCTTTGTACATGAGCAGCGAGGTGGATGTTGTTGTTGACAAATCGCCCAGACCAGCGCTGTGCACCACCTGGGGTGGCATCAATATCAAGACATTCGACGGTTTGGTTTTCAAGTACGTATTCGATAAATCGATAACTGAACGATAACATATCGATAGCTTGAAATGTGTTCAATTGGCAGCGATAATTACAGTCATAATTTGGAAATTCAAATTTCTTTCTATTTCTAGGGCACCTTTGTCGTGCTCACACACACTGACCACAGACAAAGTTTCTGGCACATTTGATGTGACACTAAAAGCCTGTCCTTACGGCTCTGGCTATGGCTGTGCGCACACGCTAAAGATTCAATGGCAATCGGTGCTTTATACGCTGGAGAACTTGAGTGAGTAGCACACAGTAACACACAATGAGAGCTATGAATGCGACTGATTATTGTTTCCCTTTCAGATGGCACAATGCGCCTGTCCACGCCCACCAAACAGCTGCCCATTCCGGTGCAGGTGATGGGCATGAAGGTGATGCCAGTGGCACAGCATGTGCAAATTGATCTGGAATCGATTGGCCTAAAGCTGGACTGGGATCATCAACAGTATGTGGCTGTGCATGCCGGGCCCGCCATGTGGGGCAAAGTGGGCGGTTTGTGTGGCTCCCTGGACGGCGATTATAGCAACGATTTGATGTCCAGAACTGGAAAGAAGCTGGAAACAGTCAAGGCATTCGCCGACGCCTGGCGTGTGGACGACAGCAGTGAGATGTGCCGCGTCGAGAACAGCGCCGAAATGGAATTTGGCATCGAATCTTGTGAACAGAGCAAACTGCAGAAGGCTGTCAGCACCTGTGAGCGTCTGCTGGCCAACGAAAAGCTGAGCGACTGCATCAAGCCCTTCAATTACGATGCACTCATACGCACCTGCATGGCTGACTACTGTAACTGTCCGAATCGCGAAAAGCCCGAGAGCTGCAATTGCGATGCCATTGCCATGCTGGCCAAGGAATGCATGTTCAAGGGCATTCAATTGCAACATGGCTGGCGCAATCTGGAAGTGTGCCGTGAGTAGCTGTGCCTATTTACATAAATATTTCCGCTAACAAATGTTCTCTCTAAGTCGCCTTTTCTCGCTCTCGTCTAATCTTGCTTTTACTTTCACTTTTTTTTTTAAGATTCATCTTATATGGATCTGTCCATATTTGGGAGTTAACCCTTGCCAAAGTCTACCTTAACATACATCTAAATTTATATATGAATATTTTGACGCACTTACCGACAAATGCACATGAAGAGGCACGATTATTTTATTGGCATCTACTAGGCAAGAGGCTTTTATACACACCTTAAAAAAAAGAAAGGATTAAAAAGGATAAACATACCAGCAAAAGGAAGAGAAACAAAATTAGAGAGATAGATTGAGAGCAGGGGAATAATTTATAAAAACTCACAAATTTCTAACACACATTTTCTAATTTTTCTGTGGGGCTCATTTAAATTCATGAGAATCGCATAGTAGGGCAGTCTTTACAGATCGTTGTTTTGAAAAGGTAATGTTAAAGAAGAAGGTTTCTTTAAATTTCAGTGCAGCAAGTCCTGCAGTATTTCATAAGCTAATAGAAACTAAGAGACTAGTTTGCATAGAATCAGACAGACTATATAAGAATGTCAGGGACATCGAGTAACAGATAAATAAGGAAGGAAATGCAAATATTCACATTTATCCTATTAAACATTTCATAAACTTACCATTTTGGAATACTCCAACAGCTATTAGTTGCGGCTTTGGACGCGTCTATCGAGCCTGTGGACCCGATGTGGAGCCAACCTGTGAATCGGATTTGACAAGTTCCTCACCCACGAAAGGCAAGTGCAACGAGGGCTGCTTCTGCCCCGAAGGCACGGTCCAATACAAGGACGCGTGCATAACACGGGAGCTGTGT